GTCTGTAGTGTTAGGGTTATAAAAAGTGTTGGCTTTGGTAATTCGCAGCTAATGCAAGAAAGAAAGACTTGAGTCACGTGAAACAACATGTTCAGAATGCAAGATGAGATTCTGTAATGAACAAAGGGATCTTTCTGCACCTCTTGGAGGTTGCTTTGCCAGGGGTTATATAGTGTTTCAGCAAAGCCACAGTTGTACAGTAGGCCCACTTGCACGCAAACACCCTTCAGCTGTTCTCCAATGACCTTGGTTCTGTGCAGGAAAGGGCAGGTTAATCACAGCGCCTCTATACCCCAGTGCCATTTTGTTCATTCAGCTGTCTTAGCTACCTGGTTGCCCATCCTCTAAAGAATCATGTGTTCTGGGAAGCCAGGGGATGGACAACTATCAATATCCATCTCTATTCTAGGAATAGGTCAAAAACAAACATTTTTGCCCTTTTTAAAGAAGTACTTGCAATTGCGAAGTAGTGAGACGTTGACCTTTTTAAATTTTTTACAATCGCCTTACTGGTAGCTGAGGTCCTCCATTCAGTGAGAAGGAAATTGTATTTCCTCTTCAGTGTCTTAATCTTGCAGACTAACAAAATGAAACAATCCCCATTTCTTACTCTTTGAAAACTGAATCTGTCCTAAGAAAGTACCTTTTTCTATTTTTCAATTATTTATTGTGGGTCTTCTGGCAAAGGGGAGAAAGAATGGGAGCACAGTTTTATAGACTTCTCTGCATTCAAGGCGAGCACAAGGCCAGATGGAGGTGGCTCAGGCAGTGTTGCGAACTCTGCACGTTCCTAGGCCTTGCGCTTCGCTCCACATTTCTGATGGAGGCACCCTTGTGGAGACTATTCCTATTTCTTCAAACTCTTGGTCTGCTGGATTTAACTGGGACTTGGAATTAAATATTCTCAAGTTTTCAAGCTAAAAATATTTGTGTGCACCGCACCTTTCCCTCCATATCAAGTTGTTGATGCTAGAAGATGCCTGTGTGTTTGGAATCCCTGTGTGTGGCCCAAGCTACACAGTTTATACAAAGATACATAACCAAGTGAAAATGAACTAGTTATTTGAAGGGGGGGAAGTAAATCAGGCTCAGAATATCTCGGTGTAATCATGGGAGCAGGAGTGGGGAAAGGAAGTACTTGATCAGTTCTCTGCCAGTTGTTTTCTGGTCAAATACATATTTGGCTCCATATACATAGGGTTGTATTCAACAGGGCACTACCACTAAGGTTCTAGCAGCATAAGGATTTTTCTTCTGTGATGGAACCTCCTCCCCTGTCCTCTCCCCTGTCCCTTAAATCTGTCCTGGAGGCTCCCCCAACTTCAGAGCAGGTGGCATAAGACACACAGGAGCAGGAGGAGAGAGGGGGAAGCAGGACTCTTTGCAGTGGCTTCCACTAGTACAATGATTTAGTTTAACATGGTCCATATTTGCTTTTTTAAAGGCAATTGTTACTCCTTTCCTCCCACAATAGAATGGGAACTGCTGCTTCCCATGCCGCTCTGGTGATGTAGACACCCCAAAGTCACACCAGAGGAGTGGTTGGCATGCCAGTGTTGCACCAGCTCCCAGGATGGCACAGCTCCCAGTCCAGTACATGGACTTTAGTCCTCCCAAAGGTTGCTGAAGCTGGACTGCTGTGTTTATAAGGGAAAAGGGCAGCAAGATCCTCATTCGTCTTGTGACATGTGCAAAGTCAGAACAACCTCCTACCTTTCTGCATGAAGCCAAAACCGCTACAAATTTCATTTGGCTCACCTTGATTTGCGTGCTTGTTTTCGGCTGAAAACAAAAGAGTCATTGATTTATCTAGAGCTCTCTCTCTTTGAGAGACAGGAAAGGTAGCTGTGCCTGAGTAATAGGAAAGTGTTTCAAGAGATTTCCTTACAATGGAAGAGTCAAATAACTTCAGTTATAGCTTCGCCTCCTCACTGGTGACCGTGAGAAAATGCTATTTTACCTACCTCAAGGGAATGAGAGTAAAGATATGAGACTTCAAAGTAATTGGATGTTTCCCAAATGAGCTGGGGAGTGCCAAGGAAACACTTTCTTAGATTCTTAGCAGGGTTTGCAGCACATTTGACGCAAACCACACAAACCATTTCTGTATGTAGAAACCTTGTTGGCTGAAATCTAGTCTTCTGACAAGAATTGGCCTTTGGGGAATAGATTGGCATTTGGGGAGGGGTGTTATGGGCCCAAAAATATTATTCCTGTGAGAAAACTAAAGAAGAAGAAAAAGTGTCACCATGAAAGAAGAAGGATTTCTGCTAAGAAAATGATTACTCAGGGATGCTTGTGTGCAGGAAGACCCTGTGTGCAACTAATGTTGCATGCAGAAAACTGGTGTGGCACATGGCATTGACCTGAAGGAATGCGTTCATAACCTCAGTGAGAGATGGAGAGAGGAAGGTGTCCGCTCCCTTATCCTGTGTAGGAGTAATGTGATTCCATGGAGTAAAGTTTACTGGATACCTGCACACAGAAGAACCCACAGGGAGTGATGTCTGGATTAGGACCATTGGCAGTGGGCAACAGTGCTGCAATCAGGCCTTTGCCTACACGTTCACTAGTGAATTTTTACATGCATGAAAAATGCAGCAGTGTGAAAACGGGGCTGCTTCAGGCCAAACTAGTAAGTCAGAGCCATTTATATGACTAATTCATTCTGTGGCAAAATCGGTAATTTCTGCCTTGCATCCACCAGCAGTCTTCTTCAATTTTACAACCCCCCCCCCCAAAAAACCCGCGCGTGTTAAGTGGCAAAATTCACTGCAGTGCCAAGGGTCCTCCAAGTTGTATTTTAAAGGACTGGCCTCCCATGTATAAAACAATTATATGAAATTAACTTTCTCGTCATTTGCTTAGGACTGGGGTGTTTTAATAGGTGATCATTTGCACATTTAGCATGAATGTCTTTCCTGAGAGTCTACACAAGGCCTAGGCATTGCTTAAATATTGCTTATATCCTTAAGTTTGTGCTTTGTTTAAGCTTCAATATTGGATTCTCTCTTCTGTTCAAGCCAGTCTTTACAAATACAGGGTTCGATTCTGAACATACTTAGGTGCATCAAAGAACAGGGCTTGGATGGGTGCAGGTGTGTTCAGGTGTGGAGCCTTAATTGTTCTCTCAGGTTTCAAATCAGAAGTCTACTGGTGGCCATCACCATCTCCCCACATTGCTTTTGCTACCTTTTATACCAATTAAATACCTTTCTCTGAATCTGTTGTCTCATGTTCGACATAACAATTTCTTGAAGAATTTATGTGTTTGTTTCCTGCTTAAACATTCATTTTGCTTCCTTGTATCTGAGGACTTTTATTTTTTAGTATTTATTTTGTAAGCCAAATGTTCTTGTAGATGGGTTTTTTCCCCCATTTCATTTTTATGACACTAATTTGTAGATTTAAGTCTCAGTAGAAACAAACCATATGGAAGGCATCTATCAGCTCTCTGATGAGAATATTTACCAGAACTAGACTTTGCAGTCTATAGATGGCTAGAAACTCACCATCTGATGCTATTTTTCTAGGATAATTCAAATTATTCCACTGTATGGAGGGAAGTGGGAATATTCAGAAATGCACTGTTCAGTCAGCCAAACTGTGTTCTTGCACATGTTGCCGAAACATCATAACTTATGAAACTGCCTTATTCTGAGTCGGATCATTATACCGTTGAGCCCAATATTGTCTTCTCTGGCAGCAACTCTCCAGGGTCTCAGGCAAAGTCCACCAGCCTTGCTGACCTCCTTTTCTTGGAGTTGCTGTGTTTTGTACCCAGCACCTTCTGCGTGCAATTTATGTGTACTACTACTAAGGAATGAGCCTTTCCCAGTCGATACTGTCCAATACTAGAACAATAAATTTTTGTTTGCTGTATCTGATTAAAGAACATTGGGGAGAAAAAAGGAAACACTGGTATAAATTTATAAGCATTATATAATTAAAAACGAGGCCCATCCCATCAGAGAAAGTTACTTAAAAAAAAAAGTTTCATTTCCTACCATTCCAAGAGTTGCAGTGGACACCAGCAAAGGTCTTTCTGTCCAGCAAGTAGCTACACCACCAGCTTAAAAACAATCACTTCACAAGTACTGTATAGGCCAATTCCTGGAATAAAAGTCCTGTTGGTGCTGGATGGGTAGTAGCAAGATACTGAATGAAAACTAGTGGACAGCTTGGCTTTTCTTCCATGCACAGACTTAAAGGACACAATCACCAACCACAGCAGACCAAGCAATTAACATTTTGCACCACTGTGTCAGATGAAGATGTTTCAATGTATAGTTTAGATATTGCTAACTTGTGCCATTAACATTTTTGACAAGTGTGTAGTATTTCCTCTCTTTTTTTCAAAAAAACCAACCAATTTAGTATTCTTGAGCTAGCTATAAATACAAATTTTACCCCATGGGTAGGATTTTAATTGTTAAATGCCATAATAAAGCACACTAATTTTGACACTTACAAATGGAAGTAAGAACCAAAAAAACACAAAAGCGAAACAAATGTCCAACAACAATGTTCAGAGAAGTTGAACAAATTCTCTTCTGTTTTGATATTTGCATGCTCCAACATGGACTGGCTGTGGCAATGTAATGCCTGTATAATGTTTTCAAATAAAGAAATACATCCTTTATGTAAGCCAAGTTTGTATTTGTTCTGAATCCGGTTCAAGAGGGCACTCTGAATCAATGGGGACAGGGCTCTCTCTTTTTTCTTTCAAGGGAGGGGCTTCCTCCAAATCTGTCTGTTTTCTTCCTCTGGAGGTCGAGATGTTAATTCCTCATAGCTTTTCTGTTTCTCTGTCTTTCGTCTCATGTGTCCTTCTTTGGTAGCTCTCACGATATTTTCATATTTTTTAACCTCCCAGAGACTCAAGTGTTCCTCATATACAATTAACCTAGGTGCAATGTGCATTCATGGCCATTAGGGGGAGCTGTTGGTTTGTTGCGCACCACTTTGCAACGGGTTGACGTTCTACCCATGCAGGAAATGCAGGAACAGGATGTGGGTCTCCTCTTTGTCTCCAAGCCTGCAGCTCAAGGCTGCTGGCAACTGCTCTGGGGAATTGCTGCGTGGAAGAACAAAGAAAACCGACCAAAACGTTCTGCCATTTTGTTCATTAGCTGATATTTCCTGGGGTTACTGGAAAAGGTCATAATAATTTTGTATCTTCCTCAAAGGCCTGTATGGTTTTATTCAGCTCCAGTAATGGACTCCTCCCTCCACCCCCAGCTGGAACCTACCTATCTCAATCCAGGTAATTTGGAAAAACTGGTTATCAGGCCAGTATTTGTGGGCTTCTTCATGAAAGCCATTTGGGGGGAAACCGACTTACAGATTTTCCATATCTGTCCTGTGTAGCTTACAACAGGTGAAAGACAATATCATAAACTAAGGAATAATAGTGTGTTCCTATTGATATTTCATTTTTTGCAACTTTTGGAAATGCTAAAATACAACTGCCAAGTATATCCAGTTGAAGATATGTATGTTTTATTGGACTTTATTTTGGGGGGCAGGAAGGGGGTGGCTTTGAAATTTCTTACGTACAGCTCTTTGTTTCATTGGTTTAAAATGGACAGTGTAAAGCAAAGGCTGTTTCAATGTCTGCTAAGGCAGAAAGTTTGAAAAACAACCACTGGACATTACCACTTCAAATAATCTCTGATACAAGGAATCAGCAGCAGGAGTTATTTCAGTTAATTTCCATCCATTTCTTTCCTGGTGAGAGGCAGGAATGCAAGTGAAGATCCCCTTTGCAAAGCATTTAAAATTAACTTTCCATTTGGATCTTTTCTAAGCCACACGCTCACAACAACGTTGAGTGAGAGAGAATGCGGAAAACAACAGACCACTTGTATATGCATAAAAAAATCAGCACACGCCAATACATTGGAGACACTTTGCACGTGCATTGCACAGTTATCCCACATAAACTGTATCTCACAGGATCTTGCTGTGAATGCATATTGAAAGGGGAAATGAACAACGGAATCCTATGTAGCTTTGGTAGAACAAAATAGGTGAACCTATTTCTGTTTGATACTGGCAAATGCTGAAGATACACCATTTTACTCTGCCACCTGAGATGTGTGTTTTCAAGGCCAAGCCTTTTCATGTAATTGCAATCTGTTTTAACTGTTTTTAATTTTTAATTGTTGCAACTCACCCTCGGATCTGCTGGTAAAGGGCAAATAATTATTATTAATTCCTGGACTGTAGTTTGTAACAGAGTTAAAATTCCCAGTTCTGTTAAAAACTTCAGTTCCCAGGATTCTTTGGGGAAGCCCTGATAATTAAAGGGGGATAAGAGTATTTTAAATGTATGGTTTGGATGATCACCTCTTAGTTATGGGTTGTATCCAAAAGTGTCACTCAGTTGATGGTAAGGCAACAAAATGGAGAAGTAAATAATCCTCCCCCCCCATAGAGGATTGGAGGCTCAGGGTTTCAATCAGAGAAATTTTCCTATCTTTATAGCACTGATAATATTCTCCTGCCACTTTCAGCTAGAATTTACCTGGGTGCCTTTGTCAGCCTAAATATAAAGGTTCCCTGGAAGTAATCTATAAATGTATCTTTTCTCAGAATAATTTGTACATGAATAGTATCAGGCAGAAGAATGCTGGCATCTTTTTGTCTGCTCTTTGAAAAATCAAAATGGTTCAGTTGTTACATATTTTAATCACACTCACAACCCTGGGCAGTGCTTGAATGATTGAAGCCCCCCTCCAAAATTAGCAGTAGCTGAGAAGAGTCATGCCTCACTTAGTCACATTTTGGGTGCATTTGGATTATAGTGTTAGTTTTCCTGGTTATAATGCTAGCTAGCATGTTTATCCTGGATTCTGACGTTCTTTTTATACTATGTTAACTGGTACATTAGGGAACTGTGGCCCTTTTTAATTGATAGACCATCATGTTGCACTAAATTTTAAGTGGCGAGAAAGAACTGTATGCTGGATTACTACCTCAAAGTGTGTCATCTGAAATGACAGTTCAAAATTCTCATGATTTCCCCAGTTAACCAGGTTGCAAACTGACTTTTTCTGGATGCAAAGAACACAGAAGTGAGCACTAAACTTCTGCTAGATGCGGCTAGTTTTCCAGAAGTGGCTTTTCCGTTGTGTGAAAGATCCCATGAAACAAGGAAATGTATCAGGTAAGGAAGCATAAGGAAACTGAATAAAGTGCTCTCTGAATGAAAAGGATTCTTCTGAGAGCCCAAAACAGTTCAGCCCCCATGAGCTGGTGCCCCTGCCTGACACAAGAAAACTCATAGATCTTGGAGCCCTACGTTGGCTGAAATGCATCACATTTCAGCATATGGTTTATCCAGCTGAGCTACTTGGGTATGGGCAGCAGAAATAGATCTGGATCTACTGGTAGAGATCTAGGTGACTTGCAGTTGATATACAATTATTTCTGACCCCCAGCTGTTTAACAGTAGCAGCAATAAAATGACTCCCCCCCCCAATTATACTGCTAAAATCAATAAAGCCTGGGGTAACCAAATGTGGATTTTTGTCTGGAATGACTGTGAGCTCAGTTCCATTCAGGTACTCAGAACAAATTATTGGGCTTACCGGTAGTTGCTTGGAAACACCATGTTATTTAATTCTAAGTGTCTTCTCTTGGTGAATCTTGGGGTTCTAGTGTAAAATAAAGTTGATTCCACAAGCCTGAGGCCTGCCCATCCAATATACACTATGTCCCTTTGGTGATTGGCCCTCCTCAATGGACACTGTAGCATCAAAAACACAGTGTTGGTAAGGAACAAATCAATCTTATTCAAATGCCTTCCCAAAAAGTAGGACTATCCATCATATGCATAACTGCACAATTCCCAGTTATTCCACACCATATAAACTACAGTGCACCACCAGCAGAGAGCTAATCCTGCAGAGCTAATAGTTCCTGGTGACTTGTTACTTTTCAGGAAGAAGAAGCTGATGAAATTCTTGAGTCCCTTCCCCACCCTTCATTCATGGGTGGGTGGGAGCAAAACAGAAGTGTTTGTTAGAGATCAGTTGTTTCTGCTCAAACTGTTGCAAGAAATGGAGGTGGATCATAAGTGTCTAGTGAGTTTCCCTGAGTGATATGATAATGATTTAGTTTCCTATGACAAATGTGCAGGGAACAGAATCACGCTCATGCTAGGCTGAGGAGCTGAGATTTACAGGTGTGGAATGCTAGCAAATCTCATCTGTGGCAAAGGATCAGTTCCTAATGGGCTTTGCTTGTTTAACCCAACCCTGCTGCTCCTCCGAAGACCACACAGGCCTGGCTCCTTGTCAATTTTCCCATCCAACTAGCAATCAAATTTGCATGCTCTTTAAAATACCCTTTTCCCAAATGAAATTATCATGGGGATGGAAAGTTGAGACTAAACACGAGAATAATCAAAAGTGTCTTATTATGTGGCACGTGAGTTAGCTTTTGTTTCAATTCTCTAATGTAGCTTTTGGCATTAAATACATTTTTAGAAGCTAAAATAGGTCACACATGCGCTGACTGGTGCTGTATCTGTTTTATGTCTCAGACTCCTGACTTTTGCCTACGTTACTTAAAAAGCAACGGAAGAAAAAAGAAAAGACAATTTATGAAAGGGGTGACAGCTTGATTCTATTAAAGGTAGTCAAATTCTGATTAGCTGCACTTTCCCTTATGTCAATATTCCTATTCAATTAAACAGGCCAAGGAAAAGCTTTCAAGGGAGAAATACACCCCCCACCCCCATGCACATTTACTGCAAAAATCAGTGCCACTTTCTTCAATGGGGTTTTAATCATGTTGAGAGTATATTGACTAGATCAGTAGTAGGGAACCTTAGGCCCTCCAGATATAGTTGGATTCCAACTCCCATCACCCCCCGGCCAATTTGTATGTCACAAGGGCATTACTGCAAGGCAGTCATGAAGAAAGGCAGCCTGAAGTTGTGTTGATAGAGTAACTCTGGTGAGATGGCTGCGACTCAGATTCAAGCCCAGCAACCCTCCTTTATGTTTTCATAATCTCAAGTCTAGACTGCTGCAACACACTCTGTGAGGGACTGTCCTTTATAATTATTCAAAAGCAAAAAGGGTTGCTGGTGTTCTGTTAAGTATAGGTGACCATCATCACCCTACTAACTAGCTTTCCAGAGACAGTGTGCTGATTTTGTTTTTTTTTGCCTAAAGATCCACAGAAGGTTTGTGCATTACATATTCAAGAAATGGGAGTTGCAGTTTGCTGAGCTACATTTTCATTTGTCCCTTGCATCTGAGAAAAGAGAGCATTTTAAGCTATTGTGGCAAATAACTACTGAAAAACCTAACCTGATTTTTAAAAGCCATCTAAGCAAGTGTTGATCCCCATATCTTCTAGCAGTGAATTCCATAAGTTAATCCTTGTGCTGTACAAACTTATTTTCTTTTGCCAGCTTTGAATCTAATGCCACTCAGTGGTGCTGAGTTCTGTTATGAGTGAGCAAAAATATATCCTCTATCCAGATTTTCATTTCTCTCTTCAAAACAATTTCTCCCATCAACTAAAAATCTTGTTCATTGGGAAGTGTCCCATCTTCTAGGATTGTTTTCGTTTTCCCTTTCTTGTATGTTTTCCAGCACATAATATTCTAAATGTGTCTGCACCAAGGATTTACATAATGGCATTATGATATCATGACATTTTATCCTTTCCTGAAAATTGCTAACATTAAATGGGCCCTTTGTACTGCTGCAATCTGTTGAGTTGATCTCTTCAGTGAATTTTCCACAGGGAGTCCAAATCCCTGTCACACGCAGTATAGACTTCATCGATATATGTGTTATATATAATTTTGTCCCAATGTGCATCATTTTTGCCCTGCACATTAAGACTCAGCCTGCTTCGGATTACACCAACCTGAACCTATTGGTTGCCATTTGTAAATGTAGCTGTATCACTGTTAACTACTTGAATATTTATGAGTGCAGTAGATGACAATGTAGAGTGTAGATCTTTCCTCCTTTCTCCCTATTGTGTAAACAGTTTGGACTGGTTTTATTTACTGCTAGTAGTTTTATACAGGTCGTACTTTTCATTTGGCCTTCTCTAGAATGTCTAATGAGAAAATTAAGCAGACACACATCATTGCATATCACATCTCAAATATTCTTTGGGCTTTTTTACAGCCCAATAAAATCACAATTAGGCAATACAGTTAATGATACCGGTTACATCTCAGTGCTCAAACTGTATTTCTGAGGATAGTCTCGTGACTTCTTTATGGTTTGAGAATCACTAATTGTTTGTAGGAATGCAGGTTCAACTTAAAACTGAGAACCTGTTTTGCAGATGACAAGCTCAGAGCAAGCACTTCCTCCTCCTCCTGAAAGGTAGCCAAGAAAAATTGTCAGGGCTGCTGGCCCTCTGCGGTTTATGATTCTAAGGACCCGTATCATATGGTAACCATTTTCAGTGACTGACTGGAAGCTGACATATTAATGTTAATGGAATCTTCTTTGCATTAGATGGATGTGATGTGAGCATCAACTGTTTGCAGACAATTCCATCACAGAGTTTGTCTTTTCAAGAGCTCAAAAGCTAGGGCTGTTGGTCTTCCTTTTTCCAACTTGATAGTAACATATTCTCAACCTATTATAGATATCTCATTTTTAGACTTTTATTGATTGAACCAAAAAAAATTCCAAGATTCTACCCCTGCCCCGGTTTTGGCCAGTAAAATCTAATGATATCCATTGTCTCAATCCCTTCCTCTACAAATTTCGATTTTGGGTTTCATTTCTCAAGATGGTGCAGTCTGATGGAATTCTGGAGCCTGATTTTATCACTCAATATACTCAATATATATTGATTCTGTAAATGCAACTTTTTTAACAGATGGAGCTTTTCTTGCCGTAGAATCAGCTCAAACTTTCTGCAATTATTTTCTGTCTTAAAAAAATAAAATAAGGTTTTTCCTCCCCCACACAATATTTTGTATGCGATGAATACATAATGAAAATGCATTTTCATTTTGTCAATTCTTCTTGTCTCTGTGAGAAGTTATAATTGCATCCATAGAAGTTCAACAAAAGACCATTTAATTGTTTAAGGAAACCGATTTGCATCACAAATGTTCTCTCCCCCTGTGGATTACATATCTGAGTAGGGCTGTGTGTTTCATTTTTCTAATGGTGAGTACATTAGCCCATGTCCTTCAGTGAAAACGTAGATTGCCAACAAATGTAGGATTTAGTTTTTCATTTGAGATTATTCAAGCAGAGGCTTTATCTCTTAAGAAGCTTGTGAATAGAATGATTGGTTGCCCAGTGGCCATTGCTGATTTTAGTGGAAATTCAGATGAAGGCTTAAATATGTCTCAAGTCTTTTAATAAAATTAATAGCAAGGGCCACTCTGAATGTCATTGTTGAACTAACATAGCAAGCAAACAGAAAACGATTAAGCTGGATTTTTAAATGTCATTTCTCACAACTATTTTCAAAACCTTAATCCGTTGTGTTACATTCTGGGCTTTTCTCGTTGTAACTGAAAATATAGCTCAACCTCTTTGAATGCAAAGTTTAAAATGTAGGAGTAATGGTGTTAATGCAGCAGATGGAAGTAAATGGGAGATTGCTTTCTGGCTTTTTGTTGCTAGGTTGAGACATCTGTTGGCATGATAATGCAAATCTGACCTGTCAAAATTTTGGAAATCCTACTATTCTATTTTTATAGAAATGGGACAGTAATTTTGGGCAGATCAGTGCAAAGAAGCACTGAGTTGTCTCCAATGTTGCACAAGTGAAATTCTGCTTGTGCAAGGGGGCTTCCCTTCCTCACCTTGCACTCACAAACTCTGCTCTAGAGATCCCCCCCCAACGCCCTGAAGCAGATTCCGTGAGTGCAGGAGGGGGGCTGCAGCAGAGCGGGGAGGGGTTCCACTGCACAAGTGGAAGTGGCAACATTGGAAACAAGCCACTGCATGGAAACGAACAGTAATGCAATGCCATTTCTTTCAGAACGGACATAAGCCCTATTAGAGCATTCCCCATGAAGTCTTGGAGGAAAAGAATGAGGCTTGTTGGCCTTACCCCCAGTGTCATGCCCCTGCTGGTGTTGCTGTTCCACTGCCCATGCATTGGGGGAAGGTCTGAAGATAAAGAGTTTGATTTATGAATATAGGCTCTGTTTAGAACACTGATTGTGTGTGGATCTAAATCACAAGGAGAGTCTAGACTTCCTTGTGTGCCTGATGTTAAGGACAAGATGGCACCGACTCCCATTCCATGTCAACAGACGGGCAGTAGAATCTTCAATGCCGAGAGTGGCGGACTAGTTTAAGGTGTTTAGGGCAGGACATGCAACCCACACCATTGTTACTGTGGCACCTGGCTACCATTCCACACGCACCCCAGCAGCCACACTGCCTGAGGCAGCTGCTTCACACTTCCTGATGGAATGGCCGCCCCTGTCTCCACAGGTGCAGCAGAATGAAGTAGGCGCTCAGGATGAAGTAGGCACTCAAGGCAATAGAATTTAATTTAATTTTGTGTGTTACCCCATCCTTCCTCTTAAAGGGGCCCATGGTGGTGTAGATATATTCCAGCATCAATAACAGAACAAAGCATTAAAAACCTTTGTATTTTAAAAACCTGCTACCCTGAGCTTTGGGAGAAAGAGCGGGATAGAAATGGAATAATTTTTAAATTTTATTTAATGGCTGCTAAAGCTGGTGTTCTCCAGTAACTCTACAGATTTTGGCACCAGACCCTCCTGAGTCAAGCTACCTCTTAAGAGAGGGGGAAGGCATTACAGGAGGGGAGAGGCTTGTAGACAAATGATAGTTTTCTCAGAAAGCCTAAAGTACTGTGATAGAAGCATCATCACTTGTGCTCTTGCACATTCCTTTCTAGATGTATATAAGGGGAGGGTTTTTTGGTTTCTCTTTTAATTTTGTCATTACATTCTTTGCGGTTGATTGATTTCATTATTTATTCAGAACTAGTTCATTCATTTTAATAATTCCCTTTCTGTTTCATATCCCATTGCCTTCAGAGGGAGACAGACTAGTGTTCTGCTGCCTGTAGTTTGCGTTTTCCATACAAATGGGCATGGCATTCTCAGGCACAGCATTATACCTGTCAAATTCCAAACAGTTTGGGGAGAGGGTAGCTATTTTATAGGCTATTTTTGAAAGACACAGACACAGTCTAAACAACTTGGCTCTTCCTAACTCGCTGTAACTTTTCTGTGCAGGCTTGTTCTGGACTAGTTTTTATCTGAATAGAAATGAATAAGGAAATAATTCAGTGAGCAAGGAGTGGTCCCCCTGTTTGCATTCCTATTCAGTTTTATAGCTAAAATGAATGCAGTGTATGGGGCTCATTCATTTATGTTTTTTAAATAAACACAAGAAGTACTTCTTTCCTAAGTTCCTCAGTAAAATCTTGTTAAATAGGTTTTGTGTGACTGCAGTTGAGGACCAAAAGTATACCAATGGCAATGAAGCTTCCATAAGCCCAAAAGCAAATAATAAAATACGCACACACAAAATTGAATGCCACCAGACCAAAGGGTGTGAAGGTGGAGTCACTCCCAGCTGCACATGCAAACCCCTGTTCTGAAATCTGGCTTTTCAGATAACTTTTTTTTCTAAAAGATGTTCACATTCTTCCACCAGTGCATTCCATGAGGAAAAAGCTTGTGTAATCCTAACAAATGCTCCTCTATGTTCTGGACAACAAATTCATTATTCAAGCAGGAACCCTTCGGCCATTTGGGATGAGGAAAGATGTTGGGGTAGGAATAAGTACACTTGTTTGGTTAAACAGGGCTGGAAACATCCTAAGAGATGAGAACCCTGTTGTTGGTGCTTAAGTATTTGGAATATTCACTCCATTCATTCATTTATATATTTAATTAGTTAAATAATTCACATACCACATTCAGAGCAGGGAGCGTAAATCCTGAAATACATGAAATAATGTTGAAAGCAATGTAAATCAAGTGGTTAAGACCACAGCACCACTTGTGTCCCCTTTCACAAAGGCCAGTGGAACCTGGTCAAATAGAGTGACTGGGGCACTGCCCAGTCATGTGTGGTTTAAAGGGGGGAAATTACAAATTCTCCCCCCAAATAGCCTGCTGTCCAAAACCACACTATTTTCTGTTACCTGCACACTCCCTAGCCTTCCATTTGAACTGTTGTAGCTATTTCTGACAATCAGCCAAGCAGTTTGTTCCACTGCTCAACCAATCCAAGCCAAAACTATTGTTTTAGGCAGGAAATCCATCCCATTCAAATTCAGGCAGAAAAACACACACACATAGCAACTGATAGGGCACCTGGTCCATATCTTCTTTTTCATCCTTATAGGCCAGTGATGGCCAAACCTGGCCCTCCAACTGTAAATTGGAACTACAGTTCCCATCATCCCTGACCACTGGTCCTGTTAGCTAGGGATGATGGGAGCTGTAGTCCCAAAACAGCGGGAGGGCCAAGTTTGGCCATCACTGTTATAAGCAATCCAGCTAATCAGGTCACAGGTGTTAGCAGGCAGCTGAGAAAAATACTCCCCAAATTGCTTGCCTTTTTACTCCCAAGCCCTGAAAACTGGCAGCCAATTAGAATCAGTCTTCTGATCTGAGCATGCCCAGACCTTTTCCTTTGCAAAGCAGCTGCTGAATTGTGGGTAAAGCCCCATTTTGCTGCGATCCCAGCCACCAGGTGAGCAAAGCAGCTTCCCCCCTTCTGTTATTAATGGCTTGACCTGTGGAAGGATTATTGGTGCTTCTGTGAAGGAGCAAGACCGCAGGGCTCTGGTGCACCAAATGTGAGTCTGTATTTTATTTTTAAAGCTATATTACTACTGTATTTGGGGAATGGAGCGCTTATGTCTCCTTGTTGAGATAGCCGTGGGGTAGATTACTCTCAGAGCTTGTACATAAAATTGTGTGGTACACTTTCAAAGGGTAACAAACTCATCACTCACAGCAGAAATGAAAAACAGGAAATGTATTGTTACAGGATTTGGGGGTTGGTTTGAATGATACTTTGGGTGTCCTCCAAGCCTGTGGTTTTGTTAAGGGGGAAGTACGTTTTCTTTCCTTTTGCTAAAATTGTGCTGGTGGTGTACTCTGCAAGGCTGTTGTGAGGAGAAAACACTACAAAACACTTGAACAAATTTAAAACATTATTACAAATGTAGAAAACTGCAGGGGATGGTTCAGATTCCTGTCCCAGCATTTTCCCACACAATGGATTTGCTGAGGACCTGCACTTGAAATCTATTGCTCATAGGCAATAATATCCTAGTTGGTGTGTTCTTTTAGGTTTGTTTTTGTATTATTCCAAAACTCCTTTCAGAATCGCGGGGGTGGGGAGACAGGTGGGAGATCATCTTCTTTTACATTTAAATCACTACATCCTTCGAAAGAGCTCAAAGTAGCAAACAAGGTATCCCTATTCCCCATGTAATCCTCACAACATCCTTGTGAGGTTGGTCAGGCTGAGAGGCCATGTCTGGTCCAAGGTTTTACAATAAGCTTCATGGCCCAGTGGTGATTTTGAACCTCTTCTCTTAAATCCTAGTCCGATTAAGAACCTACCACTTTATTCCATATTCTGGAAAGTAGACCTAGAAGTCACAAAGCTGGAGGAAGGGATCATCTTTTCCCATTGTGCTGGAAGTTTATGGAGGCCCTTGTTAACAGTTCAGTGTGGCGCCTTTTAACTCTCCCTTGGCCCTGCCTCTGCAACCTCTGAGGCCTTGCCTAGTTGCTCTTCCAGGTCCAGGGTCCAGCAGTCTAGGTGGGACACCAAGGAGGACTTCCTCTGATGGTCTTAAGAACTAAAAATTTGATACCTGGCTACCAAGAACACTAAGACCGAAATCTTAGGCATAACTTACCTTGGAGTAAGCTCCAGTGAATACAATAAAATAAACATGCCTAGACATGGGCCCTGTCCACACTTCCACTTGTGCTGTGCCTAAAAAGCACGGATCTGAGCAGAGTTTTTTTGCTTCCTTTGCATTTTCTAGGCATGGGTCTGAGCGGTTTCCCCCTTGCCCTGCTCACATCAGCAGGGCTGTGGTGGTGGGTCTTGTCCTCTGGGCAGCCCAGGACTTCCATATACACTGCGCAGGCTTGTGCCCCAGGGAAGCCACTTATTGCTGCTAACGCAGCTGTTTGACTTCACCCCTCAGGGGCACACTCCATGCCAACATCTCTATATAGCAGGAATGTCACATCTTCTGTTACACACTGTGTTTGTGTATGGGACACATTAGATAAAGAATTTGCCTAGGAAAGCTGTATTCTAATAACACTAAACTGCAGGCAGAATTTGGTGATCATTTTTGGGTGGATTTGTAGAGAAGATAATGTGCAAATGGAAGGATTTGCCATCAGTGTCTGGAAATGACTCCTTTTTGCTTTTGCTGTTGCCGTACTTGATAAAATAGCATCATGTCAGGCATATAAATCTTGTCCCAGTTAAGTAAAGATTCAGAGGAACTCTTGTGCTCATAGGTGTTACTGAACGGAATTAACATCTAGTTTTGTATTGCTTAAATTCAGTATTCATACCACATAAGGGTACCTTCACTTTTGTTTTATTCTTACAAGGGAGCATGCTGTTTGTTGCAGAAATGTATCCATTTTCATGTTCATCAAAGCTGTGACACATTACAGTTTAGGTTACCAAAACTTGAATTTACTATGTATAGCCCCAGTGTTGTTCTGGCAGCCGCAGGAATATTATTTCGATGTTGGCTGTGTGAGGGAAATCTTTTTTCCACCACATGAATCTTCCTTAGTAGAACAGGAAATGGGTCCAGGATGTGTTGGTGCTTTGGAGCACAATGTTTGTCTCATGCTTTCAAAGGGTAAAGTGGCGACTCAAATGTACTGATTGTAAAGTACAATCAGAGATTATAATCCACTTGATTAATTCAATATCAAATATGTGATCTAAATACTAAGGACTATAATCAGGGAGTTTATTCATTCCTTTACTGGGTTGTTGTGTGTGTGTGTCTTGCTGCCTGCATTTTGATCTTTGTTTATAAATAAAATTCTATGTTGTAGAAAATGTGATATTTGGCATATGGTGCAATATCACAGCAATTAAATTTGGTTAAGGAATGCAAGCACACCAAACCGTTATTCTTGGAATGAACTGCAAAGAACTGACGTAGATAATTTCTGTGCAACATGTAATTTTATGCGTGACTAATGACTGTGCAGTGGTGGCATGATAAGCGATAGATGGTTTAACTGAATGGGCACCTAGCAGGGGGAAGTAGGTAAATTTATGAAGAGGTGCTGGAAATCAGAGATTTTCAGCCTGTTCATTCCCTTCCTGCACAAGGTCTATTGACACTCAAAGGAGGCCCTTCCATGCCTCATGCAGATACACCAGCCTATTCCTGCACAGCACCCTTCCCCAACCTGGCGCTCCTTGAGCTGTTCGTAGAGTTGGAAGGGACCATGAGGACCATCTAGTCCAGGCATAGGCAAACTCAGCCCTCCAGATGTTTTGGGACTACTCCCATAATCCCTAGCTAGCAGGACCAGGGGTCAACGATGATGGGAATTGTAGTCCCAAAACATCTGGAGGGCCGAGTTTGCCTATGCCTGGTCTAGTCTAACCCCCTGCCGTGCAGGAATATGCAGCTGTCCCATACAGGGATTGAACCTGCAACCAGCTGAGCTGTCCAGGCTGATGAGAAACTCCAACTCCCATCAGCCGCAGCCAGCATGGCAAATGGTCGCAGAGGACGAGAGAGCCAGGCTGGGGGAGGTTGCTCTAAAAGTACACACGAGGGGATAACTCCTACTCTTTGGAAGATAAGCCTATGCACAGAGGACTTATAGAGGAGTGGGATAGTGTGTCCAGTTGTAGGAGCTATATAGAATCCCCATGGGGATTGCTCTCATGTACGCAGAGCTACAGAATGCGGGGAAGGGCAACTAGTCTGCACCAAATGTATGGCCCAAATCAGAGTCCTTATGGGTGACATAATATCCTAGCTCATTAGCTTTTGTGTCCCACCAAAAGTTTCAGTGGGATACAGCTTGAACCCAGTAATCTGTGTCCTCAACTTGTTTTATAAGACAGATTGTTTTGAACATTAAATCAGGAAGCATTGAGTAGCACCCTCCTCTTCTCACACTCCGTTTAATTAATATACCACCAGTCTTGCTGGGCTGGCCCATGGGCTTGTTCTCTTGGCTCTAATTAATGGCAGCTTTTACATAACATTGTGAGATACTTTATGTTCCCTTTAGAGCTTTTTTTAATTTAAAACCCTCTAATTTTAAATCCCTTCATTAGTGTTCCTCACAGCAGGAGCAGCAACTAAGCATGGTTTGTATTCTGGTGACATCTTCTGGATGAAGTTGTTGCTAAACAGAACTATCAGTGCGGCCCTTCTTTGCTCTAGCAGTTTTCGTCTTTCTCTGTCTAGTGAGTATATGCATAGTATAGAGAGGATTCTACCCAGCTACATTTTTGTAGGGTTGCAGGATTAGTATATTTAAATCAGAAGATCGAGGGGCTAAAACATATTCACAAATTAAAGCTGAAAGGCCCAGCCTGTATAGACATGCTCGGTCCCTTGTGCCATTCACTCACGTCCAGGCTAACATTTAATGTTACTTCTATGACTTAGGATTTATGGGATGCTTTACCCCATACGAAGTCCCTCCACCTCCACTAACCCAGACAACAGCTTTGGAAGGTAGGCCAGTAGTATTGGCTGAGAAACGGTGCTTCGCTTGTGGCAACAACTGAGTTCAAATGTGTGGCAGTTGTTCAAACCATGGGACCTTGTAACTCCCATCTTTTAGGGCCAGACAAGACATACTAGAGATGTCTTTGCAGTTAATGCATGCATTTTTAAAAATGCAAACAGCTAGTGCTAGAAAGCTGCTCTTGCTCTTCTTCCTTTTCACAGGCCAGACATGTGGGTCTGCCTGTCCGCTTCCCCAAGCTGAATGTCTGTGTGAGTGTTTAACATGTGCATGTAGCCATGTGTATACACATGATCAAGGTATGTGGCCTGTCTTCAGTGTGACCCTCGGTTCAAAAAAGGTTAGTCACCCCTGGGCTGACATGTCATCTGCTGAAGTGGACTGTAGTGTGGAAACTTGTGCCATAAGAAATCTAGCCTTTCAAGGTGTAACCTCATTGGTGTGTTTTATTTCGTTCTGATTCTTTGTTTGGAGAAGCTCACTATAATTGTATGGTGTGTGTCTTGGAGGGGATTGCAATTATTTTTCATATAGAGTTAGGAAGCAAATCTGTAACCACCCAGTCTGAGATACAATGTAGTACAAATCCTGACACAAATGAATGTGCCATCTACAGCATCTTTTAAGTGGCCATGTTTGGACACCCCCCTAACAAGAACAAGCTGCAGTAAGTCTTGACTGGGGCTGGGCGGTACCTGGTTTTCAATATCACAATATATCACCAGCTGAACATAGCAATATTTTGATGTTTGAAATAAGGCTGGAACTATGTAGAGGTGAATGTGGCAATGCCCTGGCAATTGCTACTACTTACGGGTCTAACTCTAAAACTGATAAATTTTTATTTACCTTTAACATATTGTGAAACTGTTGTGTTATAGTACTACTGTACTGATAATGTTTAAATTAGCACATTTTCTCTAAAATTAAAGCTGTAGAAGTAATTCAGTAATTATCAAAGGTAAGGTGGGAGAATGTTTCCTAAAAATTTAATGCCAATTCACATTTACTGTCACTTTTATTCAAATATATTTCATTATTGAGTCTTAGTTGAATGTGTGCATCCTACAACACCATTAGTTATTAGATTGTTAGTTAATTTTCTTTTCTAAACCAAGCCAAAATAGAAAGAATGAAATGGATAAATTTTAACAGAACAAAAAATTTCTAAACAAAATGGTATATTTTTAGTGCCAGGGGAATTGTGTGTGTGTGTGTGTGTGTGTGCGCACACACACACACACACACACACACCCCAGGCCTAACCAGAAAGAATGGATAGGAATTCACAGAATAAAAAATTATTAAACAACAATATATTTTTTTGCAAGGAAAATTTGATGCATTTAATTATATGAAAATTTACTCAATGATAGCGTGCTTCAACTGTAACATTACATATTTCTGGAGAATATATTAACGTTAATATAGTAATCTGTTATTAATAATAACAAATGAGTGAGAAAGCAAAAGGGCAAGGGGAGAATTAAGAAGAGTTCTAGGGTAGGGAGAGGGTCTGGAGGGAGACACACAGACAATTGCGCACAAGTGCATGGAGGGAAGTTCCTGCTTGCAGGCTGCTGAGCTCCGCCTGCTCAGGAGATGGAGCGCTCAGGCGAACTTAGGCTGCGTGCATGCGCACACACACGGTATCTCCAAGGGCCATTTTTGCCTGCCGCTGAGGAGGCAGAGGAGACGGAGAGCTAAGGCAGGGAGTTACCCTGCAGTGCACGTTTTGCGTCAGCCTGCTGCCGCTGCTGCTGCTTGCAGGGGCATGGAAGAGCAGCTGAGGCAGAGTTAGCAATAGCATTGGCAGCACAGCACAGGACAGGAAGCAGCACCGGCTTCCCAATTTTTGCAATGTCACGCTTTTTACTATTGCACACAAACACACAAAAGGTTCATGAAATATTGCCAGGTAATTTTAAAAAAACGGTTATCATAATTTGCTCTTAATATTGATATAAGACAGTACATATTGATATATCGCCCGGCCCTAGTCTTGACTTTGAACGCTTCTCCCTCTCCTCCTCTGGTAGAGTTGTGAAGAGGAGACTAGAAGCTTTTGCTTCAGATTTCTATTAACCACAAACTGTGGTCAATAGTAAACTACAGCTTGCATAACCTGGCCACCATTATAACATATTGTTTGCAGTTGGCTTGTTTCAAACACTACACTAGCACATGATGCAGAACTGTGAGATATGCGTATCTTGTATCTGAAGAAGTGTGCATGCACACGAAAGCTCATACCAATAACTAATTTAGTTGGTCTCTAAGGTGCTACTGGAAAGAATTTTTGTATTTTGTTTGCACATGAAGGAAACTGTAGGTGGTCTCATAAAATCATTTCTGTCCCTCACAAGTTAACTGTTGAAATTCATGATTTCTAACATGGATACAAAGCATAGTCTTTGCCTGTAGAATTATTTGATGGGACATAGGCAGCATAATTATATTTGATCCAGAAATCTATTGTGATCATTCAGAAAGACACAGCTTCCTTCTATAAGGATTCCCCATTCACATATAGAGGGAATGGCTCCATGTAGACAGGAAAACCTAGATCAAGCACAATTCTATTTAACTGGCATTCTTCATATCCCTCCCCCTACATAGCATGAGACTTGTGAGGTTCAATTGGGAGGAAGGTCCATATTCAGCCGTGCTCACCCTCCAGCAAGTGTGCACAGGAATGCAGACTGTACAGATGACACATTTCCCAAAGCTGGTATATTTAAGCACAATGTAAGCTGAAAACAAAACAAAAAGTCTAGATTTTGTAACAAAATTTATTTTTGCTCTGTAGATACAAATCCAAACATCAAACAAATTGAGTGGAAAAATACTAGTAATTAACAATGAAAACTTTTATTATTTAATAAATAGAACTTTGGCATTCAAAATTCTAGCTGTAAACTCTACTAAAAAAAAAGTTACAAAAAGAGGCAAGAATGACAGGCCTGGAGACATGAGCCAACCAGTGGCTCTTTAAAAATAAAATAAAAACAACAACACTGGATGCATTTCGATTTAAGTCATGACAACTCTATTTACACGAGGTATTCTGAGTGGTTCAAAAACTGAACCCAATTTTGAAAAACTACCAGTCTTGGGAGACTGATCCAGTACATATCTGCTGTGCTTTTAAAGATAGCCCCTTTTCCCTTGCCTTCTCCGCTGATTATCAATGATGTACTATACCTACTATATACAAAATTAATACATTCTGTTTAATGTTCTTCATATACAGAAAAGCTGGAAAATAAAGATCAGACTGCCTTCTCAAATATTGACCCACAGCTTTTAGAAAATATTTCTATTTATGAAAGTTATTTTTCACAAGCCTACAAGCTAAAAAATAATACTAATAAGCAGAGGAAACAAAGTGCAACAACTTGATACTCTCATAACTTTAAAAATTAAGATTATTATTAAGCCATCAGCTAAAATAAAAGGCACAAAGGTACACAGAAGTGGAATTAATAGAACTATTGAATAAGCTATTGGTGTGTTTGATTTGTTCACTCCCCTTTTTTAAAATATCCACTGACTTTTTCTAAAGTAGTAACCTTACCTTCTACTTTGGATGAAATGGTATCCACATCCAGAATATTGTGTAAAATCTCTTTCATGCAGAGAGATATACAAAATATACAAGCGGATTTACAGAGGCATTATTGAATGACAAATTTGGTTTTCTGTAATTGAGTGAATTTAGCCCCAGCTTAGGTTTCAGGCAAATGAAAATGGATACTTTGCCTTGCATTTCTCCTCTCTCATTCCAGAATCTGGCAATAAATAATTCCTCTCCATTTTGCCCACAAAAGTGAAAACCAAAAATAATGAGAGAGCGAGAGAGAGAGCGCAATAACTTTGGTTCATATAGCTAATTTTGTTATGTTTTTAAAAGAAATCTCTATCCAGAGTTGGTGTCTGTGGCAACCTAATTAACTGAAATTCAGATCTGCTGTGCTTCTAAATCTACACACATAAAGCTGAAGGTTTAATACCTAATCCTAAACACATTTAATTAGGTAATCTTGGTGATTTGGGGCTTACTGTTACGGCTTACTTCCAAGTGTGCATAGGATCGTAGACAAGCGGCCTAACTGGACTTTAAAGTCAAGTTTACATAACCATTTTGAACATGACCTAAATATGACGCTACAAATTTTATATGGCATATAAATAGCATTAGTTATATCCAAAAACAATTTTCCAAGTTCCTTTTTGAAATACATTCTTGAATTACAGTAGTTACTACAAAATGCCATCTACACAATTATAGAAATACAACCTGAAATATGAAAATTGCTTGTACATTTCTTTTCATGTTTTCTAATAGATAAAACTGCAGCTTTCATTCATTCATAATATATTTTTCAGCCCTTGGGATTGTCTCTCATATCTGTGGCAAAAGGTTGTCATGACTAAATCAGCCTACTCAGTAATGCCATTGTTAACCACTTCTCTTAAAAGCTAGTATTAGTTAGCTTCACATAAAATACGTTGAACGGGACCATAGATAACTATTTTTTGCTGAAAATACCCATGCATATCTTACCTATTTTTTAAAAATGGCATTGTAAACCGATGGGCTCTTTAGCTACTTAAACAGCAGGCCTTGCATTATAACATTAGTTCAAATAATATAATACTGTGTCCCTATGGCTCACATAAATTTTGCCCATGGCATTTCGGTCTTTGGCTACCACCTCCTTTCATTCTTTAACCATGACTGAGACAAGAGAAGCCTGTCATCAGTAAGTGGAAGCTTCCTTCCAAATGCAGGTTTCCTTCTAGATTCTAGCAATTGTGTGTAACAGTGGCTACTGTTTATGGTATCACCACATCCAGCACTAAAATATGAGCTCATGTCAGCAAAACAAGATCATCTTTGGATGCACTGGGTATGTTCCGAAAAGGGTGGCTGAGTAGCTGAACTGCAAATGCTAGTAGTCACACTCCCTTGCACTGTGCATTTGATAGTAGCATGAAAGGGGCCTATTTGTTTACAACTGAAAACTGTGAAGGCCTTCAGAAGAGGAGGAACCATGGCCATGTACATGTGCTGCTCCCCTTCATACTCCTGCCCAAGCATGCAGCTGCTGAGGGGGTTGTGGCCAGTGACATGATCCTGCTACCCTCATGCTTTCACTGAACACGTGGAGAAGTCTCAAAAGGACTCTGGAAGAATGCCAAAAGTTGCTGCGGAACATAGGCTTTATTCTTAGAGAATTGCTGAGCAAATGTTGAGCTTCTTCAAGGGTTACACGTATACCTACGTACAAATTAAGATGCAGTAATTTCTTCCATTACTCAATTACTTAATTATTCCCCTTTATGAGGTTTTTAAAATAGTAACTCCACTTCAGCATATTTAGAGAATATTCTTGTTGTTCAGCTTTCCATTTCCAAAGAAGAATATCAGTCTTTTTTAAAAAAGCCAAGGGCTCTAAAAAATTGCTTATGCAAACAAGCTTTTAAAAAACACACTGCTATTTCAATGCTTCATTTAAATGAATTAGGAGGGGACGACATTGACTGAAATAAATAAGTTTATAGGCAACAAACAAGGAGGTCAAATAAGTCCTAGAGCAAGGCTAAGAAAATACTGAGTGTCAGAGAGAATGTTGCGCAGAAAAACTCGCTCCTCTATTTTGGTGATTTTCAATGGGTGCTGCATAACAAGGCGGAAATGTTTGCCTATTCAAGTGAGGGCAGGAATCATGCTTTTCACTCCGATTTGGCTTCATGATGGCATAACGTGGCCACATTTAACTGGCTGTGTGATTACTTGGTATTATCATACTGCTGATGTGAACCCTGACTGACTGTGATTATCTCAGAAAGAGCCCCATGTCTTTTTTTTTGTTTGTTTAAAGGACACCAAGGCTGCAGTCCAAGGAAATAAGAAAGTGTAAATAGTATGCAAAAGATAGAATAATATGAAGTCAGGACAGCTGTGAGCATTCTGTCCCTCAATGCCTAAATTTTTGTGGCCAAACATTTGGCAGAGTCTTGTTCCTAAGTGCTTTGCAAAGCTTCACTGTCTCTATTCTCAACTGGGTTATCTTCCACAAGTAATGAAGGTAATGAGTAGACGATGGTAAGGACTTAATTTATATGAAGTTTATATTGCCTAATTTACAACCAATGTAAAAATTAAATAACTTCTTCAGTTTCTTTGTCCCAAAATTATACTGTTTACGGACAATGGGAGGAATTCAATGTGGTGGTAAGGTGATTGTTCTGTCAGGGCAAGCGTTTCCATCAGATAGAACAATTTGCCTCTCCTACCACCACACTCTGGGTTTCTCCCAACCCCTAGAGCCCGTTTTGGGAGGCACACAGGGGGAGGAATGAGGGGGAGTCCTGTTGCACAGGCAGAAGAAGACCTTGCGCAGGGTTTTTGCTGACAGACTTGATTAGTTGATTCCTGCACATTAGTTCTATTTTAACTCTCTTAAATATTTTTTCTTGGTCTATGGTGATGCTGCAGTGTCAAATTTATGGCAAAGTTCTGTTTATAAAACAGAAGATGCAACAGGGAAAAAATACTTTAACCATCGAGTCATCTTTAAGACATCTCTACAGCATAGCACGTTGAGTCAGTGTCTTATCACACTTTCAGTTGCTTCCTGGCGTGAAAGTAAATTGATTAGAATTATTTTTCACCATTCATGCTCTCATCTGCATAGAAACAAACAAAGTAATTCTTAACTTGAGTACAATACCGCCTAATTAGACCTACTTTCTAATAACTGTAGTGGGTTTTGCAGTTGTTAGTATTTTAAATTCAAGCAATTTGTTTTATGTTGTAAGGACGGAGGACTAAGTACTTTCATGCTTACAAAGTTGTTTCAAGATAATACTTACAAATCTCCATTTGAAAACACTGAACAGTAGTTAAGATAAATACTAAAATAAATTTCCACAGACAGAAGTCAGGACAGTGTTGATCAAGAAACACCCATTTAAATAAATATAACTCTGGGAAAAAATGACCAGAATAGGTTTTTCCTTTTTTTTTAAATAAGTACTATCATATGCAAATGGTATTTCAACATAAACCAACAATGTAAAATGGAGACATAACATGTAAAACTGAAAATGGCAACCTTTTCAAAAGAACCTCTTGCTCACTTTTAGCTATGACAGTTGGCAAGACCAGTCTATAGCTTTCTGCACATCAGGGCCAATTGTCATAAATAAGCAAAACGTACCTTATTCTCTCTTTTCCTTTCTCTTTCAAAAGGAAGCACTTTGTTGCTTTATATAACTGATTGTCAGAATAAAGTGACAGCAGGCTTGACTTGGCAGAAAGGATGTGTATACTTTAACACAGCAAAATAGAGCAGTTCTGATTACCAAGTGATTTTGGGTACATTGCTTCCTAAATCTAGAGCACTCCTATTGTAACTATCTACCAGGAACAATGACTTTCAGAACACATGAATTAAACATGTTTCTTTTAGGTTTTAAGCTTCCTGGGTGCTGGAGTGAGCTCCTGGGGAAATTTAAAGTAATTAGGTATTGATTATAAGGATGCAATATTCTCCTGCTCTTTCTGTGTGGGTTAAAAAAACCCTTTCTAGCCTTTACGCCGGCGTGGCTAACCTTTTGGGTTGAATGACTGTGTTAACCCTTGGCCAACCCTCTGGGGGTGACCACATCACACTCTTGGGCATTCACACATGAAGCCCAGATGTACAGGCAAACATGCAGCCTCCCCGCCTCACATGATCCACGAAGATGAACTATTTGGTATCAAGGAGAGGCTAATTTGCATCCCCATCAGGGTGCTGGTTGGAGCCCACTCCAGCGAGGTGCCAAAATCAATGGGGTCCTGAAGGGTCAGAAAAAATTGCTTGTGGTGTGTATGTCCAGGTCAGGTCCCAAGAATGGGGCAGAGAAAGGTTAGCCATCCATGTATAATGCACCCAGGTCACAAATGAACTTAATTGACAGCAAAGTTTCCACACTAATATAGTGCAGAAGAGGCTCACAGGATGACAGTTAAATTCTCAGGCCTGAACTTCTTATGCTTTATTGAAAATATAGGAGCTTATGTGCTGCTTTGTCTAAGAGGAACACTGATGATCAATGGACATCAATTGCTAAGTAAAATGACCTTTACCAAGCTGAGATGGCAAACATTGCAAGGTAGGCAGGCTACCTTTGTGTGTGCCTGCCCTCAAACAGTCCTTCTAAGGAGCCTCCATGTCATCATCCAGTTTTAATACCTACACACGGCAGGGCACTTAAAACTTTTTCCCCCTAGTAAAATTCTCAATACTGATCTTGTACCCTAAAGCTTTGCTGAAGGGGGGAAATTATACAGCAGTAACTGCAGTGCCTTCTTCTGACACTTAAATCTTTTGACTCCAGAAGACAATATGGATGCTTTTACAGACCATGTCAGAGGAAACAAAATCCAACATTTCCAACAGAAACACATTCTTCACAGCTTTGACCTACATTCAGTAGTTTTGAAGAAATCAGATCTCTTGTGCAGCATGTCCCGTTCTCTTCAAGTGACGACTGCTTCACCGGCATGAACTTATATGCAAACGCTTGAAACCCTTTGATCTGGCACACGGAGCGTGTCTTCCAGTATGGCTCCTTAACATAAACACAAGGAACTAAAACCAGAGCAGCATTTAATAACTTAAGTCACTGTTGCCGTGAGCCAAACCTTTTATCACTGTGTAATGCAATTTTCTCCCATGTCTTGAGCATAGCAGTCTGATATTATAGTCCTCAATTCATCAATATCTTTTCGTAACTGACACACCTCTAAGAGTTTCTTTGAGAGAGTTTCTGTGCTGTGGTAATTCTCATCTTCAGATGAGCAGCTCATTGCTGAAATTATAATAAAAAGACAAGACAGCTTAGGTAAACACACAGTTCAACACACCTAACTTTGATTTAAATATTCCAGCCAATGTTTGTTTTGGTACATTGAAAAGAAAGTACGAAAATGTGGCACTTTCCCTTCCACAAATGTGGAAGAAAAGGGGTTTTTAAATATTGGTTTCTTGCCAACAATGCAACAAGAATGGAAACATTCAGAAAGTGATTTTGGTTAATATCCCCCCCCTCACAGCCACCCAACCAATCTGCTTGAGAGGGTCCCCCAACCCTCTAGCAGATTCTTGGTTGTGTGCGAGTAAGGATAAGTCCCACTTGCAGAAGCAAAAATCAGTTGTGCCGGTGGGACACAACACCTGACTGCTCAGAGGCCACAGAGAGTGTTATGCACATTGGGTATGCTGTTGAAAAGCTTCAGGGAGCTCAAGCAAATAGGAGGATCAGCTTCTGAAAAGCTGTTTTCCATGCACTGTTTTTAGCGCACCAATGCAAAACACCAGCATTTAGCCTACACAGTTGCTCTTACAATATGCGCTGCTTTGCATACATCATCATTATTATTACACTGCTGTACAGTTTTTACAAGGGCCGTAAGCTTTAATTGGCAATAGTAGGTGAGGCTATGAGTTAAGGCTCACGTGCATATTTCCGATTTTAGCTCATGTGTTGCAGTGTATAATAGCGAATGGAATAATAATCATGATGTATGAATCTGATTTATTGAATTGCTGGTGTAAACGAAACTGGACTTTACCTTATTTTTGCAGAGCTGTTCACTGTATCCATTGCTAGTCACCACCAACCTTCCTCCATTTTATTATTTATGTATGTGTTAAATGTATACCCCGCCCTTCCATAAAAAATGTACAAGGTGGCCAAAAAACAACAACCCCCCCCAACTAATTCACAAACAAATAAGCAATATAAAAATCACATAAGAGCAGACAAAAATAACAGCAAGTTTAAAATATAACTAATTAGGAATGCTGGTCGAAATACAGAGCAGCAGAGCAAACAAAACCAGACCAGTAGGCCAAACATGTGTGTTAAAAGGGGTTGCCTGTTGGCAGAAGGCCATCAACAAGTGAGCAAAGCAAGACTAGTACTAAGGCAGAAAATAAGAGTGGGAAGGCAGCTTGTAGGGGAGCTATAAGGAGACAACCATTGTAATACGCCTTCCCACAGATTCTGGAAGTACAGAAAAGTCTAATAATTCCTGCATTCTTTTTACCATCCATAAATGTAACCTGTCTTGTTTTATTTTACTGTTACAGTAAGTTCTAATCTTGAGTAGGTAAGAAGCAATTTTTTTAAAATCTTGTGGTTACTAAATGCCAAACCGGAAGGTTTCTGTTTGGTTGTCAATGTTTGGTTGTCAACATTATAACTATAAAGTACAAGTCACACCCCGCAAACTTGCTCTTTCTCCCTGGCCAAATACTTGGATTTTACTTGTATAGATATGTCTTCTCATTGTTCAAATCACTTACATCTGATTCCCAGCAGTAAGGACAGGTTAGGCTCCTTGCCCTGAGCTCTGTGGGTAAGAATACTGCAAAGTGCTTTCAAGTCAAATAAACAGTGAGACATTTCCTTGAATAACTGATCAGCCACAGGTAGTTTTTCAGCCACCGGCTGTCTGGACAGCTCCATCTGATGAATCTGTTCCCTCAAAGATGCATTTTCTTCCATAAATCTTTGGTTCTTAAATAGGGAGATAGAAAATAAAAAATGCAGACTTTATTCACTGGTTCTGTTTATTAGAAAAAATATATAAACAACAGGCATAAGTTATTTCGGAAGCTGTTGTCCATTTTAATGAAAATGAACTCTGTCTTCAGAGCCAGTCTATCTCTGAAAAGGAAATGGTGTGGGAAAGCAATAAAGAATGCTCATCACCATTAAATTCTGCTTGTGGATGTCTAAAGGTATCTTGAAAATGGCTGTTGGAAACAGAAGACTGGACTTGGAAGACTTTAATTTAATCCAGCAAGGCATATTTACAATATACTTTTTAAGGAATATTCCCAGAAGATTTCTCAATCATGCACACAATTCAATAAATGACAAAATGTGTTTTATTACCCTAGACAGGGAATGACAAACAATTAACTGCACATGATGCATCTTCCCTCCACCACAAAAAACAAAACAAAAACATTATGGGGTCAGGATAAGTCTCACAATCCCCATGTTTAAATTGATAAGTTGCCTTAGCATTTCATCTTGAAATGTAAGTTTCTAGTATAGGTTCAATTAATATCAAAGCCTTAAGTATGCATTCCAAAAGATCAAGATGACAATACTTGCTTGCTATAGGATATAAAATATAGAAAAGACTTCATTAGTTAAACTTTATAAACAACTCATCCTGATCCAGAAAGTGTGCACAGGGTCATATTTTTAGATGTAGATTCCATTTCTGGATATAGTCTCTCACTGGGATTCAAAGAGTGACACTGGGTACACCCAAAGATTTGGCTTATTAGTAGAATTTCTGACATTCCCTCTCCCCTCCAGCAGCAACACAACAATGCTATATCATAAATTGCGCCCCCCAGTCTAAAAGTGAGTTGCCATATAGTCCTGTGGTGTGGGAAACACAACTCCTCTGTGAACAAGCAGGACTATTTGTCCAGTCTTTTGGTTCCTAGCCTAAATGTGTAAAAAGGCTGTTGCTGCTACATAAGCTGCGAGTCCTTGTATCCTTCATCTTATGGTAAGCAACTGGTGGTCCTTCTCCATCACCAGACTAGTGATCAGTGAGGACAGTGCCAATCACCTGTTAGGACTGGAATGTGAACACCATATCCAGACACAGTATTTCTCCTTCAAGCGACAGATCAGCTGTTGTGACAACTATTGTTAAACCGAGAATATCACCACTTACCTTGTAGTGTCCAGAGTTTCTTATCTTTAAGAGAAATGATTGTTTCTCGTATTGTTACGCCTCATTCCTTCTCAGGAATGCAATTTTGTGATGTATTAATAGAATAGAACAAAATGGTGACATGGTAGACAACTGGCTCAATAGATGCGATCTCAAAAACTTACTTCGAGTAGCGTCTTTTGTAACTGCTGTACACTCTTATCCTTTTCTTCAAGTTCACTTTTCTGTTTTTGAATTGTCACTTTTCCTTGCAAAAGCTTATCTTGCATAGACTAGGGGGCAAAAAAAGAGAAAATCACCTTAAAGCATGTAGTCCAATAAGCGGATAGCTCAAACACTGTCAGTTGCATTTGCTTCTGCTTGTAACTTCAGTCTTCTAGGAGCACTTTAGGAAAATTTATGCTGGCTATTGTGCTGACCAGTTTCTGGAGCTGGGGAGGTCATTTAGACTAAGGTGTGCAATTTTGGGGCCTTCCCTGCCAAGTCTAAAAAATTGATCTACTGGATTCCTGTCCTCTGCTGGCTTCAAGGAGGCAGATGCTAATGCATCTATTCAGCAGCAAAAAAAGTCCCCACAGCTTTTCGTGTGGGGAAGATGGAGGGGCAGCATTTCAGCTTCAGCCAATGCTCAATAATGCTGGGGCAGAACCAGCAGTGGCTGCAAAAGTAGCCCTTTGCCTTTACTTCTATGGGATAGAGAGGCAGGGGATGTAAGGGCTTTAGTGACTGCTCAGGAAGGGCTATAACTCAGTGGTCTTGCATGCAAAAGGCCAAAGGTTTAATCCCCAGCTTCTCTAGGTGTGCTGGGAATGTCAGGAATGCTGGAGCACTGCTGCCAGTCAGTGTAGATAATATTGAGTTAGATGGACCAATGTTGTGACTTGCACACAATGGTGTGAGGCAGATTCCTATGTTCTATGTACAGCAGTGAGGCTTTTGCTTCTCTTGTGAACGACAGCCAAAGAAACTCACACACACACACACCCCAGTATCTTAAAACCAGTTTCCTCCCAGAAACTTACTGGATGTACCTAGGCATGTACTTAAATAACCACTAACAAGTGAACTTTAGTGGTGTGCCTATAGTGGTGTGCCTAAGCTGAATCATATTCTGCTTGGAGACCTGATTCATCAGAATGCGCATCCCTTAACAAGGATTCAATCTAGCTATATCCCCAAGGTCTGCTAGATACCCAGGAGTTTCACTTAGCCCTCTACAGTGTTTAGCATAGGAGAATAAGAATGGGATCTGCTTGGCTTCTATGGATGGGAGTGTTTATCCTGTAACAGTTGTGGGATTTGTCATTAATACTACCCTATCAAGGAACCTCTTTAGCTTTACTAATGTAATAGCTACACAAAACATGCCTTCAAACAAATACAGGGAAAGAAAAGAACTGGGCTCAATTAGCATCTAACTTTTACAGTAGTACCTCAGGTTAAGTAGTTACAGTGGTACCTCGGGTTACATACGCTTCAGGTTACAGACGCCGCTAACCCAGAAATAGTGCTTCAGGTTAAGAACTTTGCTTCAGGATGAGAACAGAAATCGTGCTCTGGTGGTGCGGCAGCAGCAGGAGGCCTCATTAGCTAAAGTGGTCTTCAGGTTAAGAACCGTTTCAGGTTAAGAACGGACCTCCGGAACGAAGTACAGTGTACAGTGTACTGTAATTCGTTCCGGAGGTCCGTTCTTAACCTGAAACTGTTCTTAACCTGAATTATGGGGAGTGAGAGGTCCCCTCAGTCAAGCACTGGAGGTCCAAAACCCATAGAGGATCCTTTAGGGCGAGATGGTCCTTCATGGTGGGTCAGCTTTCCACTCCCACCCTCAGTTTTTACTTCTGCAGTGCTCAAAGGAACCAGGGCAGTCTCTGAAATCCCCAAAGGTGTCCAAGAGTGGGCTTAGTTTGCAAAGCCCCCTGGACACCTGGCAGGTAAAGGGTTTGTCTGACGAAGAGCACTTCTCCCTCACATTTGCAGCAGCAGCAGCTGTGTGTGTGTGTGTGTGTGTGTGTGTGAGTGAGTGAGTGAGAGAGAGAGAGAGAGAGAGAGAGAGATCTATCAATCATCTCTTGAAATCCAGGACTGAAAATCTCAGAAGACAAAAGATCCACTCATCTGTCCAAATCATACTTTTTAAGAGGTTCAAATTAGCTGGAAAAATACCACCAATGAATTTTAAATAGACTTATTCTGCACTGTGTCTCAAATTATTGTTCAACACAATCTGTTCCAAACTTTCTTCCTTTTTTTATTACATATCTTAACCACAAAGTGTCAAATTTATGCTAATTTAATCCATGACTAGCAGGATGGAATTCTTTTCAAGTTTAGTTTCCCATTATTTAAAACACAGCAAAGCTTCACACCATGGGAGAGAAATACAGCTACCAATTCTACAGTTCAGTTTCTGGCTTTTAACACTTTCAGATATTGGGGAGGGGTGGGGACACAATCTTTTCTGGCTGTGAATTACCGTATTTTTCGCCCTATAGGACGCACTGTCCCATAAGGCGCACCTAGTTTTTTGGGGGGGAAATAAAGGGGGGGAATTATTTTTTTTCCCCCAGGCGCGGGGCTGGGCCGGGGGAAGCCCGAGCTTCCCCCGACCCCAGCCCCCAGAACAGGCAACTCTCCACAAGCTGCGGGAGCCCAGCACAGGGCTCCCGCGCCTTGCGGAGAGCTGTGCGAAGCCTGCAGAGCGAGAGGGGTCGGTGCGCCCCGACCCCTCTCGCTCTCCAGGCTTCAGCGAAAGCCTGCATTCGCCCCATAGGACGCACACACATTTCCCCTTCATTTTTGGAGGGGAAAAAGTGCGTCCTGTGGGGCGAAAAATACGGTAATTGCTTCATAGTCTCTGACAGCTGAGCAGCAATTAGTTTGGGTCCCAAGAGACTCAAATCAACCATGGTTAGGACTTCCCATCCCTACATGCTGCAGTGCCGTGAGCCATGAGCCATGGCTGGAGTAATGCGGATCCCCTGATCTCAACAGCCCTTGGAAAAGGAAAGAGGAACTGATTTGCTTCTAGACCAAGGTCCCTCTTTCCCTCCCTGCCCACAATTTCCTCTCAACGCATCCTGCTTGCTCTGAATTCCGGCTTCTGGTGCTTGTTTGCCTACCACTGTCAGTTTAGCTATTCAGGTTCTTTCCCACAACCCTGCTCCTCTTCTCATCATTCGGCAAACTGGCCATTTCTTGATATTTATATAACTCACAAATAATATAAATAACTTTTAAAAACAGCTAAACATCACTCCTACTTTGCATGAAGTGCTGACTTGATGTTCCGTATGCCATTGCTAGGTTTTGAGAAATGCATCCATGTAATATAACCGTTCCTACTTTTATAGATTGACAGAAGTTATTTTTTTCTTCTGCTCAACGTGTAGGTTAGTCAACTGCAATATCACATATGTCCATGCTTGTGCTTTGCTGGTTTTATTTGGCTGGAATCTAGAGTGTTCAAATTGTTGTACTCTAGGCATTAATAAAAGTTAAGCTGCAAAGGATGACAAGTTCCAACTCATTCTCCTCTTGTAAAGCTTTCAAAGGGGATTTCCCCTACTTTATGTTATTCTCCATCCAAGCATGCTGTATTATTGTGTGCTGAGGTTTACCCATATACTCTGATGACTGCATCCTTAAGCAAAGCCTAGCATCCATTTCCAATTGACTGCAATAAATTCCCTCTGAATAAAATTGGAGTTTAGATTTGTGCTATGATATTACTCTGCTACAGGATACCATGTCTTGGGAAAGTATGTTCAGTTTTATGTTTCAGATTAGCAAAAGGCAATGCCTGAGAGGGATTTCACACGTTACTGTAACATACAGTGGCATTTTGGGAATATACTTTATGGGACATGCCTTATTAACTACAAGATCAAACTAATTATCTGGCATTTAATAAAGATCTACAATCATATCATAGAATTAGTTCAATCTAAAAGTAAGGTGGAACGTGTACAGAAAACTTATCTATGCGATGTTATGCACGGATAACTTCACATAAATGAGATATGTAGGGTTTCCTGGATGAAATGGATCCTTTTTTCATTTGGCTTCAATCTTAATTACAGGATACAGTGTGTCTTGGCTGTTCTACTGGACAACCTGTGTTGGAAACCAGACAGGAGGAATGCATTCCTTTTGCTTCTGCTGGACATTTCAATCACCTTCAGTACCACTGACCATGGTATGTGCTGCCTGGCTCAGATGGGTCTTGCTTTGCCATGCTCTAATCCTTTTGGCAGGAGAATTTCTTAGAACAGTACTAATAGACTTCTGTTTTGCATCTTGAACATTAGCCTATGGTGTCCACAAGGGGATCCATCTTCCACTATGCTGATCAACATCCATATGAAACCGCTGGGAGACATGATTTGGGGATTTGGACTTCAGTATCATCAGTACGTTGATGACATCTTACTCTTTCCAACTGACTCCAAGAAGACCGTTGAAGTACTGTTCCTACTAATGAAGCAACTCCAACCTGAGTCACACAGGTACATTTTTTTTTTTAGAACCAGCTGAATGTTTAAATTGGTCTCATACAGGGGTGGGCGATGTATCACAAGGCAAAAATTGCAGTCTGGTGATACACTGTGATGTTGAAACAACAAGCTACATTGGCCCCAGCCCCACAAGGCAGTTTCACCCCAGTGCATTGGGGGGCTGGGGGATGGTGCAGCTTGTTCCCAGCTCACACATGAGGTATTGGGGCTTCCTCAACTGAGGTGAGAGGGCAGGAGGAGTTTAACAGAGCCCCCACTCCAGCTCTGTTAAACTGATTTGCTAAGGAGTGTGCAGCTACCCATGCCTCAGCAGAGCAGTTTAAAGAAGCCAAGAGATGAACAAGTTTTATCAGCTGTTGATGCAGCTTGCTCCTCCCTCTGCAGTATGAGGGGTAGAGCGTGATGGTGGTATATTGCAGGTGAAACCACTGCCACTCACAAGTCCCTTTGCTACCAGCGGCCCTGGCAGCAGAGGGACTCAGGAGCAGTGGCAGTTTCACCTGCGATATACTGCCAGATAAAGCTGCCATCGTGCTCTGCCCCTCATACCAGTCCTGGGTGATATGTCACCCAGGCCTCGTCTCCTATCAGTGTGCATGTTTCAGCTGTGCAAAGGAACCATTTTCACAATAAATTCAACCTGAGATTATTTTCAGATGAGTTGAACCTCTGAAATGAACCTCTGAAATAATCCAAAGAAATCACACCCAAACAATTGTTCAAGGAACTTTAGTGTTTGTGTAATTTCTGAATAAATCTTTTACTGTTTTGGGACATGGTCAATCACCAGACAGCTTCTCTACGTTGGTTTTTTCTTATTAATTTTAAAAGTAATATTTCTAACATTCCTTGTTGCATTTTATAATGCTTTCATTAAACAGGTTGTAGATTATTACCGTATTTTTCGCCCTATAGGACACACTTTTTCCCCTCCAAAAATGAAGGGGAAATGTGTGCGCATCCTATGGGGCGAATACAGGCTTCAGGAAGCTCTGTGGAACCCTCGGGAGCCCGGCGGGAAGCCGCGCCGGGCTCCGGAGGGTTGCGCAGAGCTGCCTGCATTCCGAAGTCTTGGGCGCGCTGAAGAGCGCGCCCGGGCTTCGCACAGCTCTCCGCAAGCCTGGGGAGACCGGCGCAGCTCCCTAAGCTTGCTGATAGCAGGCTGTTCTGGGGGCTGGGGTCGGGGGAAACTCGGGCTTCCCCCGCGCCAGCCCCGTGTCGGGGGGGGAAATAAAAATTTTTTATTCCCCCCCCCCAAAAAAACCTAGGTGCGTCCTATAGGGCGAAAAATACGGTAATTAAAGACCTGCTCACACATGCTATCATTTGGTTTAAAAAATCACTTGTCTCATCGAAACTTGAATCGAATCATACTAACATATTTTGCATGCATGCCTGCCTTGTCTGAAGGTTAATCCACACTTTGCCTTTATTATTTATAGAATTTGTATGCCACCCTATAACCGGAGGTCTCAGGGCGGTTCACAGAACAAGATCAACAACCCAATAACACCCCTCTTAATATTTTGTTCAGTTTGTAGTGTTCATACATAATTTTTGTGCTGATGTTACAATTGCTGGAAGCTCTCTTGATGGTCTTGTGGTATGAATAAGGAGGAAAGGGGTGTATTGCTTCTGCTGCCTCAGCTTGTTTTGACAGCTGGATGAGGGCAACAGGCCCATGGGCTCCAGTGGTGAAGAAATGCTTCCTATGTGCACATGATTCTGCCTGAGTTTTAAAGGTGCCTGAAACAAGCAAGGGCCAGACAGGCCTGGGCAATGTATCACCCAGGAGCGGTATGAGGGCCAGACAGCAATGACTGTTAACTCAGCGATATATCGCGGGTGAAACAGCAGCTGCTCCCGAGTCCCCCTGCCTCCAGAGAGATTCAGGAGCGACTGCTGTTTCACCTGCAATATACCGCTGGGTGAAACAGCCCTCTGGCTCTCATACCACCAGCAGACGGCTTCTTTAAACTGCTCCACTCAGTTGAGCAATTTAACAAAGCCCCACAGGGGCTTGAATAGCTGAGAAGTGGGCAACTGAAGGCAGCCTGCTTCTCAGCTGATCAAACCCGCCCCCCTCACAGGCAGCTGCCAAGGCGGAGGGAGGGGGTTGAAGCCAGACAGATGGCGCATTCCTGTGGTGGCCTCATCCACTGCTGCCTTCGCACGGGACAGAAAGGTAGCCCACATGTGCGAAAGCAGAGGGAACCCTGAGAATGGGGCCTGACAAGCACCGCTGTTCAGCTGCCTTCGCCCAGGAGGGTGGGCTGCATCTTTTCTCCTGGCCGTGGGAGCCCATCCCTCTAGCTGCATCAGCTCTGGTCCCGGGATGAAACCACCTCAGCAGCAGTGGTGACAGTTTCACTCCGGTGCCTGGCAGGACTGGGGCCAATGCAGCTTATTCCACACTTTCAACATCACAGTGTACCACCAGACTGCAGTGTTGAAAACCTAACATTGCCTAGCCCTAGACTTCAGCTTTAATTCTTGTCATGCATTTCTTCTTCCCTGCATTATGTTTATGTGAAGGTTGTGGCATCATTCAAGTATTCAGAGCATTTATATGAAGCCATTCTGTCTTGGGAACCCAAAGCAGATTACAAATAAAAGCACAACTACCATTAAACAGTGTAATATTGTAGATTACTGCTGTCTCATGAAGCTCCTAAGGCCAACCCTTCTTTTCATGGAGAGGATGCATCTTCATCAATAGTAAGGCTAAGGTTAAACGCCTGAAAAACACAATTCATTACCTGAATCTCTAAAGTCATCTCGGCAATCTGATTCTGTTGATTGTCTATGACCTGTTAGGAGAAGAACAAACAAAAATGCTCTTTGTATCTCTGATGTATCTAATTTGTTGTAAAGGACATGCACTGCTATAAAAAACACAACAATTTAGGATGCTGCAAGATCAGGAATGAAATTAGTAACAAGAAAAGCCTTATGATGCTGTGGGGGCAGTTATGGGGTAGGGGAAAACATGCTCAGAAATGGTTGGAAAGTGGTGGAGACAGAGGGTGTCTTGGTCTGCCCTGCCTAAGTGCACAACCGCTTAGTGGGGGCAAGTAGGCAATCAGCAACTGCAGAATTACATGTGCCTGACCTCAACTGCAACCTCCCACCCCCTGGGTGTGGACAATACTGAGCTAGATGGGCCAGTGGTCTGACTCTGTACGTTACTCTTTCTGGGGATAGTTTATCCTCCCATCTTTACTGCCACCCAGTGGCACCTGCCAGTGCTTCACTGGCTGCTGCTGGAAACATATATTGGGGCAGGGAGACACAACAACAGGGTGACAATATAGTAACAGCAAACATCAATAGCAAAAAGAGCTCTTCAGACACAGGTAGATCATCTCAGTTTAATGAATGTACCTTGCTAGCTTTCTCATTTTTCTCTTTGAGGCTTTCGTTTTCACTCTGAAGCTGTTTTGTGTCCAACATAGGAAGGCGGACACCATCTTCCAGGCATTTTTCTACCTTCTGTTGCAGGCTGTAGTTTGGATTTGAAAAGGCAAAAAGAAAGCAGAAATTGCATACCAAAACTCTAGAGTCAAATCCTGTGCAGGAAATAAGTAAGCTCTGCAAAAGTGAAAGATTCCGTACACAGATTCATTCTTGGAGATGTTTTATGGTTAATGCATGCTATTGGAGTGGGTTTGCACATTTATGTTGACAGGTTCATTTTAGGAAATGATCCTGTAGACAGACAATTCTTCCTCTGAGAGTGCCATCAGAACCTACAGCCCTTTATAGCAGGGATGGTACCCTCCAGATGCTGTTGCCACTGCAAACTTCTAGCATTCCTGACTACTTACCATGCTGGCTGAGGCTGATGGGAATTGGAGTCCAAAACCTTCTAGAGGGCACCACATTGGCCGCCTCAGTGTTACAAGAGATTAACTAGAATTGCAGCATGACTTGGTGGATATCTGAAATCAGGCTTCCAGATGACTAGCTGCCTGGGGTCAGCAGAAATTCCCCCAATCTCTGGTTACGCAGAGTCCTTGGTAACCTACCCCTGTCAACAACACTCAAATGCCCCAGCACGGAGAAGAATCACACTTCTGCTTCCCTCCGCCTCATCTTTCAAAAATGAAAACACGAATGATGACAATGACAATTGTTGTTTAAATTTAGAAACAAGACTCTGCTTCAAATATTTATAGACTTTCAGGAGACTGCAAAGCCACCCTGGTGGATTACACACTCACAAATGCAATAGGTACCAGATGTAAGATGGAAACAATGCACCCAGTGATCTGGCTAACTGTCCCAAATACCTAACCTTTCATCATTTGAACAAAGCTTTTGTGGCATGCACTTTTAAGCAACGCAGGGTCACGAACTGAAATGTCACATGTTTCAGACTACTGGAAATTAAATTCTAAAATGGCTTCCATTACCTTTATTGCATAATTTCAAATGAGTGTTCCTTTAGCTTTTGCTTTTTAAAAGCCTTTTATAAAACAATAGATTCTCAATAAAACAATTCTAAATAAATTAGTCTAAATTCTAAATAAATGACATTCTCTCATTTTAACATCCATCTGGGATTGTTATCCTGCTTTCTGTTTCTTTGTAACTACAAATCCATTGCGGAACAGTTGCAGCTATTAAGGCAGCTCAGAGACAGTAACGTATCCAAAGCCATTCAACAAGTTAACAACTAAGTAAGAATTTGATCCCCAAGGCAAAACTAACTTATAGTAACCAGACCGCACTCTTTCGACCCGTCAACCAGAATGGAATGTTCATTCCTTTGATTTCGCATTCACCAACCAAGTGGTCAGTGGGTTAATACATGTCATGATATCTCTGCCCTACTGATGCTAACTGGGGAAACGTATGTCACAAATGACACCTGAATGCTCCTCTGGAACTTGTTATGGTAAGTAGGAATGTTTCCATTGTACCATAAACTTTAGGCAGATGCCCTGCAAATTTCTAGCCAGAATATGTCAGCTGTAGGGACTGTTCATTCGGCAAACTGCAAATGTGGTTGCTTGGTGTGATTCCCTTTAACCAGGAAACAGTAAGGGATGTCTGCGTGCTCCTAAGCTACTGTGCAGACAAGTCCCCCTTATTTCCTCTTGTTTGTAGTTCAAACTGCAAAACTAGACTTTGAATTTACACGACAGCTTTGACATGCCTGAAATTAAGATGTAAGTGGTGGCTGGAATAGTACCTGAAGTATTTCTAATACCTTCAACAAGACTTCTGCAACCAGATGGCATCTTTCTATGAGATTGATTTGGTCCACAAGTGAACAGTTCAAGGTCCCTACTCTAGACAAGTACATCATTAGTTAGTAGACCTCACTCCTCAGCAACCAGACAGGCTTTCTGTTACATCCTTCTCAGCTCAACCTCATATTTCTGATTTTCAACCCTCTTTCCCTAAAAGCAGCAATTCAACATTGCCCACGTATTAAAAATGATATTGCTGTAGTCTGACACATCTCAATTGTGCTTTGCAACATACTGCATCATTGCCTTCTGTGTAGTGCAGTCTGGCGTTTGACATTACAACAGAGTTCACGTGAATCTCTTCACCAAAACTGAACTGACGCAGAAGGGAATAGAAAGATCCTAGAGAGTCATAAACGACAGATCAAGTTAATTATTCATACCTCTGCACTGCTGTTACCAATTCTTTTTCTTTCTTCTTTTGACAAACTAGCTGCAATTCTTGTTCTTTACACTGTGTTTTGGACTCTTCTAGAGCCTTTTCGAGCTCAGCCAAAGTAGCTTTCAGCTGCTTGTTCTTTTCTTCAAGAACTTGAAGCTAGAGAGAAGCCAAAATATTTTTTTATATAGAAGCAAATATAAATATTTTTATATAGAAGCATGTTTACTGTAGATCAAATAACCAACAAAGTGGTGTTGTTGTTGTTAATTTATTCATACAATGCTTTCGAACACAGTAATACAATACTGGATTAATAGAACAGAATATAACTGAACTTCCTGATGTGTATAACAAGACACTGAATTGTCAGGTTCTTTGTAACCATATGTTGCTCTTCAGTGGCAAGTATTATAATAGGCAATAGGGTGCATTTTGTTTCTATGTGGATGGATATTCCACTGATGTATGATTCAAAGTACAGTAGAAGCTTGGACACCTTTATCAGAGTATTTTTCATCCAGACCCACTGATGATTGGAGGATTTAATTTTTTTAAATCATATGCATAAGCCCTGATATAAACAAGACTTAAATACTACATAATCTGAATCCAGCTTTACAATATTTATTGGCAACTCAAAGTGTTGTTTGTCCATATCAGGTTGCTTAGTTGTATTTCCTCCTACCTGTCATTCAAGACTGGTTTTTTTTATTATTATTTTAAAATGATCCGTGTACTATGATACATTGAGTTATATTTGCAGTTCGTTTGATGTGTCTGACTTTTTTATTGTGTCTCAGTGCTAAATGATCATGAACTATTTCTTTTCCTATTTCTTGTCATATGGTATTCTTTAACATGCTTCAAGAATCATATTGTTTGCAAATTGGAGATTTCACAAAGGGTAGGGTGGGGGGAGAGACCGAGGCAAGCAATGTTTCCAGGACCTCTGAAGGTCATGGATCAATCACACTTTACTATTCTCAAGAGGTTTGCTTCGAGAAGCAGAAACAAACAAAAAGGGAGTCAAAGCTTCAACATGATGTTAGAAATGAAACAGTTTAAAATTTATTAGAAAATGGAACACTGTCAATGTGTTTCGGAATATAACTTTATTCAGGAGCAAAACCATTTAAAAATTGTATTCCACATATTGTAGTCATTTGTTCAAAACAGGTTTCATCAAAATAGGAGGGAATAGATCAAAATGCAGCAGGCACACTGAACTTTCAATAAATGGTTCCACTTTAAGCATGTTTCTGAAGCTTCATCTCCCTTTTTTTGTTTCCAGGGTGTTCCTTTTTTGGGCTCTCGTTTTATAAAACATCTGCAATCATGGGTCAAACCAACAGTCTCCTTGAATTTATTAATTACATTGCATTTTGATATATTTTTTTATGCATAACAAAGGCCCTCACTTCTGCTGACTTTTCTTAGATATGTGTATGATGATGATGATTATAAAAAAATCTTAATGTAAACATTGCAGCAATGTATTACTATGCCAGACAAGAACAAAAGAAACCAGATACTGTTTTTCGTAATTATTTGTTCCCTTAACAGAAAAGGAACAGAATATAGATGAAGAGCAACAAATTTAACCTTTGAGTTTTGGCAACTGCAAATTTCTTATTATTAAATCATTGAGCACAATTCACTAGAACATTATGAGATCTGTTTAGGAGCTTTGGGGCAGCACTCAATCACTTCTACAGGGCTTATGCAGAGATGTTACAGGCGGTCATGACCTTTTAATGTTTACCCAAGGACATTATGAGCAAGTATTATGTTCTGCAATTCATAATATGCATTTAGCAAAAGCTCTAGGTGAAACACAGATTACCTGTTTACTTTGACTTTCAACATCATCCAGTGTTGGCAGGTCAGCCAGGTACTTTTCAAGAGTTTCAATTCTTCTCTGTTTCTCTTTGTTTTGCTCCGATTCTTTTTGGCATTTCTTTTTCAGGCTGCTTATGTACCTGTCTCTAGTTTTGAGCTAGAAAGAGAGTAATATTGCATCTCATTCTTTGAGGTTGGAATCAAATATGCACAAGGTAATCTGAAATATTTCTTTGATACTTAAAACTCAGTATATTCTGAAAGTTATTTTCTCAGCAGGGAGTAGAACTGTTTTTATAAATAAAAAATGGATTGTTATAGGTCATTTATCTTTTTAAAAGCTAAGAGCTCTGGCTGACTATTTCCATAGCTAAACATTTCTTTACTGTTTAAAAGTAGTTAGATGTGTGTTTATCAAAAGATGCTTTTCCTTTATTTAAACCAGCAGTTCAGAAACCACAAAACATATATATAAACACAAATGATTGGTTTGCTTTTTTCTTTCTTCCAAAATAGAGCAATTAAAAATTTTGCTTCTGTGATTGTATGGATTTGAGCTTTAGACCCGTGGGCAGTTTCACACATAATCCCTATCAGTATCTTGTACATACATTTTTTTTGTGCCCACCCCCCATATGTGGAAATGTGAGCAAGAGCCTCTGTGAAAAAATGTCTACAGGATAAGGAAGCCCTGCTCATTTGCTACTGCAAAAATCTTGTAGACTTTTGGTTACTAGTCACTATGAGAATTTGAAACTTCCTTCCATATTCTGTAGCTTGCATCATATTATATAAGCAAGGCCACATGTGAAATATCCATGCTAGGCATGGCCTTTGAATGTATACACAAATACCTTTCCAGGAGTGGGGTTCAGCCAGGAATAGAAGTGAGAGGATAAATAAGGAGGAACTAAGGAATTATAATGGCCACTAATGAGGCTCACAAACAACTTCTCCAAAATATGTCCTATGGGCCTATTTCTTGGATGTATGACTGCCATAGATATAAGAAAAGTTTCAAATCTATACTCCTAATCCAAACAGCACATGATCCAAAACTAACATCCATCAGAAGATTTCATAATAGCTGGTTTTTTTAAAAGTTTTTGTTTTTTTAAGTTGGTTTTTTGGGGGGAGGGATTGTGCCTTACATAACCCCTTTTCTTCCACAGCTTGGGAGAACAAAATTAGCAATTATTTGCTTCATTTTCATAATGTGCAGAACTGATCTAGTCTTGGTTCCAAAGGCTGTTGCATTAGCTGCCATTTTGGCTTTTTCAGTAGTAGTGTGGTCATGAAAGAGGCTCCAATAGATAAGGTGAAATGTACTACAATTGGCACTGCTCTAAAATCTCTCAAATTGTACTTTTCCTCAGTCTCTATGATTTCTGTGCTCTAACGATTAAAAAACTAAGAGCAATTGTAACACTGTAGGGATTAAGGTGCAAGTAAATTAAATACACACATTCACCCTGTCCCATCCTCCAAGATAATGCAGTGCAGCTCCAGTAAAAAAAAAGTTTCCCCTCCAGAGGAATAAAGCTGTATAAAATGGTAGTATCAGCCCTGTGAGTCATATAGGGGGGAAAAGATGCTATGGATCATTCATAAGCCTTAAGTACAGCCAACTTGTCTGAGAAATATATGTTCTTGTCTCAGCAATAAAACCATTTGGGAAAGTGCAAGACCCACCTTTTCTTCCATCTTCTTTTTATCTTCATTGGCTTTGTTTGCCATTTGTTTGAGAAACTCACTGAGTTGTAGCTCCTTACTCTGCACTGCTGCAAGCTTTCGTTCCAGCTCGTCCCTTTCACAATGGGCCACAGATCTCTCTGCAAATTGAGACTGCATCGCTGTGCTCTCATACTGAGGCTGCTTTGAAGAAGGAAAGGAGGGAAAGGGAACAGATGAGAAGATGCTGTTCTAAACCTTTCACCTGGATCAGAGTGGCCAACTCAGCAAGAGTACAACATATTGAATGCTATATTGTTTTAAGTAATGAACATACAGAAGTGGACAACAAAGAACCTATTGTTTGTAATATTGAGCTATAGCACACATCCAGTTTCCAGCTGATATCCCAGCATATTATTTGTATTTTGTGGTATTTTATGTTTTGTTGTACTTGCATATTTTGTTGTACCGTGCACTGATATTTTATGTAGGGGACAGGGTCTATAAGTAGTTTTATAAATAAAAAAATATGCATCTGAGCATGAAACAAAAACAAAAATGAGTTTGGCAATTCATTTTTATGGAATTCAACATGTACAACAAACCATGTCAGGTCAACTCCCTCCCACCTTTAGTCCTCCCCTCCAAACACAGTGAAAGACGTTTCACAAAACTTAACCTTATGGGGGAAATTGTCATAGTCGCTTTCTCAAACCATATATCTGCTCTCAACATTTTATAGACTGTAGTGCTCAGGCCTAATCTAGACAAAAAGGTTATCCAATGGCAAAATTGTTCATCAAGAATAAAACCTCTAACCTACATTCTGAAATAGTACAGTTGCTCAGATTCTTTCATGATGCAACACAAATAATTATTTCATTAATATGTATCTCTTCACTTTTGTATCTGAGGTGTTTTAAATTCCAAGCTTACAAATTGTAACGAGATACTAGTTTTGAAATGCAATACGGTTATGTATTTAACCATAATTTGATTTGTCTGGAAGGCAAAACTTTTTTTGCATTTCTCCAAATGTAATACAAGTTACTATGAGATGAGTCTGGGCTTGCCTTTCTTAATAACAGATGTGTGCAGACTATCCTGATGATTTAAAAATAATAATAATTCATACCTGGAAACTACTCATGTAAGGGTCTTCACAATTCACAATATGCCCGAGCCTTGCTTGCTGAGCTCGGAGTTCATTCTCCCTTATTTTCTGATATAAAAGGTTAATTTGCTGGTTCTGCCTGTAATTCATAAGAGAAAGAACAGAAACAAAGAAAGAACGCATGAAACTTGAATCATGCTTCCCAGTATTTCCATTTTCACCCTCTTGTCGATTCATCTCAAAGTTCTTCCACAACTTTGTATTAACTATGGAAGTGAAACTGCCATGAGCAGATCAACATTCTGGTATGAGTACATTAGCTCTAGTGTGGCTATAGAAGATTCCTGCCTGTGGGGACCTCCTGATTCCCTTCAGTGCATTTGGCAGCTCTTTGTGAACTGAAGCAGATCACTTGCTGCTCCTCCTAAGGTGAATGGAGGCCTGCTATGCCTTCACAGTACTATCAGAACTCTAAATTGAAGACTTGGGACTATATGTCACTTTTGTTAAAATATGATGGGCTGTATACAATCGGTGTCCATATGCCAATAGAAAACTGTTTGATTCAGTGAAGGCTTCAACCATCCCCTGTAATATGCAATGGCTCAATATACCTGACTATTCCATTTTGTTATAGGTGAATTCAATGCAATATTTGCATAACCAGCTGTTACTTGCACATGTTAACTTAACTATACTAAAAGTTGCTTGCAAAAAAATAGAACAAAAATGTTTCATTTATTTCTTATGCAATTATATTTCACAGTATTAATTCTCACAGTAAATCTAACATGAGCTTTAAAAAGTTGTCAAAGTATTCAGAAAGGATGCCAAAATGAACTGCAAAAACATTCCCTACCATACATATAATCCTATAAATCTCTGGAGTTATCTGACAATAAAAGGCCTTGTGCCACGTACATTTCGTTGCTGATAATGTTGTATGGTTGCTTTAATCCTTTGTTACTCCAACAGCTGTTGCTATTAATCCACTGTATAACCACACAATGATAGGGCTCTGCTTTTAAAAAAGATAGCATGGTGATCTCACAAGCCTAGTCAGAGTGCAGAAATGGAAACTATATACTCGGCTGTCTGCCAGTCTGCAGGTAATTCTAACATTTTCCAATACATTCCAGATAGTAAGACCTCAAGTCTCTGCTATGTAGTGATCTGAGTCTACATACAAGAGTGGAATCCTTATTCTGCAACATTCAAAACAATTATTTTTCTCTCTCCAACATTTGCGGTATTTCCCCTCTCTTTTTGTCTTACATTCTTCCAATTATCAGCCTCTATTCTTCCATCCTAATGGTACCTCCAGTTTTCCACCTCTTCATTTGATCATTCTCCCATTTAACCCTCCATACCCCTTATAGAGTAGAAGCTACTTCTTACACAAACCATCTTTTTTGAATTATATGCTATATTGAACTCATATGCTCCATAGATGGGAAGTCTTCTCTAAATAGTTGTTAACAACAGCATGGGTGCAATAATGAACTTTCGAAATGCTTGGTTGGGTATCGCTGGTCTGAATGTTTACTGGGTCATTTGATTCTCTTTCCTTCAGACATGTGTGTAAGGTGGCAACAACCAATCTCTGTAACTATTAAACTAAAAACAGTTAGCTTTTGTGCCCCATAATATAGTCTCATCACCAAAAGTTATACTTGACTCCTGCCAATAGTATCCACACTTTGAGTAATATTTGTATCTGACGAAGTTGCAGACTTAATGAAACCAATGAGCCTTAAAAGATAAAGGTAAAGGGACCCCTGACCATTAGGTCCAGTCGTGGCCGACTCTGGGGTTGCGGAGTTCATCTCGCTTTATTGGCCGAGGGAGCCGGCGTACAGCTTCCGGGTCATGTGGCCAGCATGACTAAGCAGCTTCTGGCAAACCACAGCAGCGCACGGAAACGCCGTTAACCTTCCCGCCGGAGCGGTACCTATTTATTTACTTGCACTTTGACGTGCTTTCGAACTGCTAGGTTGGCAGGAGCAGGGACCGAGCAATGGGAGCTCACCCCGTCGCAGGGATTTGAACCGCCAACCTTCTGATCGGCAAGCCCTAGGCTCTGTGGTTTAATCCACAGCACCACCTGCGTCCCTTCAATGAGCCTTAAGACCATGAATTGCAATGGATCTGTTCTGAGTATGACTTAGATGCAGTCCTTTGCATCCAAATGCAAAGGATTACACTTTTAAGTCAAGAAACATTTTTATAGTGTAAATAACAAGCCAAACTGAGAGGAAGAATTGCCCTTTTAGAAAATTAGTAATGATAGATAAATATATAGTTCTGTATTGAATCCATGTTTAATATTGTACTCTATATTAAAATTTTTAAATTGTAAGTTGTTTCAAGACTTTTCTGAACTTTTACTTTTACTGAACGAGTGAGCTGACAATATGTATTGTCATTGTGGTGTGTATTCTGTCCTCTTGAAAAACTATCTTTATTTTTCTTATCTGTATGAAAATTGACACTGAAAAATTAAACATTTAAAAATATTTAAATTGTAAAACCATTTGTCACATTGCCCTCTTTTACCTATTCCTGTTTTAGTAACCCACAGCATGGGATTTACTTTAACTTTTACATATTCTTTGTAAACACTTATCAGTTTTATGTAAAATTAAGTGGTATACAAATTCTGCTAAATAAATAAAACACAGTACAATAAGCTTCAAAGGGACTCAGATTTTGTGAGACAAAGCAGTCACTCAGAAAAGATCCCCATTTTTTAATTTGCTTTAGATATGCTTTAGATAACACTGTTCAAATGTTAGTGTAAGAACTAACATTCCCTCCGTATTCATAAACCCAAAAACTAAACAATTAAACATATGTTCAGTTCCTGTTTAGCTTCATTACCATTTTTAGACTTTCCAGTTTAGTTTCAGCTCAGACACAAACATTTTTTTAAAAAATGGTTCAGTAAAAGTTCAACCGTTTTGAATCTAATTTTGAGTCAGTTCAGAAACATTTTATATAGACTTATTAATGTAGTACTTTTACAACTGCAGTGTAACTCCTGAAAAATAAATGCATGATAAAAGCAAGCATGTTTATACATGCAGTTTGCATGCACTAATGCACTATCTTCAAGAACTCAGCAAGTCATATTTGACAGCTGTATGATAAGAATTAATTTTAGCCCCCACATAGTCTTTGTACATCAACTAGCACAGCAAGAACAGAAAACATAATTTTAGTTCATTTCAGGTATTTCAATTAGATTGTCAAAAGTATTTCTTCACATAGCGTATAACAATCCTAAATATGGTGACGGCCATGACCTTACATGGCTTTTAAGGATACAGTTGGGACACCACAACAAAATGTTGCAGTGCATACCTGCTTTGCATGTGCTACTTGAGCCTGAGACGGCTGAAAAAAACAAACAAAAATAAGCAATGTGTGTTTTATTTCATTTGCAAAATGCATCTGTGTGTGTGTGTGTGTGTGTGTTCGCGCGCATATATATATATATATATATATATATATATATATATATATATAAAAGATACCTGGTTCTGAACAATTTTGCTGCTATCTGACCTGCAATTTAAATCAGACTTACTTCTGGGTAGGCATGTACAGAATTAAGTTATACCCAGCACAAGGTTCTAATCCTTGTAATGAAACAGTATTTTGTTCATGAGACCCCAAACCCCAAAAGTATCCATTTCAACGGTCAGGAAATTAGTTATTAGTTAACCACAGTTCTAATAGTGGCACTAAGCCAAAGATTCAGCAGCTGTTTCAGGATTTCAAACATCATTATGCCCTGTGGAATGAGATCTCTTCCCTCAAATCCTAAGCTTTGTATTTACCTTCCCTTAAAAGCCCTTTGAGTGTCCCTAAGCTGTTTAGAAAAGAACGTAGCAATTGTTGATGAGTGTGCTATTATTTTCAGAGAGTTATGTCATACGTTTAGCATTTGGCATTTATTCACACTACCATTCTAGGCAATCCTTGCCAAACCGACACTGCCAGCCAGCACGAGCGTTGGAAATGCATAGCATGCAATGGCCAATCAAGGTCAGAACAATCCCAAGTGTTGCAAGACAATAGTTGTAATGTGTGTATGCTTTCAATAGAGTGAAGCAGCAAATATACTACTTAAAACCATACAAGAATCCATTGCTCCCTCTAGTGTTAAAAATGAAGTCATGTGGTATTCAATATTTTTTAACTAATCAAAAGAAGTCATGTACAGCAAAATGAAACAAAACAAGAAATAACCCTTCTTTAGCTTAGACAGAAGGGAGTAAAATGCTTACACATGTCTTAAATTCTGTTTTGTTTTGTTTTGTTTTCTTTCTTTCTTTCTTGATGCATTATAAAAACTCTAACTAGATTACTCCTAAAATAAAACGTAGTATTAATGTGAGCTCCATATTCTTAAAGGAGCTCACTCGTCCATCAAAGAGTCATTAACCTCTCTCTCTTTCACTGGACCAAAACACATGACCAGACCAGAGTGTTAAGAATTTTATTTTATTTTACTGACAGAATTCTTATACCACCCACTAATTGTTAATTCTCTGAGTAATGCATATGCTCAATTGCCACTCAATCCTACCCATTTTGGCAGTTTCTGGGGTAATCATATTCCTTTACTATGCGACTAACTCCTTATAGTTTCCATATTCTCAGCATGCTAATCCAGCAGTATTAACGTGTGCTTCTTTTTTTTGCATTTTTGTTGAGGCAAATGAGAAGGGGCTGGGGACCCCTATGCAAGCTCATAGCACTTCTGATCACACTTATTGTAGCTTGTCACATTACAATGAGTGCTATACAGGGCCACCACCCCCTCCCAAGGGACCATGAGGGGTTACAAAGGAAAAGGGACCCATTCCACTATAACATCCAAGTATAATTTGCAACTTGTTTGGCATCAGTATCAAACATTTCTTACACAAATTAAGTTAAAAGTCCACAAGGAGGTTAGTGAGCCTTTGTAAACAACGCTGTGCAATAGGCCTCATCCTATGACTTTAGCAATAGAAGTACACACAAAAATGGGAACTACCAAATGAAAAAAAGTTTGAATTTGTTTCTGTTACCTAGAAAGGGCTCTCATGACATCTGTGAAAACCTTGATGAGGTTAGGATCTGTTAAAGATGGGACTGCCATTAATTTTGAAAGCACAAATTGCAAGGATACCATATTCATGTCAAATATGCTAGATCAATCCTCTAGATCAGTGGTTTTCAATCAGTGTGCCGTTGCATCATGGGGTACCTTGAATGATGGTTAGGGGTGCAGCAGGCAATACTGGCCTCTGTCCCTCCTTCCTTCCCTCCCTCCTCTCACGTCTCTACCTCCCCAAGGCTTGCACAGCTGTTTACTGCAGCAGCCCTGGCTATAAGCTCTCTTTGGGGCGAGGGTGGTGGAGCGGGGGCAGCTCAGAGATCAGAGGCGGCAGCAGCAGCTTCCTGGAGGACTCCCAAGGAGAGTGGAGAGGAGGCTGAGCATTCGAAAGAGGTTGAGAGGCTGCCAGCTCTGCAGGCAAGGGGTAACATAACTGGGCCCCTGAGCCCCCAGGGGTGCCGCAGAAAGAATGTAGTTGGTCAAGGGAGCTGTGGACTCAAAAAGGTTGAAAATCTCTGCTCTAGATACATCAACTCTGCTGAGAGCCATAGAGCTGGAGAAGAATATTAAACAGGAAATGCTGTCAATATATCAAGATTTGATTACTTAGAAAATTAGAGGCTCTTGTATGGTACTGTATGGTATTCACAGTTACTATATGGGGTTCCATGCACCTGAATGCAATACATACTATGTAACTGATTCATAATGTAAAAGATTTGAGACTCATTCCTAATTTTGCATCCTGCTCACACTGAAATCTGTAAACTCTAGCATGGGTGCACCTGTTAACTCTGTTTTGTCTGTTAGATTCCCAATTAAGCAATACTCCTGAGACAAATACAACGGTTTCATCAATTCTCCGTGACTCAAGAATGCCATGAATCAATTGTGTGCTGAATTTTCTTTTACCAAGAGGGAATAGTGTTTCTCTTTCTCAACACTATTCATTATTTATGAACTTCCATCAAGTTTCCTTCCCAAATTGTTCTTTTGTTATAATTAAAAGTCCACAAACATTTCAGCTTTCCCTCATATGCTTTCCCTGTCCCTTTCTCTACCATGTCTAGCTCTATGATATCTTTTTTGAAGTGTGATACCCAGAAGTTCTATATCTTAATGCTTTGTATATGAAAGATCCCAGAGCCAATCCCTGGTATCTCAGTCAAACAAGACTGGCAGCAGTGCTTGGGAAAAGCAACCTTGGAGAACAGTCAGAGGCAAGACGAACCAACCGTCTCACAATAAAAGGCAGCTTTATAATTCCAGAACTATACCTGGTACCACTGATTAACATGATGATACCTGATGTTTTTTTCAATCCTTCTCCTGGTCATTTCTACTGTTCAGCTATTTATGACATTGGATGTGAAACCCTTGTACTCATCTTTCATGTTTGTTTGGGGGGGGGGGCATAATCATTTTTGGAAATCAGTCTCTGGGACACTCAACCAATTTACAAGGCAACCTCCAAGCAACTGGAGGTAAGATAGAGTTTACTCACCGATCAATCACAATCTCTTTTTGCCTTAGCAATCCTTCTTTGATTTTCATCAGGGATTCCCAATTGTTGAAATCCTGAAAGCTTGCAGCTGGGTAACTCTGATGAGATGATCCACTCAGAACCTGGGAAGAAATGCGCAAAAGAATATTGTCAAAGAGCAGAAAAACAACACTTACTCACCCATTTATACATTTAAAAGTGCTTAGTTGAGAGAAATCTATGTTTAGAAAGCCTATTGGAAAGCGGTCCCTCCTTTGGTCTTCCTAGATGAAACAGAAACCTGGCAAACAGTAGTTTTGCCGTTTATAAAGTCTTCATCTGCAACATTTCCTTGCTTTGTTCTCTGATGTAAGTGAAAGCTAACTGAAGTCTCACATTGGCTTCTTTTTGTGTGATTTTTCACTGGTTTATTATCTGAGGGCACAAATAAAGCATCTTGCCTCATATCAGCTATGCCATTGACAGTCTGTGCTGCTTAGTAGGAGTCAGTGAAAGCAGATCTTGTAGTATAATGCTGTGGTGAGGTATATAGTGTAAATGCACCAACAGGTCTGCTGGAATGACTGTGCATCCCTCCTCGTAAGCAGCCGCAACCCAGCTGCCAGGTGGTCAGGTAAGCACCTCCACTCCACCCTACGATCAGCTGCTGCATTATAGACACCATTAAACTAATGGCCTCATTCTTCAACTTTACTTTTATGGTGAGAGTGATTAAAAAAGTAAATCTTGATACTTGGTGAGGACATGAAGTTGCTATTTTTAGTTGCTATCTATTTCAAAAGAATACGGTTATGCAAAAAAGTGGCCTGTAAATTGGAATTACACCACAATCCTTATTCATACAGGTTTAACTATATACAAGTATCACTTCCTTATCAGTAACTGGACAAGCCGCCACATGTTAAAAGTCAATTCCAAACCCTTATAAAACATATTAGTGGGAATTTTTGCTTTCAATCCAATAGGTACGTATGCTTGGAAGAAATACCACCCAGGAACAAAAGGAATGGCTTTAGGATATTAAGGGATTCAGTGAGTTTTAGATTAGTTTCTGTCCTAGGGTGAATAAAACAATATGGTTTTCTTTTAGCATATAAATGGGTATCTATTGCTTCTCATAAAATCAACTGGTGGACTGCAAGAGTTCAAAAAACCCAAGATAAAATACTATTACGAATATGTAAACATGTAGAAGTTTGCAGGGAGAGACAAGAACCCAAGAAGAAAGCAGCTGGATCAGACCAATGGGCCATCTAGTTCCACATTCTGGGTGGGATTCATCTAAGGAGCCCCATCAGTGGAAGCCCTGCTTGACTTCTGCTTGCCAGTGGGGCTTTCCTCCCTCTCCCCTCAATTGGATCTAGCAGAGTTGGGAGAATCCCCAGAACAGCATAGAAAGGGGGAGGAGAGAGGGGATTGTTCCATCGGGCAAGCTGAAATGCTTGTCCAGACAGAACATTCATACTAATGCAACACTGAATTCACCACCTGTACTTGTGCTGTTTTTAAAGAAACTTTAGTGTTCAGACGTAATTGTTTTTGCTCCTTGTTCCAAAGCACACACTTGATTTTTCCACTACTTACATCCAACTCTTCCACCCCTAGTGCTATAAATATACTTCCCTTGATACAGCCCAGAACAACAAAGGCACTCTTGATTCATATAGAACACATGGTGTTGAATACACACAACAGGTTCCTAAGCAGATTAAATTCTATGTTACTGAAAGACAAAAGTAACTGGTATTCTTAAATATTGATGTTAGAATTCTAAAGGATCCAATCAACTCTTTATTTATTTTTAATTGTGAAGAATCCCTAAAAAGACAACTGTTCAATTCTAAAAGTAAGCTCTTTGAGGATTATAGCTGAACTGCTTTTTGAGTTTAGTATGACACAAAAAAGCACAATAGAAGGTTTTTAAAAACATAACATAAAATTACTCAAATCAGAACACTAGGCCAGTCTAATCTAAATCTGTAAATATATGAAATTTCAAGTATTACTCTATACACAGGTGAGGCTTTGATATCCACCTGTGTCTTCAGCTTTGGTTTCCACATTTTAACCATGAAAGCGCACCATAGACAATCCAGAATATAACAAAGATAGCGAAGTATTTGGAACATACAGTATGCATAGTAAATGGGTGAAGGACAGAGCAATTGCCCTAGGGAAAGAAAAGTGAAAGAGATCATGAGAACCATTTTCAAGTATTGCCTTGCTCTGATAGCAACAAGCTGTTTCCACTGAAACCACTAAAATGGAGATGGAAAGCTGTTTTAGCAGTGGTTTCAATGGAAGCTGCCTGAAGCTATTGAAGAAGTTGCCCTCTCCTGTGGAGGAGGGGAAGCGAGGGGAGGGAGTGTGTCTTGCTCCAGCAAAGGAACAACCAGGAGCTCACTTTCAGCTCCCAATTATCCTCTTGTGGCAATGTTGATACCTGCCCCACACTGGACAGCACCTATAACATCAGCTATGGGGCGGGTGAGCATCTTTAGAGGAAATGGCCTGGTGGTCCAAGTCTGGCCTGCAGGCAAGATGTTCCCCACCCTTGATATAAAGGCATTCCAATTATTGAAAGAATAGCTTTAAAATAGCAAGCAGTGGTCTCATATTACATCAACACAGATTTAGGTTGGCAAACAGTGCAAGGTCCCTAAAAGAATGGTGAATTTAAATGAAGCCTTCCACTGCTGGGGACTGAAATAGGTGACACAAAATTATTTCAGTTTCTGATCCTATTGCCCCTTTATATTAGAGATCAATGAAATAGTGCATACTGGATGCATACACCTTTCTTTTAGGTTCCACAGATTGTGCTTTTGCTCAGTGGTGAAGCCTGTGTGCTATTACACACACACACACACACACACACACACACACACACGCTTTTCCCCCTAAGGCCACTTCCAGACAGCAGCTCTTTCACCACCAGCATCCTAGTGAGGGCTTTGAAGCAACAGTGCTATGTTTTGTAGTATCATCATTGTGCCATCTACATGGATCTATGAGCCTACCTTTGACTTTCCAAGGGCACATGAACAGATTATGTTCACATGCCTCTCACTAAAGCACTCCAGCTGATAAAAGAAGCAACCTTCTGGAAAATCACTAAGTTCCATGCTGCCCATTTTGTGTATTAGATTTTGCACTTGGGAACTGATTTCTCAATACTAAACATATGTGTATTCAATTAGCAAAAAACCTTTTAGTTCAACATGCTGTGTTAAGGGCTTCCCATGTTCATGCAAGTTCCAAAATACAAGGAAATTACAGCTGTTATGACCACACCCTGGAACACTACTGGAATGCTGGAAGCTACCATTCCATGTTACAAATACCCAACTAGCAGCCAATATCACTCATGCAGAATGAAAGACCAGTCTTTGCCTCTATATAATGATAGAGAATTTGACAAACACAACTGGCTATTTTAAGAGAAATGCAGAAAGCTAAATTAAACACTAGCGGAGTGTTTCCATCATGGGCTTCTAAATGACACAATTTTAGTGTAAATTTGTCCACTGATTCCACAAACTGATGGAACACTAAATAGCTAATAGAGGCACTTGCACCTTCATTTTTGTTCAGTGTTACATAGTTACCCATTCTGCTTCTACTTTCCAGGTTAAGCAGTTTTCCAAGAAATGCCCCCCGCCCTTCAGAGGAAGAGTCACTGTAATCCTAGCTAAACTACGAGAGGGAAAAAATACTATTTTTATCTCATTTGTGATTTATCTAATTCATCTTCTTTTATAACACCTCCTGGAGCTAGTACACTTCAGTGACAGAAGTGTCTCCAGCGGGGTGACTCATACTACATACCTATGGACCAGCTGAAAAACCTAACACATAATGTTAAAACAAATTGAAAAAAGAAAACAATTCCTTTAAGCCCTGCACCAAAGTCAGTAACACATTTGCCAGAAAGCCTTCCACTTATATTCTGGCCAATATTCTGGACAACACTTCTAGGTGGCACTTCAGATGACGTTCAGAGCAAGTGTGTCTGGAATTTTCCAGAGATAACAGAAGGTCTGTCCTAAGTATAGAAGCACTTGTTTTAATAAGTGTTCATATTATCTTCCCATTACATTCGAATTCTCTAGTGATCTTTACAAACTATCACCTTCTTTGAAATGTGTTTAGCATGTTATACAGGAAAACACCACGATCAAGGGATAGTAAACAAGAATGTATACTAATACTAATATTAGTAGTGATATAATAATCATCTGGTGTTAGCGCTACTGTTAAATCAAAGATCAAGAAATGTCAACTGTTTTGGTTGACTGAAAACAAAAGAAATCTTTGGGTTGCCTGTGGCCTACATACATACAACATACAAATACACTTTAACGACAGCTCTTCTGTCAATCTTCTATAAGAAGTAATGTGAACGTATATGCCAGCAACATTTTAATATGTGCTCATGTGTAACGCAGTGCCAAAGTACAATGGAGGGCTTTCCAAGTGTTGCATGCACAAATTTTAAAAAATGACCTTAATAAAGATTCAGACTCCTTCAGATTTAGAAGTTACTTGTTGGCATCTGTCTTAGGAGACAATGGAAGAGTGCACCTTTCGAGGGTAAAGTCAAAGCACTGGAGTTTTACAGCACCAGCTGTGGCTGTAGAGATATGGGAGAAACATGTTTTATTGCAGGTGGGGTGGGTGAAGGCATCCAATTTTGCTGCAGCAGATGCACCATGGTGATTCTTCCCAGTAATCATTCCTCTGGTCACTGCTGTGGATGCACAACCTGACTGTCATCAGGCACTGCGATAGTCTGCAGAGGATTCCTATAAGGCAGGGTTGATGTCAGCAGCATTCATGTCACATTTGCAGTTATCTTTGTGATACAGACTTGGGTCTGGCAACAGGCCTAGTGCCTGAAGCCATCCCTCTGTAGAACATGTCCTTGGAGATCTTGCCAGCTTCCATTCTGTGGATATGACCAAGCCAATGTAAATGTCGCTAAGGCATAAGGGCGAACATGCTGGGAATATGGGCTTGGGAGAAGACATCTTTGTCTGAGACTCTGTCCTGCCATGTGATGCCCAAAATCTTCCTAACACAGCACATATGGAAGGCATTGAGGAGTCGCTCCTGGAGGTTGTAAATTGCCCAGGACTCACTTTCATAAAGCAGAGTGCTCAACACACAAGCCTGGTAGACCAGATATTGGTATTGGATGTTAGCATCACACTCTTCCATACCTTTATGGAGAGGCAAGTCATTGCAATAGCTGCCTTGCCAATACCCTTGTCCAGCTTGGCATTGATGAAAAGGTTGCTGGTATTGGTGGAGTCCAGTTTGATAAAATTGTCTACCACCTCAAGCAAAATAATAATAATGTTATTATTTGTACCCCACCCATCTGACTGGGTTCCCCCAGCCACTCTGGGTAGCATGTGGTCACCAGTGCTGATGAGGTCAAAGGCCTTCATCAGATCTATGAAGGTGGTGCCCAAGGAGTGTCTCTGCTCTTAGCATTTCTCCTGCAGCCAGTGCAGTGAGAAAATCAGATCAACTGTTGACCTCTGAGCTCTAAACCCACATTGTGACAATACACCCTATTAGTGAATAGCTGTAATCTGTTGAGATTTACACAGGCGAAAGCTTGCCCCACAGTACTCAGCAGGGAGATTTCATGATAGCTGATACAATAATGGTGGTCACAATTATTCTTGTAGAGGTTTGCAATGCTGGAGTCATACGTGTCTTGTGGTGCAGATCCTTGTTCCCAACAATGCAAGATGTGGCCATGGAGTTGTGTCATGAGGAAGGAACTGAAGCTGGCTTTCAGCCCTTTTGTTGGGATTCTGTCCTGTCCTGGGGCTTCACCACATGCCTGAGAGTTGATTGCATTCTTCAGCTCATTAATGGAGGGAGGGATATCCAGCACTTCCAAGAGAAGGGGAAAGCCTAGATGCTGTCAAATGCAGTTACTTAGAGAGCAGGATTCTATTATCTAGCCAAAGTATGAAAAGGATCCCCCCCAAAAAACAAAAAAACCCCATGTCTGCCATAAATTCAACAACAACAAAGAATCAAATAAAATGCAGCATTTTCTTGGATAGACAGGAAAACATAATGCAGTCTTGATTACAGATTAGGCATGTGGAGCACTATGACAATCAGATGAAGTGTTCCTTCAGGAACGCAGCAGGACTGGTAAGGAGCAAATGCACAAGAGGAAGGAGGACCCACCTGCTACCAATGTGACTATTACCATCCGGAAAAGCAATCAACTTCTTAGGCTCTGTAACCGTTGTAATTGCAAGAAGGCCATGAAGAAAACGGAAAAATTGTCAAGTAATTTATTGTGGAGAATAAGTGAAAGGGCTTAACGATTTGGCTCTGTTCCAAAAAAACTAACCTCTACCACTTGACACCATGAAGGGTGCTTGATAGGACACTTGACTTTTAAAAGTCAGCAGCTTGATAAAGGCCATCTGAGGCAAACCTGTGTCTACCATCTTTACAGGAATTCGAAAGCTGCCTTGCGTGAGTAGAAGTTGTGCTCGTGAATGAAAATCCATGAAAATATAACAGTGAGCATGAGAAAACATGTAACTAGTTCAAAGACCCTTAAATGGCCAAAGTGGCTGTGTCATCCACAGGTTTTCTAAAATGGGATGCCTGTAGAGTCTCTCATTTTACATGTGTGCATGTTTGTAGACATGGATGGGAACTCATTAAAGTGCACTCCTCATTTAAATGTGTGAGAAGCAGTTATGGTCTAGATTAGTGGTGGTGAACTGTGACTTCCAGGTGTTGCTAGATTCCAACTCCACCAGCCCCAGCAGGCCTGTGTTAAGTATGATGTGATTTGTTGGAGGGCCATCCCTGGTTTATATAGATGTTTCTTATAATCATGCATACTAAAGGCTTTTAACATGCAACAAAAATGAGAGGAGGAGGAAAAGAATATATTTTGTTCACTGACAGAAGAACAACATCATTAATCTGTCTACTTGTGGCCACAAAGAAGCCCAAAAGATGACATGGGAAGCAAATTAACAGACATTGCTAAACCTGTCTTACCATACTGCCTCCCAGAATCTTGTCCGGATCCATTTATAACAACTGCATCAGCAGTTCATTCTGATGTTTCCAAAAATTAGAGTTGATTCTCCAGTGTGCATTTATTTATTACTATTTATATCTGAGACATCTGGGATGTGCCAACATGAAGGAATTCTGCGTAAGACACAAACACCAGAATTCCTTTGCATGGGTATTTATAGTAAATGTGAAGGAATATATTACAGTGATACATCAGGTTAAGAACTTAATTTGTTCCGGGGGCCCGTTCTTAACCTGAAGCACCACTTTAGCTAATGGGGCCTGCCGCTGCGTGATTTCTGTTCTCATCCTGAAGCAAAGTTCTTAACCCGAGGTACTATTTCTGGGTTAGCAGAGTCTGTAACCTGAAGCGTATGTAACCCGAGGTACCACTGTATGTACTTTACTCAACATAGCTTTCACTCAAAACACAATTTACTGGAATATGCATCACTTATTTACTCCAAGTCATAAGAGAAGAAGGAATCTATGTTATTTTAGAGAGAAATTAGGAAGATTCTCCACAAAACTGGGAACCTAAAATAAACACTCACAGTGCAATTCTATGCACATTAACCTGACAGTTAAATCTCATTAAACACAACGGGACTTACTTCTGAGTAAACATGCAATAGGATTGCATTGTCAGATTTTTATTTTATTTAGCATTTTGCTGGTTACTGAATGGCAAAAAGGTATGTTTGATAAAGAATGCAATCTTAATGCATACTTTTTTGGTAGCAAGCATTAGTATACCCATGTAAACAATCAGGATGTAATTCCCACAAAAGATTGTGGGACTATTATTTGCATAATCCAGCCAAAACCAAACTCTAACTGAGTTATGAAATTTCATTGCTTTCAATGGAAGAAACTTAAGCATGTAGATCTTTTACTAAAATAAGTGAAGCTTATAGTTTGTGTACTTTGGCCTGGATTCTACCCAGCATTTTAAAGGAGATGGGAAAATTACCATGGGGTTTATTTAACTGTAATGAACAGGACCACCTGCTTGGTAAACAAGCATTTCATGACTCTTAACTTCTTAACTGTTATTTCCATCTCTGTAGCTAGTATCGTGGACATACTGCTTCTCTGTGTAAAACTCTCTCTGATGGTGGCCTATGAACTATTCATGGTCATTAACCAAAAAAATTAATGGATCTATCATAAGATTCCTTCAGAGCCAGTTTGGGATTCCATAGCTGTCTCAAACTAAACATACCTCACCACATGGGGCAGACCAATACAACATGATCCACAAAGCTAAACATCCTTTTTGTGGCATCAACAAAAGTAAGTTTGCCAAGACTGAAGTAGAATACCATGCATGATTGGTGGACTTTGTTCCTCTTGGTTGCGGATACTGAACAGCCCTTTTATGAGGTCTACACATTTATTTATATGCATTAAATGAGGCACTAGAAATTAATATACAACTGCCATTTTAAAAAAACAAAACCCTGTCCAAATCCACAATAAAGTATGACGTACGCCCACATTGTGATGGCCTTGGCTCTAAGCAAAACATTCAAACTCATTCCCTAATCTCCTAAACCAAGGAAATCCTTTGTGAAGGAGGTCTTTTCTAGCAAAATTTCATGAAGAAGAGTGATACCAATGGCTACTAGCTATGATGGCCATGCTCTGCCTCCAGAATTGGAGGATACTCAATACTAGTTGCTGGAAATTAAAGGAGGGGAGAGTGCTCCTGTGCTCAATTCATGCTTATGGGCTTCCCACAGTTAACTGGTTGGCTACTGTGAGAACAGGATGCTGGACCAGATAAGCCATTGTCCAGAACCAGCAGGCTCTTCTTATGTTCTAAGAGTCAAACTACCAACATAGCCATGAATCTTTCTTTTCAAGAGAAAAAGGGAGGTGAGAGATTGAGATCTATACTTTGAATTAACCAAGAGGCAAATTGGTGGGCACCCGTCTCTTCTTTTACCACAGTCAAATTAAAACACACATTTTAAGTTTTAAAAACAACCTGTCTGTTTGTGTTAATTGGCTGATAATATAAGAACACAATTGAACCAATCCATCATTATGCATGTTGTTGTTTCTCCAGAATTATTTCCATTGGGGTCACATGGATTTATGCTCATTGGTAGTTTGGCTTATAGTACTCATATAGCTATAGTACAGTACTCATTCACCAACACTAAACAATAAATGAGAGGGAGAGCGACTCCATGAATGTACCAAGAGGTAACTTAAGTAGAGGTAGATGGGCCTGTGTCCCTGAGGTATGCTTCTTTTCACTGGTTAGCAGTACACAATATGCAGTGATGACATCATCAGCTTATGCTCATGTTGGGAGCTTCTAGCTGCTTCTTACCTCCACTCCCTCACAACATCTGTAAGGAAATGAAGTCTGTTTTCTAGTTGCTTGCCCTCCCACTCAGCAGCAGCTGAGCACTACAATACCCTCACAAGCTATTTTGGGGGTCATAGGCTTTCATTAATTTCCCTCTTTCTCTGCCCCAAAACTAGGCAGACCAGTTTGAAAGAGTGAACTGTACATACTGAATAGTCTTTAATGGGGAGATCCAGACCATTGCTGTTTAAACCTTGAAAGGCACTATTCTAGATAGTTACAGTAAATTCTACTTCATTATACTTTGTACAGAGCCAGAATGCTCTTCTTGTAAAAATGTAAACCACCGCTGAAAATCTTAACAGCTTGAGTGACAAATGTAATCTTTGGCCTCTAGTCTGTAATTGCTGCTAAAGTAGAGATAATCCAGTACCAGAATTCTTGCTTACTGGAACAGTACCTCAACTGGCATTTCAGCCTTTTATCTCTCCTTCATATGCCTTTGCCTCTGCGTTCATCCAGCACTCATAACATGTCAAAGAACACAGCTAATCTTGGTGCTTCTTGGAACAGTTTATCAGAAAAACACTCAGTACAGCTCCGAAGTTACAAGACTCTTAACACAAGAGCTGCTGCTGCTGTTTATGCCAAATAAGTAATGTTTTCTAAAGTAACATGTTACATGGTGGGGAAAAGTATTATGAATTCACACTGTATGGTCCAACCTAACAACCTAGTTTTTAGCTTTGTTTCTATAAACCTTCCAAACAGGTCAAAATGCCAAAGAAGTGGTTTCTTGCCCTTAACATGCCTGATTGACATGTTCATGACTATAGGCGTTAACAGTGCATGACCAAGGGGGGAAATATAAACGCTGACCATTAATGTTAATGACAATCCAGATATTCTCTGCTGTTGTAAAGGTTCTACTTATTCCAAGAGGAAGGCTGGGGGGAGGGATAGAGATATTGATGGTGATTCTGAGGGCTTAAAATATTTTAGGGTTTTCTATATGATATTAAAACTAATTTTCATTCATAAGAACAATACAAATACTTGTTTTCATTTTGACTTATTAAATGCAAGTACTAGTGTTTACAAATTCTTAGGACCACTTCCAGAATACATTTCAGCTCTGAACACCCTCAAGTTCATTCATGCGGACAAAGAACAGGGTACAATCAGCAGCAATTCCCAATATCATTATGGTTGAAAAAAGTACTGCCATTGCAACCAGTCTTTAATGTGTATTCCCAACTCTGCAAATCTTTTTTTGTTTTGTGCAGAGGTAAGAAATGTGGTGTCCACTACATCATCGTTCAACTCCCTTGAGACCAATCCAGGGTGCAGAAGAGAAGGAACTCTCAGAACTGAATTAATAGCATTCTCATGCTCTATGTTAACATTCTAAATTTGGTCTTATTTGTTATTAGTTAAGCAAACTTTCTGGTTTTGTTCCCAGTGAATAGTTTCCTTTTTCTAAAGCAATAAATTGTTTTTAATAAGAAAAACAACTTCAAATAAGACATGGGTCCCAACAAGAGGGCAAGTCTAAAAAAAATGCTTCAAAATCAAACAAAATAATCAAACAAAATAAAACCATCCCTCCCAAAAAGCAAACTGGCTTTATAATTGCTTATCTCTTCTGAAGAATGGTTCTACAGAATATCACAACAATATAGAGCTTTGGGTCCGATATTTAGTTTGTGTGCATACATGACATTAGTCGTTTCCATGGTATGACTTGAATGTTTTCTTCATTACAGGCATGTAGGCCATGTCCTCCTTACTGTGCTGTTTATGAGATGTAATCCCACAAAAAATGCATTTATGAATATATTAAACTGTCTCATGTTGGTTCAGCCCAGCCTTGTAAGTCCACAAAAGTTTACAGTACAACACAACATAACGTAACATAACACAAGCCTGCTGGGGACTGGCAGAAGAGGAATGCTTGTCCACCCACTTCCTGTGGGGAATTCCATTGGCATGCCTGCTAGCAATCCTTTCTTGCCCAAGGCTACCAGGCTAGTGATTAAATACAAGACTGGGTTCAGTCCATTGGTCCTTGTATCTCAGCACTGTCCGCAGTCTCTCAGAAAGAAGACCTTTTCAAGACACATTACTAGAGATTCTTTAACTGGAGATGCCAGCAATTTAAACCGGGACAAATGATATATGACCCCTCCCACAAGCACATAGGTTTGCAGCAGCATTATGCCTCAACCATGGCTTAAAATGTTTTTGGCAGCCTGGTTAGAAAGGCAGCTCTTAGGCATGCAGTGGCAAAGCAACTCCACCATGCTAGTGCACTGTCATAGCCATGGTTGCTCATGACCTTTCAACTCATAGTCATATCTTTTTACAGTACAAATAAAGATATACTTAGAAATAAGTATATAAGATGTCAGAATTATTTCCAAGGTATACATTTTTTAAAAAGCAAATATGTTGCTACAACAAAGTATAAAATGTTTCTCTCTTTAGATGTGACCCCCAAATATATATATTTTTTTACCACATCTCTATAAACAAGTAAAGAGAAACATGTTCTGGTCGTAGGTTCCTAATCCCTCTGGAGAAAACCCAGATCATTTCCATTTAAGGCCATGTAAGCAGCAGCTGCACATTTTTGTCCCCTGAAGAAAATGAAAGTCAGCCCAAAGCTTAAATACATGTTTTGCTTTTTATATGTGCCAGTATTCCAAGACATCAATTATTTTCAGGTCCCTCTCATGTAACCTAGAAATTAAATAAGGTATATTATTTTATCTGTGCATGACTGACATATGTCCAGAAGGTGCTTCAAACTGTTTCCCCTCTCTTCAGAGGACATGTGAGCATATTCACAAAGATATGTAAAACTTACAAGTATCAAATACAGGGATGGATGGATGGATCACTTTTATTTGCATGGCACTTAAGAAACTGTGTCTAGATAAACTATAAAATTAGATAAGCTGGTGACAAAGCTTCTGACAAAGATTGGATATGCAGGTGTGCTGTCAAGGAATGTTCACAAACATTGCAATTCTACAGGAAACAAAACATTTTTTTCAAGCCCAGGAGATAAGGAAGCAGAGGGCAAAGAAGCCACAGGAAACAGTAAGGAAGGAGGGCGAGTTAGCTCATAATCAAAGAAACACGGCAACAGTAGGTGATAAAACAAGGGTCTGAGGAAAGGGGACATCGAAGAGACAGAGAAAAGAGGAACATGAAAAGGGCTGTGAAAGGATATGAAAGCTAGGAGCTAAATGGCACATTAAACCTAGGTTATGGGTGCAACAAAGGAATGTCTAGGCACGCTTTTTAAATAACAAGAATACAAAGCTGAAAATGAATGAACTGCAGCTAAAATGTTATGTTCATTTTTTACATGGTCTAGTCCTTCCTCTGCCCACCCCCCTAATATTCTTAAGGTCTTTTCTCCAGTCTTCAGAGAGTAGCTGGAAGTAGGGAGGCAGAAAAAGGGCCCTCCTTTCCTTCTACTCTGCAGTTTTAATCTGAAATCTTAGGCGCAGTACTACACCCAGAAGTCAGAAACTGATTGCACTAATGAAATTCCCTCTCGCAAAGTGCGACTAGAACAATGGGGGTTTCGAACACTGCTGATATTTGAGAAGGGATTTCCTAGGTTCACAATATTCTTTTCTGCACTGAAATGATTTTTTAAAATACAATTTCTTCGAGTAATTGTGGAAGAATGGTCCAAAAATATTAGAACCATCATAATACAACAGTCATAAAGCATGTTTTCTAAACTCATTTCTACGCTATAAACTATGTATGTTTAATCATCAAAATTTCACATTTGACAAGTGTGTTAAATGAAACTCAAGATGCAACTTTCAATAGCCTGTATTCTATCCATATGTAAGTGATCCCGTTTGTAATTGCATGTGGTAAAACAAGATGGTACCTTCTTTCCAACTGACAAAAGTTCTTTTTTTTTTAACTAAAAATGTATTTTTCTTGAAAGCCTCTGAGATCTATCACTCCAACAATAATGAAGCTCTACACTGATGATAAAAGGAGTGCTACTTGCATCACTCCTAAAATTGCTAATTTGATACAGTACAAACATCATGATATGTAAGGGGGGGGAAGTCACTTGCATTAGGAAGTGATTTCATATTTTGTTATGAAAAAAATATGGAAACTATTTGCCAAGTGTGATAAATTTACCATAATATTGTGAAGTTTCTTGAGCTCTTTCAAAGTCATGTACAGAACCAATAGGCTACCATATTTACTTTCCAGCACAATCCGAAGACCTACTCCAGGAACACCACAAGAGATAATTTTGATTCCTTCCATTCCCCGAACGGCAGATGCCACTTAATACTGCGAACTGTTTTGAAACTCATAATTTCAAAAGCAGTGTGTGGCATGAGAGAGGTATGTTTAGATCAAACCCACAGTAAGCATTATTAGAGTCCTGATCACTGGAAAAATTGGTCCTTAATATTCATTAGTAAGTGCAAAATCAAAATCATGTGTTTCAGTTTTTCATTTTTGTATACAGCTTTACAGGAAAGTTACCGAAAACAGTAAGTCCAGTTGGGAAACAGCGAGAGATTTTGTCATTGGAAAGTGATGTGTCCTCACTGTACACTTGTTATTGACTGAATTCACATCTCAATAACATTTGTAGACATATGTCTAACTCACTCCTCTTCCCTATAGCTCAAGAACGAAATATCACTGCTTTAAATGATGTAAGCTGTGCAATGTCCCTGTTCTTATAAAGCCTCTTCTATAACCAATCACTAGAGTTAAATTCCTGGATGACATCATGAGCCCTGCCTATGAAACTTTTGTTATTTTTTCCCTCCACCAACTTCAGTTGTTCCCACAAACTCGGTGACGGAGAAGCCTTGTAGTTTCCCAGAGCATACCATCACATATTTCAGAAATCACTGGCTATTGAGGTAAGAAAATATGTTTTTTTTAAAAAAAAATGTATAAGGGATTGTGGGTTTCTAAATTAGCTATCCTACTTGAAGAGAGAGGTCTGCAGCCTTTGTTGAGAACCATTAGCTTGATGCAGAACTCCAACACTGGTTACCTTCTGCATCTTTTTAGGGTTGTTTGATAATAAATGCAGGTAAAGCAAAAGCATTTGTACACAGAGGGGGCAGGGCGTATGATTTGGGAAGAAACATTGTAAAAGAATTCAGACAGAATCAAGCTATATTTCAGTGCTTTGTGGACAGCAAAGGATCCTGCTGTCACAGTGTCAGAAATTTTGTTATTCCCCCCCTCCCTTCTAGACTTTCAATTTTCTATTGAAAATGTTACCATATTCTTATTCTTCTTATTATTATTTTTGTAAAAACATCTTATTTTTGTAGTGTTTACATTGCAGATTAGCAGTTAAGCAGTTTTAGTACGAACAGGTATACTTGTACATGTTTTTTTTTTTACTACAGCCCAGCAAGCCACATCTAATACTAATATTCCCTGCGACCAGAGTATTTATTTAAGAAAGCCTAAGGGTTTCTGCATAGCCAGTGAGAATTACATGACACCCCATGCCATATCACAAACTGATTTTTAAAGTCCTTGGTGTTTTAAAATGGTTTGTAATGTGGCATGGAGAGGTGTTGCTATTTAAAAACCCCACCAAAAGCCCAGTGACATGTTGGGCACAGATTTAGTAGCCTTATTTCTTGGATCCTAGCCAGTGGCTACAATCCTACACAGTTAAGGTCACTTAAAAACACTGGGATTTAAGAAGCCTAATCTTGTGCATGGTTGTAGCCACTGTCATTAACTAGGTGTTTTTTTCAAGCAGCGTACCTACAGTGTTAATTTACAAGTAACATGTCATGTTTTCAACCACTGAATTTTATACACCAATAGAAACAGAACTCCCATTTTCAAAGTACCTGATTTTGTAGTTTTTTTAATACTACCTAATTTCTATTATAGATATTTCTCAAAGCAATCAGTTGCATTTTTATTTTTGTCCACAAGAGGCCTTTTTACACACACACACACACACACACACACACACACACACACACCCCAGCAACACAGAATAACAGCCAATTCTGTTACAGACACAAACACTAGCTTTCGGAAGAATCTCAGAGCAATTCTACAGCATGTTAGAATAACTTCCTTCACCGACTTAAACAGCAAAACTTGGTCCATTTCACTGTATGTTCTCAAGTGGGGAAAGGGGCATAATAAAGCTAAGAAAAGTTTTGTTTTTATTGTTATTATTTTTTTAAAAAAATGGGGGGGATATTTGCTTTGTGATTTTTCATTTATTAATTTTTTTTTAAAAAGGAACTTACACTGGAAGGAGGAAAATCTCAAAACATGCTTTAGACACCCTGAAAGTTCTTTTCTGCTTCATTTTCCTTGCAGGCTAGCTAAACATTTATTTATTACTTTTAATATGTCAGGAGAGATCAGTTCACTCTTATGTTTTTCTCTTTGAAACAGCTTTTGTCACTGTTATGAAAGTGAGCCTTTTCTCTGTGATTGAAAATATGCACTTTCTCCTAACCTTTTTTCTTAACATTCTATAGTCCCGTTTCTGTTTCTCTTATTGCCTCATCTCACCTTTTCCCTAGAATCCTGAGTCAATTCTATTATTATTATACTTTATTACATTTCAATACCGGCCTGCTTGTTTATATTGGAAACCTGGTGGTTTACAATATAAAAACACAAAAATGCATACCATAGTAACAAACAAAAATAATAACCCCCAAACAGTTTAAAAGGCCACAGATTGCTTAATTAGCCAATATATATGTGCTCATCGCTTCTTTCACATAGCTTCTTGGGCACCACTGTTCCTCCTTTTTCCATGCTGTTGTTTCCTGCTCTTTCTCGCCAACCCCCAGTCTCTCTCCCCCCCCCCCAAATACATATATACCACTTCTATTTCTCATTCTTTTCTTGTTATACCTGATGGCTGACACTGCTCATTATAAGATTATATGATGCAGATCTGTCCCCAGCCTCTTAAATGAATCCCAAGACTGATTTAAGTGGGATAAAGTAAATCTCTTCACTTGCACAGAAATAACTGATTAACTGCTGCCACTAACCGTATCAAAACAATTTTAGGAGAGGGACAATAGAAACAGACTCCCAGCAGAACAGACTTATTCCTCAAAAATGTTGTGATATTAATGGTCTCCCCCTCATTTATAAGTTGTCTCTCCTGAATGAACTTTCAAGAAGGAGAAATTAGCAGTAAACTGATGACCTCTAGTGGAATAATGAAGCAGCACTCACCATTTTCTTTAAAAATATACTATTTAGAAAACAATGAAAGAACAACTGCTACTGCTCCTCTTCCTCTTTTCTATCTAGTGGACGCTCATCTGTAATCAAAGAACCCATTTTTATTCTGAATCCTCCACTTTTTGTGTACTAGCTACTTGATGTCTGAATTGACGTCAGCAAAACTTTAAGTTAAATGGAATTGAGGGATTCAATTTTAAGAACTCTCAGTTTTCCGAACAAGACAGGAGAAAATAGACCAGACTACCCCAATGAACAAAGTGGGATTTAAATGAACATAGGCTTGGGATGTGATTCTTGTTTCCTTCAAATGTCTTTTAAGGTCTAGTACAGAGACCTGTCTAGTTCAGAGATACAAAACAAAAACAAAAACAATAAACGGAACACTGATGTCCTTCCAATGTCTTCTCCAATTTCAGAGCAATAATGACAGGCAACAGTATTCATCTAGCTATATGTATTGCAGTGAAATGAGATCACAGCTGTTTGCTTATATGTTATGATTAATCATCAAGTCTTAACTCTTTGAAAAGCCTCATGTTGACAAATGCAAGTTCTTAACTACAGAAAAAGCCACAGCCTAGCTTGCCAAAAATACTGTTCTATCAAGAAGTATGTTGCTGACCCTCCCAGAGAGTGGAGTTTTTCCATCAAATAATTTCATCTTATAATATTACATGCAGGAAGAGGGCATCTGTGCTTTTTATTCAGTAACAAGCGAGTGATAGCTATTTCCATCAGCTAGCTATGTGACATGTCTGTGAAGTGTCAAGCCATATTTAACAAAGGTGTTTAATACAAATCTGTTAGCATTTAATTCACTACGGCTTGCTTAGAGTAGAATAAACACTTTAGCATAACTGAGTCCATATTTGGCTAGAAGAAGGAACACCGTTTTTACAAGGTCCCTTGAGTTGTCTTGTGCCCGCCTTTTGTGTGTGTGTGTGTGTGTGTGTGTGTGTTTGTTTTAGAGTATCTACCCTTGTCAAATGTAAACCGGAAAAAGAAAAAGGAAAAAAAAATGAACATGGTGTCAGCCAAATATTTTAATGGCTAATGGTCTATTGTCCTTCATTTATACAGAATCAAAGAGAGCTAAAAAGTAATGGAAAGTCAAGCCGAGTTGTAGAGTGTATTTATATAAAACATTCCTTTGCAAATGTGATCTAAGCTGAACAGAGCCCACCAACTATGCATTTTGGACTGCCAAGAGCTTGACAGCTTCACTGTTTTTGCAGTCTTGGGCAGGCATTAAAAACAGAACACTTAACAAGCCCTTTGTGAACCACCATACATGGCTGGTGGGCTACATTCAGCTTAATGGGTCACAAGTGACACCTGGTACAGCAAATGAACCACATCTCTCAGGATTGCTTTACAAGACATGGACGTGTTTGCAGCATGTCCACTGTTACTCTCTATGATGAATTGCAAACATGTGTACCCAGGAGGTGTATTCCAGCCACATATTAAACACATGACTGTCTCCTTCAAATTTGTTATGGTTTTAACATACAAGTATATGGTAAACCTGCTGCAAACAGCTCTTTTTCATATCATACACAGTGGTCTTGAGAACAAGTTTGGTGTGTGTGTGTGGTATTATTGAAAGGCAGGTCTGGTCTTATTGTTAAGATTTGTTTTCTATGTATAAATGTCTCACACAGTAAAGCAATCTCACATGCTTGTTTCAAACATTTTGTTTACTTGGAAATAATCTGCACTTGCCCTGGTCAATGCACTGTTTGTTGTATTTCTAACACTTCACTTTCCTGCTTTCCCCAGCTCCACAAAGATTCTTAAGAAGATATTAAGCACTTTGCACTGCCTTTGAAAACCACTGCTTCTTAAAAATCTGCACCCACTTCCTTAAAATTTGCGCTTTCCTGTTGCCATGGAGAAGGTCCAGTACATAACCCGGTCTGCTATGAGGAGAGCCTCAACTATTGAGGTGAACCCACAAACACGCCAAAGGCTTCAAGAGCTCTTTGTGAATTTTTGTCTTATCTTAATATGCCTCTTGCTTATCTGCATCATTGTGATGCTTCTTTGAAGTCTGGCTTCTTTGATTGATCTTCACTGCGCTGTGCAAATGGGGAAAGCAGCCAGAGAGAGAAAAGAACCAAAGAGGAAATTTCCAGCACAAGGAAATCCTTGCAAGAAAGTCCAGCATTCGGACTAAGCAATTTCTAACCGGCTGCACTATTCACTTATTAGCCACTGCAACCATGTTAAAAGCTCCTGTACTGAACAGTGATTTGAAACATATTGTTAAGTGTATGTTGCAGACTTGTTTTACTGAATCAATGTGTTAGTAAAAAAACCCTATAAAATGTCCAATAGCAAGTTTTACATATGACCATCAATAAGTTTTAACTATGGCTCTGAAATGGGTTCACATTTGAATGGGTAGGTAGAGATCGAGGCTAAATGAACTGTTAACAAGTACACTTAGATCATTATATAGTTTAGAAAATATTCTGCATATCCTACTTTCAAATCTTGAGTACTTGGATTGTTTACTCAAACTATTATTAAGCTTGCTTTAGCATGTTTATGACTGAAACCTTGAAATTAATGTTAAACCATTATATGGTCACAGACTTTCCGGTCTGAAAAATAAACGTATTCAATCAACCCATAGTTAAATGAAGTTAATTTTCTACCTGACATGCATATTGAACATTTCAGCAATGGCATTTGTCTAGAACAGCCTGAAAGAAGCACTGAGACCCAAACTGTGGCCAAATGTAAATAAACCTTCAGGCATTAGATATATTTGCAAATACTGCATATCCTCGCTTGTGTGTTCAAGTAAGGTAATTTGAAAGTGGTGGAAGACACTGGATGTAGATAGAGTATGACAAGTAAGAGTTTGGTGCACAAAAACCCAAGTAATGAAGTAAAACTGATATCAATGCTTTTCTCAAATGTAAAAGTTGGGATTCAGTGCAGCGCTAAGGAGATTGTTCCATCAGTGCAAGCATTTCCTCTTGCCTGACAGAATGATCTCCCCTCCCCTTCTCTGCACACTGTTCTGAGGGTTCTTCAGAGTGGATTATGGGGAGGCACAGGGGGTGTCGTGGGGATGGGGGCGGGGAGCCCTGTTGTGCTAGCACTGGTTTCCTCTAGTGTGCCAGATCAGTTGAATCTAGCACTAAGTATGGGGAAAGTGCGAGGTGAATGCTTTGTATTTTGGCAGTGCTCAGTAATATTTAAAACAGAATAAATGCTTCCATACTGTAAAAAAGAAAAAGAAAAGAAAAAAGTATTGATTTAAGCAGTTTGTCCTTTGGTTGTTTTTTTTAAAAAAAATTTCACTCCTTAAAATGGCATTCAGAGATCTGAATATTTGCTTCAATGTACAAAAAAGCCAAAACATCATACTATGGCTGTCTATATATTATATATGGGGGGGGGGGGAGAGACGTATAGAATCAAGTTTACTCATGGACTGGGCATATATGCTTTCAATTTCTTACCTTGGTTAATAATTGTGAACGGAAGGAACTACAGGATTTAATACTCCCCAGGAACCTTAACCATGGTCAAAGCTTTTCTAGGCACTGACCCCACCAATGGTTAAAAATAAGTTCATAATGTTTTGAAACCAAACTTATCATTTCTATGAAGTGTACATGTGATCATTTTAGCTGAACTGGTAAGAAGCAACCATGTCTAATGACTCATTAAATTATTATAATTGTTTCATACATTGAGAATGTACTCTTCTAATTATGTTACACATGAACTGATCTTCCCGTGTTGAGAAAAACACACACATTAGGTTTGGTTCCTTCTTAAGATAAAAAATAAAGGTTAATGGATTGGCAAGACATTTTTGGCTTATTTCTGTTTATTTCAATTTAAAACTGGTAAATAAATTTGATCAACTTGAATAAATTTAACGAAGTGAGGCCCACCTGCACTATACATTTAAAACAGTATCACACCACTTTAAACAATCTTAGCTTTCCCCCAAAGGGGACTATAATTGCTGAGAAATCCATATAACCAGAAATTTTGGCTGGCTTTGGCAGCTGTCAAAATGTATGGCTGGGCCCTTGCCCCTCCCATTCAGACCAATTCTATGAATGCTTACTAAGAAAAAATGGCCCAACGTGTTCAGGTGAAGCCACGTGGGATTATAGCATTAATTCCTGATCTACCACTGAGCCTCTGCAGGAAGTTGGGAACAATCCTATTGCTGTGTTTTCCTATTCCAAACTTTTGTTGCTGTGGAAAGTAGCAAAAGTCTAGCCCCAATTTCCCCCCCTTGCAGCCAGGGAGAAAGGTTGGGATCATTTTGACAGAGAGCAGGAAAGGTGTTCCTTGAACTACAGCTATCTGCTGCAAAAATAGCTCTCTCAATCCTTTCCAGAGCTAGAGCCTTGTATGGACACCACCACCAAGACTGTCTCCAGTCTTTCCTACTGGAGCCAAGAGAGGCTATGACTCTAATCACTATGCATTCACATGACCCACCTCAACTTCTCTATCTTGGAGTAGGCGATGGAGACAGTCAGATCAGTGCAGATGTGAAGATGACCCAAGCCTCCTCAAAGCTCCAACTTAAGAGATGGTGGCAGAGTATCCAGTCATCCTTTCCCAAGTTTAATTACCCACTTGCCAATGACCCACTCATCAAGGTGGAAAGCTGCATATAACATACCATATTTTTCCATGTATGAGATGCCCCCTATTTTTTTGACCCCAAAATTATGAAAATGAAACCATAAAATAGAAGTGAAAATCTGGATGATTGGTGGTGGCAAGTTGTTGATCTTTTTTGAGGCGATCGGCCTCAAAGTTTCCAGCATGCAGTGCGCTGTGGTGCAGAAGCAAAGGCTGCGACTGGGGCACCACACGCTCCCCCACCCCCATGGTAGCTGCTGCTGTGGGGAAGCAGGCTCCCAAGCAGGATGCCAAGGAAGACCCGGGGAAGGCAGCGGCCACTCTGCAACGGGCCATGCCGTCAAGCAAACTGAGCTGAGGAAGGTGGTGAGTGGGCTGGGGGCAGAGGGGAAGAGGGAAAAAGGGAAAGAAGAGCAAGGAGAGGTAGCTGAGGCAGCTCTCAGCAGCGGCAGCTGCTCTCGATCTGGTGGTTGAGCCAGCAGGGGCCTCAGGAGGCAAGCCAGTCACTAGCATGCAGCCTGGAGGGGGAGAAGGGGGGTGGCAGCAGGAGGGACCCCCTCAGCCCACCCAAGCCAAAATCCTGGACATATGCTTAAATATTTTTTAAATTCCCCCAGATGCCCATGTTCCGTGTACAAGACGACCCCCAATTTTTTACTATTTTTTTTAGCAAAATACCTTGTGTTATACACGGGAAAATATGGTAACTAAGATGTATTACAAACAATAGACGCACCCACAGTGCATGGTATAAGGACTTTCTGCAGATAAGGATTCATTGATTTATTAATATTAAATTCTAAATGTGCTTTGGGGACAGATGATTTAAGAATGAGTACAGAGCCAGATGATTAGCAACTTGGAGGGCAGGGTTGTGCTATGTGACTAGTTATAAAGGTAAACGTGCATTTTATTGTACAACTTCATCTGCGGTTTGAAAAAAATACTTTTTCTACTTGGCATGATAAGACAGACAACTCCCTTAGTCAAGTCATTTTGTGCAAACCATGCCACTTATTAAAAAGTTCTCCTTTCAAGGGTGTTTTGGAGGGCGGGCGGTATGTATGTGGGACTGGTTTCTATAGTTGTTGCTCATCAGCCATTTTCTCTTAGGTGCTGGACAAAAAAAGCTCAGAAAAAGCCAAGAACTGAAGATGTGATATACATCTGTCAACCTTCATTCACTGGCACTGAAACTGAACAAACTCAAAACTGTGATCACAAATTCTGTTGCACACATAAAAAGTGCAAGGGATGCCTACAATGGATCTTGCAGCAAACAGAGGCCTCAACCTCCTACTCAATTTTCTACTTATTTTCCTGGTTCTTGTTCTCATGTACATCCTTGTAAAGCTCATGTGAATTTTTCATTTTGTTTGAACGTTTACTATTAATCCACTATGGTTACTTGAAGCTTCAAACTTTGTGAACAGAAACACTGAAACAAACAAAACCCAGAAAAATCCACAACCTAAAAAACTGAAGAGCAAGACTGTACTTCACAAAAACTACCTGCTTACAGTATAGAATAACTGCAACATGGTCACCAGCAGAAATCATCAATATAATATATTTACGTATCTACCAAAGAATGGTTAGACTGTGGACTTCTGAGATTACAGACTCTACAAGTAGGGCCCAAAAGGTGCATCGCAACAACCTGAAATACTGAAAAGAAAAAATAATAATGACATGTAGCTAATTGTTTAAAGGAAGAAAATAATGAAAGCACATTTATTTGAAGCAAACATGGAAGTTCCTATGACTTTTATTTGGGGATGAGGGCAAACAATAATTAGAGGAGGTAAGGTGGCGGGGGTAGAAATACAGCCGAATTGTTTGCATGCTTATTCAGAAGTGAGTATTTCAGTGTTTGATGGGCCTTACTCTACCCAAACTTACTAAGGAATAAGACCCATGAAATGCAGTGGCACTTACTTACTAGTGAACATGCATAGATGTACACTGTTAATTATTCTGAACACTGAAAATGGGCCAATGTATTATTCCATTATAATGTGTTAGTCACAACATTTTTAGCAGACCAATACACTCCCATTTAGTCTCTAGCTAGCTCCACTGGTCTTTCAAGCCACAGAATTTCTAAAGGACACACTATAGCAGTGGATCAATATGGCTAGAGTTCCAGAGGGATAGCCATGTCAATCCGTAGCAAGAAAAAACAAAGAGTCTTTAAGATGACACATGACTTTTAGATGCGTCTATGATTCTTTTACTTGTGATGCTCATTGCTGTGAAAATACTGTAATGTGGAATCAAATTTTCAAAGAGACCTTTATGAAATTCAGAATGCATACATTTCTTCTACACTAGCTTTGCCTACAGATTTGTTTCACAGAATGAACAGCTCAGTGAATTTACTATAGGAACTTTAGATGTCTTTGGGCACCTTTTTGAGATATGTCTGTCTGTCTGCATGCCCATCAAAGGGAAACAGTCACCTTCAGAAGCAGAATGGCTGGCAAGAACTTCTACATTAAATGGAATAGCCAATGGAAGCTCAGCAATTGCAGAGATTACAGTATTCAAATGTCTGTGATACCACATATATATTGGAAAACAACTATAGACTTCTGTATAAATTTCAGAAATCAGACATTGGCAATCACAACAAAAGAGATTGAACAGTCTGTTGAAATACCATTTTATTTAGATTCTCATAAGTTTTCAAACATGGGAATATTTCCAACAGAAAGACCATTCAATCCTGTAACAGTAGAATAGAACTTCTGCATATATACACTGAAAGCCCGAATGTTCTCCTGCCCTTAATCTTGAAAGCATTTTATTTATGTGTTTAATTCTTTTTTTAAAAAACACACACACTGAACTTCTATTGTCACCTTCCTGAGAATTCAATTTACCCTCAGCATTCTTAGAATTCTACCACTTTGGTTCCCAAGATCTGGCTTGCAATATAACTGTTACCTACAAAGGCACAAGCCAAAATATTTAACTGCTCAATTTTATGTCTCTCTTTTGCTTTATCAGTCAGTTATTAAAGTTTATATGCAGTCTGGACAGGTCTTTCCAACTTTCTGCATACTGTTGAGGTCCTCTGAGATTGATAAAAAGTTCATATTTAGTGGGAAAGCTACACTCACATATGTAGTATATACAACAGATATCAGAATGTACTGACAGTATTGTATCTTACCAGTGTTAAGAATTTCACTAATTTAAATATACAGATATATGTATCAAAAGTTTAATTTTGCTAAAGAATGAAAAAAGATTGTACTTTGTTGTTTTTGTTTCCTTTGTACCTAATTGAGACATACCCAATAAATCTCCAAGTGTAGCCTTGGGGCTAAGAGTTTAAGTCAAAAAGTCCGTGGTTCAAATGCCACATCAATCATAAATGCAGTAGGTAGCCTTAGCAAGTTATCGTTCTCTCATCCTCAACCGTCCATTTACAATTATATGAAGAAGTAGTATGGACTATTTTACAGTCATTCTAAGAATTGGGAATATAACGTTAAGTGAAGTGCTCTGAACTGAACTGCTACATAAACCATTCCCAACTCTGTTCTATGGTGAACAGAACCACTTCCACAGCGCTTTATTTACCACATTACAGGGTTGAAATGATGCCAATGTTTTCTTTTCCCATTATGCTACTCTCATACAGAGTATGAAGACCAGTTCCCAGTTTTTCTCTGCATCGGCACTCAGTGAATAATGAATGCTCTACTATTACTGTGTCATAGAAGTGCTCTATTTTGCATTGACCTTGAGGTTGGTATTTGCTATCACAGCAAACCATAGAACTGGTTTATGATTATTTTGGATAACAGCAGTTAAGAAAACCAGGAAACTAAAACAGAGCAACTCAATATACAAATACCTGAAAAAATAGTTTTAAGTTGCAAAAACAAAACAAAAAAAACCCCCACCACCTTTTACTTTTGGAGGGCAATTCAGAACTCCCACCAAAACACATGGTTCTCACTTTTGAAGTTGCAGGCACTGTGAAGTAGTTGGCATCAGTGTACCATCTTCCATGTGCTGTGGTCAGGGCTCAGCTGTAATAATGAATGAGTTGATTACACAAGTGACACCTGGCTACAGAGCTGGGAAGGACATACAACTTCCAGACTGAGCGGACATGGAACATGGAACGGTCTGGGCAAGTGTCTCAGTCACCTAAAAAAATGTGTAGGGCTTAATTCTGCAACAACGGAAAATCTATAACTAATTCAGAGCAAAATTTGACTCTAATGAATTGCTACCATCTAGGCAAAAAGAAAAGGGAAAGAAGCCTTGGATCCGCAGCATCAACAAAAACTTACATTATATAAATCACTGACTCAGGTATTCCAGACATTCAATATTCTATGAGATGCAGCATCGATCAAAAGAGAAAATATTTTTATACGAAACGTACCATTTTTAAGTGCAAACTACTCTGTCACTCAAAATGTATTCATAACATACTCAAACAGGTGAAACAGACAAAAAAACCCTAATTGTATTCTCTCCAAGTTTATTTTAGCAAAATATGTTTTTGAAGATAGCAAGTTGTGGTAACTCAGGGATAATACACATCACCCCAAGAAACTGAGTTATTTACCTTAAATATGCTAATGACATAAAAAGCCTGAAGACAATGGTCCCTAATTCAACACAGAGTTAGGGATGGATCAATTTCTTTAACTTTAATGAACTAAGTAAGCATAAATGTAAAGGTGATTGTGGTCGATGTACAGAGCTAGATAGAGTGATATTAATACTTAATTGACTTGCCCTCCCATAAATTCCCAGTTCATTTCAATTAAAATCTTTACTATCAAAGACATCAGACGCATGCTACACTATATGACTGTAGAGGACCACTGCATTTAATATGTTATTTGATGTCATTTCTCTTTCAATCCACTTGGTGGCAGCAAAAACTGAATTTCTGCTCTTACCTGCACAGGATGTTCACTTCCTGTTCTAAGTTCTTCAAGCTGCTGTAACTGCCAAGGAGATAAACTGTATGGCTCTTCAGAAGGCCTGGACTCTGGAGGGTTTGTATGAAATTGTTCTGTAAGCCATCTTTGAGTCCTCTCTGAGGGTTGAATGGGAACCCCGCTCACAGCCTGCGGTCCCAAAGTTATATATCCTTGATGAAACACTTCGCAATTGGATGTGACAGGCTTGCTTTCAGGTAAGGCACTATAGGTCATATCTAAGGCATGTCTCCTGTTTGAGGGATCAAGAACACCCAAGTCTTCCTTGCTGCAACTTTCAAATTTGTATTTGCAGTCCAAGGTAGAATTTCTTTTTTTCCCAGTTTCTCTGTCCTCCATCTTGAGTAATTCCATGCTGTTGTGCAAACAGCTCGTCCCATTTATTCTTAATTGTGGTGACACAGTGCTGTCTCTTCCCAATTTATCCATGCTTGTCCTGCACTCTGCTGAATAAACACTCCCATCCTGGCTACAGGTAATGGGTGCGCTGAGTTTAGACAAAGATGACCATTTCCTTACAGGCCTCAAGTCCTTCATGTCGAGAGAACTGTCCAGGATGCCCTGATGCCTGCTTGCGGCGGACCTCAAAAAGCTTGTACTCCATTTTGAACAGTCAGGCTTCAGAGGTTCCCTATGCTGGGATAGTGAAGAGCTGGTATTAGACGGCATCACATGGGCAGTGGGAATCGAAACCAGTGAACGGCTGGGCTTAAATGACGAAGTACCACTTGAGGTGGAATGATCTGGAGGAAAAGATTTTCATCATGTGAGTGAACACAGCGCAAATAAGAACAGGTCAAGATTAAGCACCACAAAGAAATTAAACATAATGTGTTGACACAGATGACATTATTTGAAACATACATGGTTTTTAATTCGTGAGAGGCCTGTCTATATTGCAGTACACCAGGCACAAGACAATCTGTGGCCCTTCAGATTTGATAGACAGCAGCTCTCCTCAATCCCCTACCATTTGCTGGCTAGAGCTGATGGGAATCAGTCAAACAACATCTGCAGGGTCACAGGTTTTCTCATCCGTGTAGTATACTAACAGAATTTGTGGAAGATGGAAAAACTATAGTTCACTATATACACTAAAACTACACAGGACTGAACTGATCTCTGAAATTTTCAGGAAGAGGCTGGAAAGCTGCATCAAATGTTTTGTTTTTTTCTTCCGCTCCTCATGCTTAAAGCATTCTAACGTAGAGGACTTGTAAGGGAAAAAAACCTCACACGCATGACCAACACAGACCCCCAACAAACACCTGCCTGGAAGCACCCTATATGTATGTTTTAATGACCTTAATATGTAGCCATTTTCCCAAAACAATTCTGGGATAATAAGGAAGTTACACTAAACACAAATGAAGAAATAAAGGCTTATTAGTTTCCTATTTAGAATATCCACTAGTAAATCACATGGTTTTGCTAATAAAATCACTGTACACCTTCAAACATATAGGCAGATAATATACTGGAACCAAATGTGCAATTGCACAAAAGAATGGCACCTTTATTAATGCAAGGAGGTGGGATCCCCAATTTTGGACAGTTTTCCTTTGGTGTTGTGGCCCCCTGCAACATATGCCATGATGCTCAAAAGAACCCCATAACTCCCAGAATAGGCTTGGGGGGGGGTTCGTGCAGAGAGATGTGGGAGGTAGAAAATCTGGCTGATGGAACAAGAAGTTAAGATTCAAGCCTTTGTATACTGAAAAACAACGCAGTATATAGCAATGGTATATAGCTAGTGCCTCGCCTCTTCCATTCTGGCTCCCTTCACCATCTGAAATATCAGTAGGCGTATAGAAAATGCCAATGTGCCAATGTTTCTAGACAGACAAGCAAGTTAAAATTAACAAAGGTGAGGCAGAGGTTACTGGAATCTGAGTAGCAGCTCTCCTATGCCTAGCAACTGCTGCTTTGCATCAAAGCCTGCAGACTACCAAAAATAAGCAGCTAATCCTGGCGTTAGAATCTTAGCCTTTACAACGTCACGTGGCTCAACCTTCCCCCAAGCTGTTCACGTTGCTGTTACACGGGAGGCTTTTTAAAAAGTCTTTCTATTTGTTCTTAATCATCGTGATCTGCTACAGTTACAATGTATGGCTTTGGGGGAAAGAGCAAAACAATTCCAAGACTTCTGAGTGCTCCGTGCCATTATGGTTTTCAAGGAGAGTAATGCTTAGCAGAATTCAGGTAAATCATCTTAAAGGCAATTTAATCCTGTTCAGCAGCTCTCTGCTAATGGTGGCACAGAGGATCAGACACACAGATCTCAGGAAGGAGCGGGGAAGGTGTCATTAAAGATGTCATTAAAAAGCCATATTGTACACAATTGTGTTATGGAAGGTACAGTGTTCCAGAGAACAGACTGTACTTGACTTGCAAAAGTATGTTACTTCTCACATGACATTTCATTGCCTTCTCTCTTAACTACGATGGCCATAGTCCAAAGATGTCATTAAAAAGTTAAAATTGTTGAAGTATCTAGCGTACTGAATCGTATACAAATAAATGTACATACTCCAAAATGTTGACAGATCCTTTTGGAGGACTTTGAAACAAGTGGGCAATTCCTTTTATATTTATAACAACTTGCAAATTAATAAATAAAGCTACATAACACAGTGAAGGAAAGAATGACGATATTTAAAACAGTGGTACCTTGGTTTTCGAATGCCGAAAACCCGGAAGTAACTGCTTCAGTTTCTGAATGCGCCTTGGAAGTCGAACAGGAAACGCGGCTTCCGCTGAGTGCAAGACCCTGAAGCCTAGCTGTCGGCTATTGAGTTTCGGTTTTCCAATGTTTCGGAAGTCAAACTGTCTTCCAGAACCGATTACGTTCGAAAACCGAGGTACCACTGTATATTCTTTTTCACTGGATCTGAGCCTATAGAACATTCTAAATTGGAGTAAATTCTGAAGCCATACTGTACACAATTGTGTTATGGAAGGTAAATGTTTAACTGTGCAATGCTATATTAATCTACACAAAAGGCTGTAATCCTATGCCAGCATCTGTAATGCTGCGCACACTTACTTGGGAGTAAACCCCACTGAATTCAATAGGACTTACATCTGAGCAAAATGCACAAAGGATTGCATGGCAGAAAATGTACTGACACTGACTTCAGCTTAACACTGACACCTTCAGCTTCCTGTGGCTATTCCTGTAAGAGGAGTAACCATAGCAGTTTCACTCTGAATGCCAAACTATTCTGGTAGCTTTGCATGCAAACTGAAAGAAAAGGTCATCTTTCAAGTTTCTTCTTAAATCAAGACTCTGGGAAAGGAAGGGTTGTGCTTCTGTGTCTCCTACATGGTACTGGGCTCTTTCAGAGTCCAAGGTCCTGAAATCTTTACTGATGATCATCATTTCCACCAATTAAGCAGGGTGAAACATGGAATGTTAATATTTAATTAAAGTTTTAGTTGATTAACCACAGTGATTAGTCAATTAAAGCTAGTATCTTGTGCTCCTAGTTTATAGCATAGGGACACCAGCAGTCAAATCTTGTCTGTTCAAACAAATAATAAAAGGCGGTTTGCCACGTGCATTGTTCAGAAGTTCTGTTACCGGGTTATTGCCATCTATTCAGCCATAATTACACAAATGCCCCTGGGAAAAGAATGAGTACATAAATGCACACTTGGCTGGTTTCATTCTAACTGAACTGTACACACAGCAAGACAGTGAAACCATTTTTACTCAAGGAGTTGTCTGCCAACTTATAACTGTCTACAAGTTATTTTTTTCTATTTGAAATAAATATTTGCTTGCAGATTTTATTTTTCTTCCGTTGCAAAACAGTCTTGTCACAAACCCTGAGATTGGGTGTGGGTTTCTTTTTAGCTTGTGCCATTGCTTTTCAGTGGGTGACATTCGACCACGTTTTACTTGGAGAAGATGCACAAAAATTAAGCAGCATAACCAAGGGCTCATCCACACAGCCACTAGAAAGAATGGATGTGAGCAGCTTTCCACTTGGCCCACGCTTTCTGCTCCTTTCCTGGGAAAATCCACTCTTTTGCTCTAAATTGGAACAAACGACAATCCACAGAAAACCTAAAATGCCGTTTGCAGTGACTGAGTGCTAGAGAGTGGTTTTCCCCAGGGGAAAGCAGCAGGACAAGAGAAAGTGTGGATAAGCCCTAAGTTGGGTCCATTTTAAACAGTACAAGCTGTCTTGTGTTTCCACATGGCAACTTTTAAAGACAGACGCCAAAGCAGCTGCCATGGTACTGTGCTGCACTGCTTCAGCCTAGGAAACAACACAGCACCATGGTAGGACCTGTTCCTGGTAGCCCCTGTAGACAACCGATTTGTTGAGCACTCATCTTGATCTGCTTGCACAAAGCTTATGCAGAGGCTAGATTATATCCAGCCTTTACTGAGCATATGTTCCAATTTGGTTATATGACAATGAACATTGACCCTGCATTCATCCTGATTTGCTTGTGGGGAGTTTATACCCTTTCCCATAATTCATTAGTTCATCCCACACTTTTCAACACATTTTCCTATCACTTTCCAAACTGCAAAAACTCTGGGTGTTGTTGTTGTTGTTGCTTAAAGTGGATATGTTGCATCAGGATGCAAGTCTCGTTTTCCAATGTGCCTGAATCCCTCCCGTGAAACACGGACAGTCTGAATGAACCCTAACCTACTTGCTTGGCTAAAATGACAACTTGCATAGCATAAGCACTGCTCTGCTGGATCAGATGAATGCCTGCAGGGAGTTCACAATCAGCCCTCCTCTGTTGTCTGTCCCCCAGCAATTAGGATTTCAGAGGCATATTGCCTCTGAACATGTAAGTCCAATTATCTTCTATTTTTGACTCCTTTTAACTTCTGCGTGAACCTTGCAACAAAAGCAGCGGTGAACTGACTCTTTCAAAACATGGGAGAAATTTACAAGAGCAAGAAATATAATATTGAAATTATCCTAGCTGTACGCTTTCTACAAACCCTTGTGGCTGTGGTCCTGAAATTCCCCAATTTTACGATTTGCATTGTTTGTCTACAATGTGATTTACAATTCTATGTGTCTCAGCCAGGATTTAATGCCAGTTCTTCTGGCCCCTTTTCATCTTCTCCTCTAAGGAGATATCTTTGCACATCACTACCACACGCATGGTCACAGTTTTGGTAGTGATCACGTGTGGGGTACCTAGAATCAAAAGGAGGTGCTCAGAACCCCATTCTACAGCACTGTGACAAATGCCACATAGAACCATAGTTGGGAATGCGAGCTACTTCATCCTGTGCGATGTATACTTCTGCACATGTAGAACCTGATATATAAAAGATGTAAAAGAATGATTCAGAACTAGAAACCAGCTTCCATATACAGTGCTTCCTTGCTAGATCAAGACAACTATATTCTCTGAAACAGCTGATAACTCTTGCAAAGGTTGAGGGAATTTGTCTGGGGTTATAGTTCATTGCAGTTCTAATTTTGCATTATCAAGAAACAGTTAAGACTTCAAGAGCAGAATGAAGACAAGCCTAATAAATTACTAGAAAAAATGCAACCCATTGTTTTGCTGGTATGATGCAATTGAAAGTACCATATTTTTCCGTGTATAAGACTAGGTTTTTCCCCTAAAAATAATGTCAAAAATTAGGGGGAGGGGTCTTATACATGGATAGTGCCGAGAGTGGACTGGCAACAATCTGAGTCCCCCAAAATAGGGGGCGTCTTATACATGGGGGACAGACATGGGTGGCGCTGTGGTCTAAACCACAGAGCCTAGGGCTTGCCAATCAGAAGGTCGGCGGTTTGAATCCCCGCGACGGGGTGAGCTTCCGTTGCTCGGTCCTAGCTCCTGCCAACCTAGCGATTCGAAAGCATGTCAAAGTGCAAATAGATAAATAGGTACTGCTCTGGCGGGAAGGTAAACGGCATTTCCGTGCGCTGCTCTGGTTCACCAGAAGCGGCTTAGTCATGCTGGCCACATGACCCAGAAGCTGTACGCGAGCTCCCTAGGCCAGTAAAGTGAGAGGAGCGCCACAACCCCAGAGTCGTTCATGACTGGACCTAATGGTCATGGGTCCCTTTACCTTTTATACATGGGGGCGTCTTATAGATGGAAAAATATGGTATTTTACTATATCCGCTTTTATTTTCACTGAAATTCCTACTGCCTATGGATACAGTCAGGTCACACAGCAAGACCGATCAGAAAATACTGGGGCCAAAATCAGCAGAACAGAGCTTTATTGGGTATGAAGTCCACAACAGTCCAGCTGCAAATTCCCCAACAATCCATTCCATATGCTTATGGGGTTTTTTAAGGTGCCTATTGCCTTTTTTCTTTTTGAAAATTAGAATACACTGGAATAATCTCCCCACACCCCTAGAGCCACATGGGCTGTCAATCTTATTTAGAAATGTGAATTCAAAATTTTCACCATTGCTTTGGTAGCAATTCCATTAAATTCCAAGATGCAATGACATAATAATGTTGTGTTGACAACTTCAAGAGCTAGAGTAACAACGCAAAAGGAACATCCAGAAGTAGCATGAGAACAGCTGACAATACACTCATGAAGCCAAAGAAGCAGTTTTTATTCTGAATTTATAAAGCTTTTGTGTTCTAGGAATATGAGAATAACAAAGCTCTCCATGTGAAATTAGCTTCAACTTTCAGCTCAGGTTGTTCAAACCCCTTCAGTATGTTTAATTTTTTTAAGAGTTACTTAAATTAAGTGAGGGGAGAATGAAGGGTAAAACAATGTATTTGGGCAGTTTGCCAGTAAGCGCACCACATAGCTGATGAGCCAGCAAAAGGATCCACAGCCATGGATGAATTGTGCTCTGCAGCAAGACAGAATGTCATTTGAGAGCAATATAAGGAGGTGTCAGGAAACTAGTAAGTGAGGTGACTGTGTGGGTGACATGTTTATTCAGATTTATACTGAGAGCATCACCTCTTACATTGGTGGAAAAAGCCCACATTAAATCAGTTTTTAACTACTTTTAACCTTGCCTACTTTCCCCCACATCCGCCATCCAACTCCCGTACTATGTGGGACCATTATTTAACTTTGGGATTATTCTCACACTACATTTCATTTGTGATGCTGTTACTCTACTGCACCCCCAATCTATCATTGGGGGACAGTTCAAACCACAAACTATTCACCATGTGAATTACTGCAGGATATGTGTTGTATTTTTTTCTCTCCAACTCATTTGGAGGAAAAATGCAGCTACCTAGTCCAGATGAATTGCATTTAGGACAACTTCTGAAGTATAATGCCGATTATTCTAGAACTTTCCATTTACCTCACATACCCATACAAAATGACCTGGGCTTGGAGATCAAGGAGGGGAAACAAGATCCTAGTATTCTAAATAAAGCATCTCGTGCACGTCCATGCAGAGCAGAGGGCCCTCAGAGGGCTAAGATGTTCAGGGGGGCCTGCCAGGGACCGACTGTTTTTTTGTTTGAGCTTATAATTTTATTCTAACAAGACTCCTGCCCTGGGGCTCAGACAAACTCTGCACAAGTCTGATCTCATGACTGTTACAATGAATTTTTGAAAACAAAGATTCAAGGCAGACTGGATTCTTCCAGAAATGAGTTTATTGTGGCATCAGTGTTGCTAATGCACAAGTTTTTTGCCATGTTGACAAAGTGTTGTCATTATCCAAATGCCTAACCGTACTTATTTTACATTTAATCCATATTTCTATTTACGACAGAAAACCCAGTAAGTAAAATGGCCTGTTATTTATTCAGTCAAAACTGGTGTAGAAGCTTGTTGAAACATTTATTTGGTTTGTGGGTGGTTTGCCACGTGTCACTTTGGTGCGTGGTCTCTCACACCCCTTCTATTTTCTCTTCACCTCAGCACAACCTAGTCATTTTGTTTCTGGCAACCTAAACATTACAAGCAAGCCCATTTCCACCAGTTGCCACATGCAATATTATTAATGACCCAGTTAGGAGTTGTTGTTCTCTGAAGATGTCCACAAAATACACGAGGATAATTATCACACAGATTGTAATAACAATACATACAGCAGGGTTTGGATAACAACAGCAACAGCAAAAGGCTTGTTGTGGCTTTGGGGAGGGGATGCATGGCTGATATTGATCTATTCAACCAAGCTCCGCCCACTGGTGTGAATGGCAAAAGGATGAATAATAATGAATATGCACAAATGAAGAAATGGAATGTGTAGAAGCATATTTGTGCACACATCCAAACCAGATATGAATAATCCATATGCAGTATCAAGTCCCCATGTGGAAGCACCCCTAGTACCAAAAAAAGTGTAGGATTATTTGAACTAAGGCAGACACATTATACTTGAATTTAACACGATGCCTAGATAAACCACAAGTTATTGCACCCCCCTCTTCTTCTGACATAGCTGAAAACTTTCACTTGTTTTTGTTTAACTACAGTTTATTGTGTCATCCAAATCAACCGTTAACACCTAGGTATCATTGCGACTGATGTCAACTATGGCTTGTTTGAAACGAGCCAACTCAAAGCCAAGATGGAAATTCCAAAATTCTTAGGCAGTGTGCTTACTGTTGTATGTTTCCTGATGTGAAACCATACATTTTAGGGCACAGGATAAAAAGCAATTGCCTATAAAGCTAGGTGGTAAACTGAAATCCCAATATTATTTATACACCTTTATTATGGGCGGCAGTATAACCTGACATTTTCATTTGATTAAAATACTGGCAATAAAACCTAAATTCAAGGCTGAAAGCTTCATAGGCTACACAAGAGTCTAATCTTCTATAAGTTTCTACAACACATTGCCTGTCTATTTTCCCCTAGATAATGAAATTTAATGGGACTGTTTTATCCATCATATACCCATACATTTTCAAACTGCTGATGATATAACTTCTCAGGGGTTCTTTTTATTTTTCCTCTCCAGCGATGTAGAGACTTACATTCTTATTAAAAGTTGCTATGAAACAGCAATATTGTTCTTCACCACCCAAGCATTGCTTAACACTATACAAGATACAATGAAGGCCAGGAACAATCATCTCTGCCAAATAAACCCTTACAGAATGCCCAATGTTTCGCTAAAACATCAGTTCCTAAGAAAGGCTAGGAACAGAGGCAGCAGCCTGGACAAAGTTAAGCATCAGATTTTACTAAAAGCAATGTATAAAATATAACTGTACATATACACAGCACTTTAAACGGAAACTGTTACCTCTTTTTTGGTAATTCTACAGTTCACAAATTTAATGGAAAGTGTACTATTTGTTAGCAATTCCAGAAAAAAACCTGTCTAAGACAAAAGGAGGTTACTAATGAAAGCTTTCTTGACTTACATTAGTGCTTGACCTAATACTCCTCTGTTTTAGGGGGGAAACATATATATTAGCCATAGGCGCTGGCTCCAGGGGGCAAAGGCCTAGCGCAGAAAAATATAGGGACATTGTGTGCCATCACACAGGACATCGCGTTGGGCCCCCTCAATGGTCTTTGTAGGATGGCGCCTGCAATAGCACTCTTAATCTTCGTCACATTCAGCAGAAGTGAATTATATGTGTTCACCTACCCTCCTGATGTTTTCCTCTGAGTCAGGAATGAGACATAGATATAAGCCAGCACAATTTTCAATATGGCTGCATCAGAGGAAAAGGACACAGTAAATCACACTCCATCAGATCAGCTGGGACTAACTGCCATTTTGCCTCCTCCTGTCTCATAACTGTATCTGCTATGGCCATTCCAGCTAGATAAGATCTAGTATGTAACTTTAAGAATTGGTTTGGTTTTCTCTTCCTTCACCATTCTTTTTCTCCTTTGTATTGTGTCTATTTGACTGCAAGTCTGGACTTGCTTGTTTTTAAATCCATTTACAGCAATCAGATTTTTTAAAAGCTTGTTACAAATTATTATTATTATTATTATTATTATTATTATCCTGTGTTTTTCCTACCCTCTACTGTTAAGTTCACCAATAGCCTCAATAGTATCTGAGATGTATCCTACATCTCAGATACACACGGAACACAATTCGCCAGCCTCACGTGATAGCTCTGTTGCTGGATGACCACTTTATGGGTTTAAATCAGGTATCTCCAAACTCGGCCTTCCAGATGTTTTGGGACTACAACTCCCATCATCCCTAGCTAACAGGACCAGTGGTCAGAGATGTTGGGAATTGTAGTCCCAAACATCTGGAGGGCCAAGTTTGGGGATGCCTGGTTTAAATGTTTGAATGCTCCCCACATCTTAAAAAATAGAAACTAAAACTCTCTTGCATATTCAAACTAGCACACCAGGGTTCTAGCCTATGCTAGCCTTTCCTTGACATGCTGGTTCTGAATGCTCAGAATGTGAGATAATTCAAACCTTTTATCCCATTTGGTCTGAGAAGCTGCTGACCATGTTTAAAGTGCCTCTATTGAAAGAAGTGAGGCAGGTAACAAACCAGGCAGAAAGCCTTTTCAGTAGTAGTACACAACTAGTAATGCAACATTATTCCCAAAAAGGTATGTCTAATGTCATCCTTGGGGTCTTATCAGCTCCAAGTGAAGATTTTTCTGTTCACTCAGGTTGCTATTTTTAGATAACTCATGAAGTCTGGTCTCAGTTTTTATATCTTTATTTAACTTTGGAGCTGTGGAAAGTTTTTATGATTGTTTACTTTGTATCTATATTAGCTTTATTTATATTGCTTATGCTTTATTTTTATTCTTTTATTCTTCTATACTATAAGCTAACAAGAGAATACAGTGGTACCTCGGGTTAAGAACTTAATTCGTTCTGGAGGTCCGTTCTTAACCTGAAACTGTTCTTAACCTGAAGCACCACTTTAGCTAATGGGGCTTCCTCCTGCTGCTGCGCCGCCGCTGCACGATTTCTGTTCTCATCCTGAAGCAAAGTTCTTAACCCGAGGTACTATTTCTGGGTTAGCGGAATCTGTAACCTGAAGCACTTGTAACCTGAAGCGTGTGTAACCCGAGGTACGACTGTACTAAGTTCAAATGTTATAACTAATAATAAAATTAAATTTCAAGCCATTATTTTTTAAGGAAAGTGAGAGTGGTGAAGTTCTTATGCAGTGCAATACTAAACATATTTACTCAGAGGTAAGTCTCACAGAGCTCAACAGGGCTTGCTTCCTAGTAATTACGTATTTCCTTAGGACAGCCATCCCCAAAACTAAAAATGAGTTCGGCGCGTCTTAACAGAAATCAACTAGGTAAGCTATAAATACATAAGCAGCTACAGAACAAAGGAGAGAAAATATCAAATACAAATACAGAACCACCTACTCAGATAACCTATCCAGAGGTACTTAAATGTATTCAGCCTCCTGCACCAAGTTCACTAAAATAAGCTATTTCAGGCTGGTTTACTGACATTAATGATTTAAAGTGTTCTGGAGCCCTAGGGGAAGGGGAAGGACAAGATAGAAAACATACAGGGAGCTATTTTGCGCACTGCAGCTTCTTATGTGTTTTTATGTGTCACCTAATAGTAACAGCAAATCCCATTTGCAATGGTATCTGACCAGAGCAATGCTACTGGGATGAAATGTGAAACCTAGCACGTACACACTAATACACATCAACACACACAGATACACAAACATGCCCACACCCTAGTGATTTTTAGAAGCCTCATAGACAGTATTTTATATCATCAATCAGGAAGAGAGGTATGTGGGTACTGAGTCTCAAAGTTTTGTTATGGCAACAAAAGAGTATGAAAGTGGGTTGATAAACCAAACTAAGAAGCTTACAGAAAGAAGGACTGAGATTTTAAAGTACCAAATTGTTGGTAGAAATGTAAATATATTTATGTTATATATTTAAGAGAATTAACTATTCTATTAGGTAAATATGTAAAGTTTTTTTAAAAAACTATTCTGGTGTTTATGCTGTTAGCAATACACGTGTGCACATACACACATTTTCCTTCAGTTTGAGCGCACACTTCCATTAGAAATAAAATAAGCTGGTATAAGACTGTTATGGTCATAAACAGAGAGAGCCTTTAACACTTCCGATGCCAGTGTGTTTCAGGTGAAATACATTAATTATTGTCTCCATGAAGTACCACAAAGCATGCTTATATATACTGCGTGAGAGAGAGAGAGAGTGCACACATTACATTTTTCTTCCTTGGTGGATTCAAGGCAGCATATCTAAGTTCTCAGCCTTCCATCCAGACACTGATTAGACCAAGACCTGCTTAGTTTCAGAGCAGCTGACTGCAGCTCTATATACAGGGGCAGGCAGAAAGCAGATTGCCATCCACGCGTCGAATAGCAAGTGTGTATTACTCCCAATAATTTAAGAATGGCAATAGCAAAAAGGCTCCTTCCTCCCTCAAACTCGATTTCTGACACGGGGAAGGCTGTCAAGAAACTAGGGTCAGATGTCTGTATGACTGGAATGTGAGTCCAGTTCCAGTACTGAAAACTAATTCCTCAGCTGAGCATAGAATTAATTTCCTGCTCAGAGACAAACTGTTTCTTAATTCTGAGGACATATCCGTCCCCCTGACCCACTACTGTGCAGCTGATTCTGAGTCGTAGACCTCAGGATTCTACTAAAAAACAAAGCAGACTCAACAAGCCTGAAATTTGCAAGCCTTTCACCTAAATGTAGCGTGACTGTACCATCTGTACTGCACTGACACTGGGCTAGTACTGAGGTAGAATTCCTCAAAATAAGGGAACAATTTTCATTTGATATTTGAAAACAGTAAATAAAGTAATCCAGATCAAGAATATTCAGCTCTAATCTGGGACTTGTTTCTGTCCCCACTTACACTAATGAATTGCTGGAACTAGTAATAATTTGCCTCCACACACTGATGAAACATTCACAGAGCATCAAGCATCTCCTTAAAATGCTGAAACCTTAATTTATTTATTTTTAAGCTATTAACATAATAAAACATACAAAGTGCATAAGCACTGAAAGTGCTGACCACTTATAAGCTTTGCTGCAGAGGACAAGAAAACAAGTCATAGCTGGTTTTGCCAATCTTGTTATAAAACTATGTAAATCCAATTTCAACTCAAATTTTATTAGGAGAACATTAGCTGGCATCAAGAATTCCACTGCTTTATATAGCCTAGTGTCTGGACTTGGACAGTGTAAGAATTTTAACCCAGTGATGACTAGTGGATAATGACCCTCTGCAGTTGTAAGGGTGACGACTATAAAGTGCTCCACACATCAAGTACTGTACTATGACCATGTCAAAACCGACACCTTATCTTATTGAAATGCCTTCAAATGAAATATCCAGCTGTCATGAGTCTCGCAGTGTCATAGGGATCAGGTTTGAATGGGTAAACTCTGACACAGGAGGGAGAGAGAGGCAGGAGGAAAGGTTAAATAGTTAAAAATTGGGCTGGAGGAGTGGGGAGACCTCCCCTTTCTGCACCAACTTCAGCTACTTCAGAAGGAGGAGCAGGGATGCCACTTCCCCTTCCTGCAGAATGTAGGACTGGGGGCGGGGGATAGGGAGGCTTTGAGCAGCCAAGGCGAGAGATGAAACACAAGGCAACAGCAACTGAACAGGAGGGTGCAGTCTTGTTGCCTAGAACCAGGTGCCACCTTCACAGACGGGCGCAGAACCACCAACCCTGAAGGAGCACGTGTTTGCAATGCCAACATTCCTGCAGAGTGAATACTGTGGGTGAGTATGCCATGCAGGGTTAGAAACTCAGATATATAAGTTAATCACCAAATGCCACCTTAAACCTAGGTTACGGTCATAGAATCAAAGAACTGTAGAGCTGACAGGTACCCCTAAGGGTCATCTAGTCCAACCCCCTGCAATGCTGGAATCAACGGAACGTCTAGGAACCTTATTGCGGGAGTATATCATCATCTTCTCTATACCACTTCATAAGTAAAAAATCTCAAAGCGGTTTACAACACATTAAAAAAATCAAATAAAAAAAAATCCAGACTAAAACAAATTCAAGCTGCTAAGAAAGTATTTCAGATCCTTCTCTGACATCTTGCTTTCCCCATATTTATTTACCTACTTAATTTATATAGCTGCTCCATAGCAGAAGTACTCTAGGAAGCCAGTGTGGTAGTGTGGTTGGACTAGGACCTGGGAGAACAGGGTTCAAATCCCCAGTCATGAAGCTCACTGGGATGGGAGCCTGGACACTAGCTCTGCATTTAGTTATGCTCATTTCCCCTCCTTCTATTGAGTTGAATGGCTTCCAACGAGGTAACATCATTAGCATTCATCCTTCCAATGGAAGCTTAATTAATTATATACCGTATTTTTTGCACCATAACGCTCACTTTTTTCCTCCTAGAAAGTAAGGGGAAATGTCTGTGCGTGTTATGGAGCGAATGCCTCCGGGTGGTAGGGGGGATCTGCTGCAGTCGTGAGCAGAGGATCCATGGTTCCCCTTCCTTCCCTCCTCCATGGTTACAAAGCATGGATCCACATGGATCCTCAGGATTTTTGCATTGGGCTACTCCAAACTCACTGTCAGATCACATGTGTGTGGCCAAAGCATGAACCACAAAAATCATATATCCACTATTTCGTTTAGAATATTTTTTTTCTTGTTTTCCTCCTCTAAAAACTACGTGCGTGTTATGGTCTGGTGCGTGTTCTAGAGCGAAAAATACGGTACTTAATTAATGGTTCTTCCCACTGCTAAAATTCTGATATAGCACTAGAGGCACATATGCCAAACAACCCAAAGGCCTTGATATGAAACAAAAGCAGCAACATATTTCGTTACTAGATTGCAGTCACTTTTGAATTCCACAGAGTTAAAAACACAATTAAGAGGAAATGATAAAAAAGCATACAGAGCATAAAGTCAGAAGAGGCTGTTAATGAGAAGAGGTGCAGAAAGGAAAGAAGCAATGAATTTCAAGTATTATTTTTTTTAAAAATCTTTTCCTGTAGGTCTCCAATCAAAGGGAGGGTGCTAATAATCACATTGCTGTGTGGTTTTCAGTTCTCTTAACGCAGCTCCTTACATAAAGTACAGTGGTACCTTGGGTTACATACGTTTCAGGATACATATGCTTCAGGTTACAGACTCCGCTAACCCAGAAATATTACCTTGGGTTAAGAAGTTTGCTTCAGGATGAGAACAGAAATCGTGCAGTGGCGGCACGAGGCCCCATTAGCTAAAGTGGTGCTTCAGGTTAAGAACAGTTTCAGGTTAAGAACGGACCTCCGGAACGAATTAAGTTCTTAACCCGAGGTACCACTGTACAGAGAAGAGATAACATGATATCTGCCATATACGTTAAAGTTATCAAGTATTACCCTGAACTATCCACTGGTACACACAACTGTGGATTTAATATCTAGAGGCAACAACAGAATACTGAGAGAAACAAACCTTTATACATTAAAATGGGTTTAACATGCTGCTCTGTATTTCATTCATGAGAGCTTTCCCCCAGTCTGCAGAGTAAATACACCTGCAGACCACACAAAACAGGCAGGCAGCTACCATGCAATAGGTTATACTTTTTTTAAAATTGAGTTATTTCTGTGCTCTTGTAAAACTGTGTTTCTGCTGACCTTCTCTAATCTATGTTCCAAATTGCTTTCAGTGGGATGCTAGTCTTTATTTAATAGCCAGAGCCCAAGGAACATGGAAACCAAAGCAAAAAATTGTTAGTCTCCTGATGAAGAACTTAACCTTTGCTTAGTAAGAAGAGATCAGTTCCCCTTCCCTCATCTGACCCTTGAAATAAAGGCAGTCACTTTAACACTTTGGTTCAATGTATGAAATATTGCAGGAACCACCCTCAAGTACATTTGCTATTATTATGTATAATCAAAATTGCTCAAAATACATAATAAAATTCACATTTGCCAAACACCTGCCCTCTGTTCTGATCTGTCCACAGAAGTTTCCACTTCTTGTAGAAAAATTTAAATAATACAAATCCCTAATATGGTTCTCGTTGACAAGGTGTGATCATGTGTTAAAAGCATTCCTATTTGCTCTGACGTGTGTACTCTAAAAACTGGGCACTGGTTTTAAGACTGGAAATTCTTTCCCCCCCTCCAACGAAACTGTAATGACCCAATATAACCCTGATCTCCTAATGAATTTACTGTCAAGTTAAGATCACAAAAACCGCAAGTTCATTAGCTGTAAGTGCAGAAAGCCAATGGATTACCCTAAGGATTAGAGGCTTTTTCACTTGATGGGTGTTCCAACTTCAGAAAACTGTGAAATTAATCTCGCTGCATTAAGGTGCCTGGAGTTGTTGTAACCGTAAACCTTCAATTACATCAACTACTCTTCCAGTGAGACGCCACCTAACTAGTCTGTTGTAGAGACAACTGTAGTGACAAATAAATATTTAGTCAATACCAGTGACATGGCTTTGTAAACACTAAACAAAGTGTGGGCAGTCCTACATGATCTAGACTTGGGAAACAAAATTAGGACATTTAATAGGACTGCCTGCTTAATATTCTGGTACTATGTGGCAAACCTTGAGTGTAAAGTAAAGTGGAGCTTACCTTATTCTACAGCTTCACATCCAAGCTGCGAACTGGGCATGGGTATTAAATGTTCCTGCTCAACTAGGCTTGCTCAACCATAGCAACTATTTTAGTGGGCCTTCTGAATGAATATATTATCTATTATAACTCTCCCAGACATTGCTGGCTGCAAAATTTATTAATGGAAAACCAAAGGATCATTGACATCACAATTCACATGCACTGAGTATTGGGGGGTGGGCATATACTGACCGTTGAAGAGCCCTGCATGAGACATTAAGCCAAATGAGTGGCCGAGACTTTTGTGCTCACCTACTTCCACTCAAAGAGAGCATTTATCAGAAGGGCAAGTTTGACATGAGAGTTTTTTGGGATGTTTTCAATGACAAAAGCATAAACCCAATTTTCAAGGGGGCCTTAAGCACATGTTAAATATCCTTCACTGAAATTTATTGTGACATAAGGAATTTGTTAGTCTTTAAGGTGTCACAACTCTATTGTTTTTACTTAACTCAGTGGGACTTCAAAGTACTTAACTTCGGCTGAGTCATGCCCCAAATTAGAGGCCCTTTATTGTCCATGCTTCACATCAAGTATATGGAGAAGAACAAATCTATGTATTTCTTTTTATTTCTATTTTACATTTAGACACAGAAAAGGAAGATTTTCCAAGAGGCACAAATGAATGCTGGATGTCCAACCCAACCTGATCAATCTCTATGTTTTCAAAATTTCCCACTAAACTATCAATATTTGATTAGGTTTATAGCAAGTCAAATTATTTTCTATTTCTCTTCTATTCCTTAAAAAAAATGCCTTGGTAGCCTTAAATATGACACACAGACATACATTTGTATAATTCTCTTTAATGCTCCGTTACTTAGCAACACTTAAAAGCAATGCAAGAAATGGGAGGCATCTATAAATTCAATCTAATCCAAAATGAGCAGGTTGGTCTACAAAGACATTTTTGATTTACAGCCAGCTCGTTTTCCAACTAATTGCAGTCTTCTGTTACAGAATCCTAGAGACTTGCGGTCTCCAACCTAAAAATCAATACAATATGCTGCCAGGAGAATCGTCTCCTGAACCAAGTGCATTAGCTGGAAGGAAGAAATCTGGCTACAAGCTTTTTGCTTTTCTCCATGGAATTCCACCCGACATCAGGATACTCTACTTTCCTGCTCTCACATCATTCATCTGCCTTCTTACCATCTTACCTTGCTACTATCATTCAAACTATACAGGCCAATTACAGTTTGAGCACTTTAATGCCACTAGATAACTAACATATTATGTAACCACTAGTAGATAATCAATATACCCTTTGAACAGATCAGAGAAACTTTTATTAGGGAAACTTCCTACCAGCTCCCTCAAATCATCCTCTGAACTCCAAAAACCAGAGCCATCTTGATCAGGGCTGCTTAATCAGCAGTTCTATAATTTTTATCTTTCACGGGGATCCACAGTAATGATCATGTTTAGTCTTGATCAAACTCTTCCAAAAGTAGTTCAATAGTTTACAATATATTTAGTTGTGAAACTGCGACTAAGGGACAGTGACTTGTCCAAAGCTTAGTTCTTGGCTAAAGCAGGCAGGATTTGAAACCAGGATTCCATTCTTCATTCACATGCTTGCTTTTTGAATTGGAGACAGGGTTGCTGGGAGTTAAGATCAGCATAAAGAAAATATTTTTGTTTTGGAGATGCATCTTAAGACATATGTTGCTTCTTTTGCAGGATTCCTCTTCGTTTAGCACCTCAGATTACCACAGGCAACACAACATCCATGCAAAATCTTTGTTGGAAAAATTCTCAACTCAGATAAATGATCTTTTATCATGCTATTTACACCTAATGGCAAAATGTGAGGACCCAATCAGCCAGCAAAGGACATTGCTTGTATTTTAAGAGTATCCGTACCATTATATAAAAATAAAGGTTTCTTGTAATTTTTAAGCACTTGAAATACTGACAAGATACTTGACAGAAACAAACTTTTTTCCATTAGCAGAGTAACTGTTGGCACGCCTCTCTGTAACTTTTGCTTTCACAAGGGAAGGGAGCGACTTAAGCTTCACTTCCTCTCCTGGCAGTTTAAACACTGCTTACATTGTTTTATGGTTTCCATGGGAAAACAGATCTCAAGCAAGACCCAATTCATGGTCTGGGAGTACTTGCGGCTGAAGTACACTGTTGAACCTAAGCAGGTGTGGATTTGATCAGAACTTTGGATGGGGGGGACCAGACTACTGGATGCCCCATGTAAGAGCAGGAATTAGTACATTAAAAAAAGCAAGTAAGAAAACAAATCTCAAGCAACAAATTTAAGTGAAACCTTTCCCACATCTGGCCATCAACTGCAGATCATATAGTGTACACTGGCATTTTTTTAAAAATATAAGCAAGAACAACTGGGCAAACTGTAGTATTCACGAGAACAGAACTACTAGATCTCCAAACCCTTGCTATGCAAGCACAGTGAGGAAACACAAAACACATCGCATAAGCATGCTTCCCTTACATACTGTGCCAAGTTAGGAGCAGTAGTCTTTAAGTTGCACCCATGCACTCATCACCAAGGGCTGCCTTCTGAGCTGTGCAAACATCAAAACTGAATATCAGAGGTTGTTAGACAAGAGGTATAGGGAAGGAAGAAGGGAAAAAAGCACTGCACTCTGCCCACTGTCTCCTGAAAGGCATTATTGCAATGGCACAAGGGCCGGGAGGCAACAGCAATAGCTCCCATACAATAGTGACTCATTTCTCAACTTGGGCTGCCACAGAACCTGTGAGGAGACAGAGGATTCAGCTGAAAGCTTACCGTCTTTTATTCAATGGGTTCTGTCTCCTCACAGGCTCTATGCTAGTTCAAAGAGATGTAAGCATACAAGAAATATCAAGGCTGTGAACACTGGTGTTTAATCCTTGAGACTGCAGCAGCAAATGGGCTTATCAATCATTTATAAACAGCTCTAATGCAGAACGTTTTATAGCCTTGCCTTTTCATTCATGAATATTTAATAAATCATGCCCCACAGAGAAAGGGGTCATGTTAGGTATACAGAGAGGTTTGAGGTCATTGCGTAGAAAGGGCTCATGGACTAAACTCAAGCCAACATGGCCCAGTAATCATAATGTGGTAATCTGTGAACTGCCATGAGACCTCTGGGTATAGGGAGGTAAATAAATTCAATTAATAATAATCCTCATGATCCTCTCCATTCAATTCTTGTGAGGGTCAGGTAGATTGCACATTTGCACATTAAAGATACTACATACACTGTCAAGAGCAACCAAGCATTTGTGAATGAGTGTAGGTTGGACAGAAACAACTCTCCCTTGTCTCCAGCTCATGATTTCCAGATTCTACTTCCACATTTTGACACTGTCCTCTGTGCAAGGCCATATGGGTACATATAAACACAGGTAAAATGTTCCTTATGCCACTAAATACAGGAATGCTTACAAAGGAATTGTGGAACATTAAAAGTCCAGGGGCACCAGTATCATAATGAACTGGCAGTAACTATAATGATACAGCAAACATCATAAATAAAGACTCATAATTTATGACTGATTCCAGTTTCACTGATTTCTTCCTTTCAGAACTGTTTGCCCTATTAGAAAGTATCATTTCATAGCATTCTTCTTGCATAAATGAAAGAAAACACAATAGACACTGGAACTGGTGGCATCCTGGGACAAGTCTGCTTTTATGAAAGGAGCTACTTCATTCCTTCCTGGCATATTCTGAAACTGCCAAGCAAGAGGAAGAACAGGATGGTGCGGGGGGGGGCGGGGTGAGAAGGGCAGCAGTGAAGAGGAAGAATTCTCCTCTCACTTAGCTGCTCTTCACACTTGAGCCAATCTTGGTAGATGTGGCAATATACCCCCATGCTGCCTGAACTGTCCTGTGGGAGTGGAAAGGAAAGAGTCACAGGGGTGTGTGAGCAAGACAGCTCATTCCTTTTGCTCTCTTCCTCCTGAATATTGTCAATGCATTTCAGAAACACGGGGGGGGGGTTGCTTGATTTCCTGGGTGAAGGAAACACAGAACCACACCTGACAACATATTGGTCCACCAACAACACTAACGGTATTACTAACAGGAGCCCATTTCATGACTTAAAATAAATGGCAATGTCCTTCTGCTTCTTCCTAAGATATCTCACCCAAAGATACATTTCTAGTTGCAGACAGATTTCTCTCAGGTGTTTGGAAAGAGACAAATTAGTACATGAGTTAAAAATTAATACAATTTTTTTCATTAAAAGAGAATAGTTATTTCCTCTGAAATCAGACATGGACGAAAGCAAGAGACAGCTCTTCAACATCCATTGCTTTATTGCAGTTTTCATTGGTTGCAATGACCATTCACTTATTTAAAAGCAGTTTACTGTGACAGACTATTTTATTCCTTTCATGTTGGCAAAGTAAATCTGTGTCTGTCTGGCTGACTGCAGAGCACATATTTATGCAACTGACATGCATGAAAAAAGCACAGTAGCAACATTTTCCCAGTCTGCTCTGTAAATCACAGCATTATTTTTATTCTGTTTGTTGCAAATATAGTTTATCATTTGACTCAGTAAAACACCATTCAGAAGGGGATAATACATTTCCTACCACGTACAAGTGAACTGCAGCACTCACATTAAAATTCCTATCTTCTGTTAGGTCCCATAAAACAGTTATATTTATTGGTAGCTGTTATTTGAGAGTGATTCACATGAAGACACAATTCTGAGTGTCGCTTCCTGGCTTAATATTAACAGAGAACCTTCTAGATCACTCACAATTAGGGCTGCTTCACACATTAATTTGTACATGTAAAGCATTTTATCTGAAACTTTAAAAAAAAAACCCAACACAAACATGTTCACACAGCAGAACCCTATTTCCACAGCTTATCTGCTGCTGACCTTTAAATATGAGTTACAAGTAAGCTTTGAGATGGAAGCAGGAAGGGACGGCGACTACATGTGAACCACTTGCACAGGCAAACAACAGTTTCCTCCTTCAATGGCCATCTCTCAGTTTTGAGTGACTAGCAAGCTTCCTCATAGGTGAGTAGGACTATAATAGCATTCCCCAACCTGAGGCCATCCAGACACTTCGGACTACAACTCCCAACAGCCTGAGCCAGCATGGCCAATGATCAGGGATAATGGGAGTTGTAGTCCAAAACATCTCAAGTTAGGAAAGGCAAGTGTATTGTGCTCCTTTTACAGCAGCAGTGGGGTGTGGGATGGGGTGTAGCCACTGTCCCAAGACTGGTGTTTCTGCTGTTGAACCAAGGCAAAGTTGGAGCTGCATGGTCACCCTGCCCCAGCCTGGGTAAGCAGCAGCAACAGGAGGACAGCTCTGCCCCACCATATGTGCCACTATTGTTTTATTGATAACACGAAGTGCTAGAATCTCATTTAGGAAGAGCAACACTTCTGTTAAGTATCAACGGAGCAAGCTCAAGTGAAACAAACTTAGACATACCTCATCTAAACTGAACTTGGAATCAGCCCACCTGGCCAATAATTTTCCTTTTGGATATGAGGGAACAAGATACCTTTTCTATGGTTGCCTAGGGAGTATTTATTTATATTATCGATCTACTTGCATTCATTATTTACCAGAAGACATTCAAAGATGCTTGAAACAAGAACAGTTTATTTCTGCAGACTGGAAACCAAACTAAAAACAGAAAAGTCACTAAGTGCACATATGAGTCCAATTGTGGTGAAGATGCTGTAGTTCCTGTATTGGGAGACTGCCAATTTGGGGGGGGGGGAGAGAGAAATTTTTTTTTTTTATGACTACAATGTTGAACAATTGCAATTTTATAGTATATGCTTTCAGGCTAAACATTTAGTTGTATTCCTGGCCAGAGATATGGGGAAAGAGTCTCTCTCAGCTGTTATAATTGTTACTTGTTTTTGTTTCATCTATCCTCTCCCACCCTAGTGAGTTGGATTTTTCAGTTGTAATAAATTATTTCGAATTGACAAGGCAGCGAACACTCCCATAAGCATTCGTGGAATTTTGAATAGGCAAAAACTTTTTGGATACTTACTACGCAACAAGAGGCAATGCTCTTAGTTACTGCACATGTAACTTCACTTAAAGCAAAATCTGTACTTTCATCTTAATGAGAAAGGAGAGGAAATTCACTCCAACAATGTTGGTAAATATTAAGAAATGTAGGAAAGGCATCAAACTACAAAGAGCTTTATAGATCAAGTAAGAAGAGTATCAGAGTCAGATTGCAATCCTCTGCACACTTACATGGAAATAACTCTGAAGAAAAATAGTGGTACTTGATTTCAAATAATGATGCACTGGACTGTGGAGTCAGATAGATAACTATGTGATTATACAATATCTCAAATTCTACAGTAATTGGCAACAGTCTTTGGACTAGTCATAAAAAGACGACGTAAAGAAAAGCATTTTTCTGTAGCACAGACACCTTGATGGTTTAGAACAGTTCACAACCCTGATTTTGCTGGTTTCTGCCAATCTATTCAAATAATCTGGGCATGTACCCTGTATGTAAACATTTATCAAATCTACATACCCATTTGTAGAGGGAAGAACATTAAAGCAATTCTATGTGAAGATATATTACAAAGCAAAGGCTTAGTTTTAAACATTGATAATTAAGAATGGGAAAGTACAATAAAAATCAGACTAGTTCAGTAATGAAGCTGACAGGAACTTCATTATATTTATTAAGCTTGAAAAATGCAATTTCCTTTCCCTGAATCTTTGCAATGGTCAAAGTTGCCAGGTTGTTCAACAGCATTTTATACCATCAGTTATGTAAGACCTGCCTTCTCAGCATTGCAACTGAGAACAGGCTAAGGACCAGCTTGAAAATAAAGTTCTTATTGGCAGCCTATCTAGATTTCGTCATGAATTATACTGCATTCCACTATTTTTTTTTTTTAAAGTCTTGCCTAAAGTCTAGCCAGTACTGACAAAAATGCAATCCAATGAGTTCAGAGTGAGGTTCCTGTTTTGCTTTGTAAAAATTTTCCTCTTCCCTTGAAAAACAGCCTCGTGCATGAATTTCAGACAGGAAAACAGCAAGATGATTTAGAACAGCAGTGTGAAAACAATGTAGATAAGTGACATCAGCAGATCCAATAACATGTCTTTTATTTCCAATAAACACAGGGCAAGTAAAAACAGAACAAAGGGAGTGCTAACAAATAAAAGTAGGTACAACAATGTTATCAGCTAGAGCTATGTAGCCCAGCCTTGTTTTTAGCAACCCGCCTGATGGCCAAGGCAAGGGCAACCAAGAATTTGATGTAGGCACATGAGCAGGCTGGCAAAGGAGGGATTGTTCAACCACCAGTTCATGGAATAAGTAAACAAATTGCAGGCCAAATCTAGGAAGAGCCATAACTGGGGAACCAGGCAGAGCTGGACACAGGCACTACTCCCCTATGCAAATGTAAGTATTTCTGTTGCTATAAGTGTTCTTCCAAATTAAATTTTTTATTGATTTTTACTTGTTTAGGTATGGTGGAAGAGGAAAACAAAGCAACACTCTTGATCATCAGCATCTCATGAAGGGTATACTCAGGAGGTCTTACATATTTAACATAATAAAAAAAATTCCTTCCAGTTGCACCTTAGAGGCCAACTAAGTTTGTTATTGGTATGAGCTTTCGTATGCATGCACACTTCTTCAGATACACACGAAAGCTCATACCAATAACAAACTTAGTTGGTCTCTAAGGTGCTACTGGAAGGAAATTTTTTATTTCGTTTCGACTACAGCAGACCAACATGCCTACCTACCTGTAACTATATTTAACATAAGTTACCTTTGACCAAATAAAAAATAAGGTGCAATTTTATGAGCACTTATTTGTGAATAAGCCCCACTGAATATGGTGGGAATTACTTCTGAAAAAACATAAATCTCTCACGTCAACGGGGGGGGGGGGGAGTTAACTTGTTCTCTGAACAAGTTACATGCTTCTCTGTATTTTATATAAACTCCGTCTCAGTGTTTCAAGACCATCTCTTGCCTCTGCATTCCATGAAAGCACCAATGCCTTATATTAAGCATCTCTACTCACCTTCCACACTATCAGAACAGGAGGTTCCGATGCCAGTGTCCCCACTGTCAGAAGCTATGCTGTGTCTTCTCAGGTGGGTACTCCGACCACTTGATGAACCAGTTGTGGCTTGCCACAGTGGATCAGTACCAGGTAACCATCCCGACGAAGAATATTCTGTGCCTGCCAAAAAAAAAGTATATTTATTCAAAGTCATTACGACAGAGTTCAACAACAAACTGTATTTTAAAGATAATATCCACAGATGTAAAATTAGGAAACATCAAAACCTGTAGCAATTTGTTCTACAGTAATCTAATGATGTAATTTATCACTGAAGTTGCACATGAATGCATTCAAACAAATGACAGTCTCTTGTTCAGATCTGGTATCATTCAGTTACTACATTGTATATTTGTTGTGTTTATTCTCAGGCTAGCTTTGCTCAAGGCTCAGAAGATATTGCAAAATACAGTTTCTTTGCAAGTAAGGTTTTGAGAGGCAAGCTGGAAGTCATACGTTCTGACACACAGAAAATGTTGCTCAGGATTCTAAAAGGCTACTTTTCTCTAGTTTTAATTTAATTAAAATGACCCTTAAGAGAAGTGTAATTAATATTATGAGAGCTCGACACCAAACCACAATCTCCTCAAAAGGGTTTTCAACAGCTTCCTTCCAGCAGACAGTTTCATTTGTCTGACACAAAAGACTCTTGGCTAGAGGGCAACTTTTAGCAATCACTTCAACCGAAGACACTAAACAACTGCATGCTATCTGATATAACAGAACAGAAATACAGTAAATATAGTTCAGCTCATCATCTATGGATTTCATGACCTTACAGCATGTCACAAGCCATCTATTCAGGTCAGATCCTGAATGAAAAGACTTAAAAGCCATGAAGAAATACAGATTTTATGAGTTGTGACACAATGTAGTAGAGGCCAACCTTCGGTAAGTGCAAGATGCACCCTATTCCAAAAAGTCAATTAATTAAATAAAATCACAATTTAACAATCAGCTAAAGGGGAACCTTGAATAATGCCAGATGCACACGTGCATGCACACTCACATCGACAGACACTCGTTGTGATTTACTACATCATAACTAAACAGAGCAAAGCAGCAGAAAACACATTTTAAATTCAACTAATAAGGCACTTGGACTTCGTGCCAACCACATCTATTCAGGTTCCTTGATTCCTATCCTCTATACTGCTGTCGCTACTTATTACATCTTTACACTTTCAATTCAGTTTGTGGATCCCAGTCTATGGAAGGATAGACATTTCCACTCAAGCTGCCCCCTCTTCTATGTCTGCACACAGCCAATCAGCTATGCTGGTACTACTGGCTAACACACACTTCAGATACAGTAGTAAGCTCTTTTAGTAAATTACAAATGACATGCAGTGTGGCAGGACAAACCTGACCTACTTGCATTGCAGAGGAAGCTCATACCTTGCTCGAAGTATTCATGTGTGCATGTCTGTAGTGCTCAAATTTTAAAAAGAACTGCAGAACGTAATTTCACCAATTGGTATGCGCCAATCCCGTCTGCGCTTTGCTAATTCCCATCCCACTTCAAAGCGCTTGCCTTTACAATGCAAATATCAAATGTATGTAAAAGTCAGGGGACTGAGCCAAGTATAACATGGGCAGATGATGCACAAGCATGTCCATTATGTCCTGCCAGGTTGCCCTCGTTATCCTGCTGTTCCGTCTTCATTTTTGCCAATCAGAACAGACTGCCAGGCCTACCCAGTTTGTGAGGAGCGGGGGAATAGTAGAGCAATACATATGGATGACAGGAGACATTGGAGCAAATCATGCAACCTGTGCCAAGGCTTGAAATGGGCAGGTTCCCATTTTTCTTAAAGGATCAGGAAATTACAACTACAATTTTAGTTGCATGTAAAATGGACTCTGTGATCACCAAGGAATTGTATTATTTCCTTAAGTTTTATTAAATCAAAATATGGAAGCAATACTTTTTTACCAGCAAGTGTAGTAAAATGATGGCACGGAGACTGCTTTAAGGCAGCAGCTACACTTAATTATAGCAGAATCTATGGATTTTATGCAACTAAACATAAAGCTGGTAAATCTGGTAAAATTTTAGACACACAGCAGCAGAGAAGAGAGTCACGCAGAAGATTGCCTCTTTAAATTTTCTTGATGCCTTGAATACTGCAGACTTACAAAATGTATTATTAATTATTATTCATCATCATCAGCCCTTTGCCATGAAGTCTCAAGATGGGTAACAACAATTTAAAAATAAAATATTGAAATAATTTAAAACAAATGTTAAACTAATAGGTCGGGTCTTGAAATACAGACCTCGGGTGTCAAAGACCAGGGTAATTTCAACATAGGACAAAAACTACTTATTAAAGGTAACAGACACACCTCAGTGGGAAGGAGATTCCATAGCTTAAGGGCTGACAAAGAGAATGCTCTCTCCTGGAACAGCACCACCCAGAACTTGAGGGCAGTGGAACTACCAAGAGTGCATAATGTATGTATACTCCACTGTCACAGTTCAGCAGCATAAAATCCTTCAGTGTCCTGCCTGTAGAAGATTGAAATGATGTAAGGGGAGGAAATCAGAATATACAGATCGCAGACAAGATGTAAGAATATAAACCTTGGATTTCCATCTTCCAGATTTGAGGACTGGCATAACAACTCCATTAGGGTAGTATTTATAGTATGAGAACTATAAAAAAAAGGTAAAGGACCCCTGACACTTAAGTCCAGTCGCAGACAACTCTGGGGTTGTGGCACTCATTTCGCTTTACAGGCCAAGGGAGTCGGCGTTTGTCCGCAGACAGTTTTTCTGGGTCATGTGGCCAGCATGACTAAGCTGCTTCTGGCACAACCGAACGCCGAAACCAGAGCAGCGCACGGAAACGCCGTTTACCTTCCCGTCGGAGCAGTACCTATTTATCTACTTGTACCTTTTGGGGGGCATGCTTTCGAACTGCTAGGTTGGCAGGAGTATATACTATATTATATTCTATATAGTATATACTATAGGTAGTATTAATTTACTGTCCTACTTGTAAATAACTTCTGCACTGACTGCATCTTATACTGTAATTCTAAATTCATAGCTGTAGTTGTCTCTAACAGCTGGTGAAATAGCTGACTTATACTTTTTTACGAGACAATTACTTATCTTCAATGGATCAGCAGTAGGCCACAACAATTTCCAAAACATAAAAATACATAAAATGGGACTTCACTAAATTAATAATATTCAATGTAAGCAAGAGAGAGCATTGCTCAAAGAGCACAGGGGTATTCTGAGAACCAGACAGAGCTGTGTAGGTATATACACATAGACACATGCAAGAATGGAAGGAAGAGGAAGGTAAGCAAAAGTTTCTCTTTGAACTTTCTACTCAGCACTTGCAACAAGCAGTCGTCATATTTCCGTAGTGGCACATGGCTGCTGCATAGTAAGTTACAGCCCTAGAGGGCTTCAACTGTAATTAGAGTGACACAAGTGAGACAAAGACAGCCTATAAACAATCTACTTTAGCACAATGATAAGCTCTTAAAGCTCATGTTTTCATTCAAGTGCATTTGTGTAACACATAAAACCAGCATAGATATCAACTAACGAACTTTCAGGGCCTTTGTAGATTTCATTTTAATCCGGGACTTTAGAAACCTGCATGACTCAAATTGCACGGAATATGGCAACTAAATTTTATTCCTTTGCACACAATCCTAAGAATCTGTTTTCATTTTCATGTTGCAAGTCTTTAGCCTACATATTACCTGAGCAGGCAGGGAATATAAAAAAGGGAGTGACCATTTTTCCTTTAATAGGAATTCTAGTAATCAGAGAAAGGTCCATTTGCTAAGTGCAACCAGCGGCCATTTCTCATGGCAAAATCACATTTTCTTGGCCTTAAAATCCATGTTCTTCCTTTACACACAGACAAACTGAATGAAACATTCCAAATTCTGGAAGACAAAAATTCCTCACAGAACCACATGTGACATTGTACAAATTGTATGAACTGTGCAAAGCTCATTTATTCTACCTATTCCACTTGCAGAACCAAATCCTAGTATTAAAAAATTGGACAAGAAGAGTTTAGAGCTGAGTTGTACAGCCCTGCCGATTAGCTATTTTGCTCCTATAAAGTCTGTTAATACACAGCAGAAACAGAAAACTGAGCTACAGATGTTTCTTATTTCTACTTTGGCACGCAAATGCAATGCATTAGCTCATGCCTTCTACTGCTGGCTCACCTCCCCATCCTCCTAACCAATGCACTCTTCACCTATAGTAACTATTCCTCTTTTACACTCTGTTCCAACCAAATTATTCCATCTGGGGAGATTTCGTTTTTAAAAAAACAGCCAGAGAATAGTAGATTTACACTGCTTTATTCTAAGCTGTTTTCAGATCAGAGTTTTACATTGGTTTGCAAACAATTTTACTGCTTATAATCAAAATACAGTCCTCTTATGAGTTATGCAGCAACCACCAAAAAAAAGTTTTTTAAAAAAGAGAAGTGTAACTAACAACAGTCGAGCCTGCTCTGCATAACGAAAGGACTGCAGAACGTAAGGCAGGGCTTGGCCACACAGTAAAGCAGAGGTGCAGGTCTGTAACAGCCAGGCCTTAGGGTGGAATGACAGGGATATGTGTTGACATATTCCTGCAACCACTTGGAAACTAAACGTCGTTTGTTGTACATTGTACATTGTCATTAAAAATAGCATTTCATGCTGCCCAATTTCCAATGAAATTTTTTTTAAAATTTTTGCTATACAGTCGTACCTTGGATCCCGAACACCTTGCGACTTGAACATTTTGGCTCTCGGACGCTGCAAACCTAGAAGTGAGTGTTCCAGGTTACAAACATGCTTTGGAACCCGAACATCTGACACAACTTCTGATTGAGTGCAGGAAGCTCCTGCAGCCAATCGGAAGCCACACCTTGGTTGTCAAACCTTTTCGGAAGTCGAACGGACTTCCAGAATGGATTCCGTTCAACAACCAAGGTACGACTGTACCATGAACTTGAAGTAAGAAAACTGATCTAATAGGAAGATGTACAGTAGCTAGCAAGGTATCCATACAATTAGAGCTCGGTAGGGTCAATACTGCTTCATTAAGTAAGGGAAGGCAGTATCACCAAAGTCACATTGTCATTTCCCTCTCCAACACTGCACCCACCCACTGCCAAGGTAATGTGACAAAAACAAGTACACGTGATCCAACCTTCTATGCATTATGAATAGTTTTTTCAGCAGCTACACTGTGCAATAATATACGAATTGGACAAGAGGGAGTTAAACCGTTATCTGTGTAATATCGTGTAATATTTAAGTAGCTCTTTAAATTAACAGTTAAAGAAAACTTAAAGCAAGAGGGAGCAGATTTATGTACAAGGTAATTATGGGGAAATTCAGCAAAGGACTCTTGAGATAGCCCTTCGTGACTTCACTTGACAAGGTCCTCTAGCCAGTGACAAAAATGGGAAATGTTTGCACCTTTGTTCATGGGGATGCAGCTGAAGTTTAGACAACCAGTATATGTAAGACACATCAGTTTCCAACAGAAGCAAACACAGAAGTAGTACAATGGGTCAATCAGTGGCCAAGAGAAAGGAAGCTCCATGCTACTAACTGGTGGAGCGACTGCTCCTTCCAGTCATTGCTCAGCATCAGTCTCTTCCTATACATCACACTGCCTAGCCACCGCTGTCAGTTTCCATGGCCTACAGAGGCACACAAAGCTTCCTTTTGGTAAGGAAGAAAGACATGCACAACAACCCCCGTCTTTCAGTATAACACTAAGCAACTTGCAGAAATGTGGTGTAGAAGGCAAGGTAAGATTGACAAAGACGCACTCCTGATTCCTGCCAGACAAACCCAAAGCTTGAGCACCATGGCCTACTGTGGAGCAGACGGTAATAAATAAAAATACTGTATGATGTGTACAACTCCAGTTTCATTTTTATTTCAAACCCTTTATTATAGAGCCACATCCCTGCTATTCCAGGCCATATTTCTGATACGATGAAATTGTTTTTATAAAACTATTTTATTGAATCTTCATGTGTTAAGGACAAGTCCCAAAGTACCAACATTAGTACTGCAGCCTTCTTTAATTTTATTTTTACTGTCAATTTCAAACATAGGTTTTCCACAGGTAATATATGAGAACAAGAAGGGTTTTTTCTGCAGGCTGCAATGCTATTTCTGAAACTACATTAATTTCTCTAGAGACTGGTCTCCCTAGTCCACTCATGCTCCCCTATGGGAGAAGCAAAGAAGTTTGATCCCCCCCTTTATATGTTTATAGGTATTTTATTTATTAAATCTCTTTTCCACACTTCCTCCCAAAGGATCCCAGCTTATATATATAAGCTTAGAAGAGGAAACAAATTGAACTACCTTCATCACTATATTCTTCTGACATCTTTTGCAGAATGGTCACTATTACTCCCATTTTACAAGTAGGAACCTGAAGCTGCAAGACAGTGATTCTCTCAGGGCCACCCTGCTCAGCCATGTACTTAACAGGGAGCTGAACCCTGAAACAAAAATAAAATTTAAAATGTAGTAATCTTGCATGTTCAACAAATGTAAGTATCATTCTCTATTTAGCCCAAGCTTACTTTAAAAAAAACAAAACCCAAGTGTTTGCAACTTCTAGCTACAGTAAAAACTACAAGTGTCAAAAAATTCTGTTTAAAATGTCTTCTGTTGTCATTCTCAGCTCATGTAACAGAAATTTCCGAGTGCATATGTCACTACATAGCAGCCATTCATTTCTCCTCAAACAAATAGATCGAAGCAGAAGAGCTGACCCAGTGCAGTACCACAAATTAAAAAGCACAGCCTTCCACATCATGCAGGAGAATCATAGTGTGAAGTTAGGTATACAATACTGTAAACAAAATGATTCCCCCGCCCCCAACTCTGTAACAATGTTCTTCTGAAGCCTAAGAATGCTTGCTGCTTGGCAACTGGAAGCTTGGAAATAATCAAAGAGCAAATTTCTGTTAAATGTTTCTCACATTCATGGAACAATCCTTTCACCTAAATCACAACAAAGAAACTATATGCAAGCAGTCCTTGGCCTATTCACATTCATACAAAGATTGCCTAAAGAGAGATAAAGACACGTTGCATGAACAGACACAACACTACCTGTAGGCAATTAAAAGTTTCAGAAAACTCAACTTATGAAAATCCTAGTCATAAATTACCAATCCCTTTGACTCACTGAAATTCTCATACTTGGACTGCAACCAAGAGATCAGAAACATTTACAGTGACCTAGACACTGTTCAACATCTACTTCTGCATTTCTTCTAGTCCTAATTACAAATATAAGCAGATGCTTATGTGGCCATAATGAATCCAATGTGACTATCCTGTGGCTAGCCAGAAGTTCCTAATCATGGATGCATAAGGACTATTCCTGTAATTGTGCACTAGTTAAGATAAAGGAAAACATACTGAATTGGGCTTAAGTACAATTTAAAGTTTGTTCTTCAATAGTACCGTATTTTTCGCCCTACAGGATGCACTTTTCCCCCTCCAAAACTGAAGGGGAAATCTGTGTGCATCCTATGGGGTGAATGCAGGCTTTCGCTGCAGCTTGGAGAGCGAGAGGGGTCGGTGCGCACCGACCCCTCTCGGCTCTCCAGGCTTCAGGAAGCTATCAGCAAACCTGGGGAGCCCGCTGCCTATAGCAGCCTGCTGCCCGGGACGTGCTGAAGCCGCGGCTGGGGTGGGAATAAATTTTTTTTTTCTTTATTTCCCCCCCAAAAAACTAGGTGCGTCCTATGGGCCGGTGCGTCCTATAGGGCGAAAAATACGGTATGTTTTTATTTTTGTTTCTGAGCAATGAAGCTTCACTTGTTCAAAAACTAAGCAACAACAAGACAGTACACATTTTGCAAAGTACACACAGCAGCACCCCAATCCTAGTCACAATTATATGGGAAAAGTTCACATTGCCTACAACTGAGCTTAAACAAAATGTGCAAAAGAGGAGCAGAAGCTTTCAGAGGGGAACTTAGTTGCTCACATAAGTTTTCAGAACACGGAATATAGACCTTTTATAAGAATGAAAATGTTTTCATTTGTAAAGTTGTACAGTAAAGGATACCACTGGAATTAACAAATAGCTTGTAAGCTCCTGAAACTCAGGTTACAAACCAAAGATAGGATTCTAAAGTTATGTGGAAGAGGCAGAACAGTTGATACTGGAGACAAGTGTAGAAGCAGCCTTCCTCCTATTATAGCTTATCAGCAACAAATGGATTTTTCTTCAACAATAGCTGTTAAGACATCTGCCACACGCATTAAACCATTTCAGGATCTTCAAGACTCCCAAGCAATTGCAGAGATTTCTCATCTGCTCAATTGGTTTGCTACTGTGCACAGAATATGAAAAATGTGTATATTAAACTTAATATTATCAATGAGTATGCATAAATAAATGCTTACTCTGATAGACTCTTAAGAGTAACTTCCATTGCCAAATAAGTGGCATGCAAATGGGAAGAGCATAGTCTTTGTTGGTTCAGATTGCATAATGAATGTCCTCTTCATTCATTACTATTTCATAACAATCCTGATTTTAATTTGCAATAAACATTTTGAGAATGCTTGTTCACCTTTTTAATAGTTTTATGGATTATGAAATCTCTTCATCCCCTCCTTACTGTAACATAACCAACTGAGTGAAGATTGCAATTTCACATAAACTTCAGAAACCACCCATTAATTATAACAGTTAGGTGAGAATAGAGCCAGCTGTATTCTTGTTCCCTCCCTTTATGCTATTCCTTGGTACAAAAGGTGGTGCTTCATGTGAGCCTCCATCTGTTGTGAGATTTATTTTCTCCCTTGCTTGTTCATTATCCAATTGCGCACCCATGCATATTTGTTACAGCATGCCCGAGAGCACAATCCCCAAAAGAAATTAAAAAGGTCAAATGTAAAGTCAGAAAAGCCATCTCACAAAGGGACATTACAGTAACCCCATATTACAATGGAAGTGAAACAAATAGGAAGGTAAGATATAGGAAGAACAAGAAGGGAGCTGCTAACAAAAGGCAGCGGTGCTATATAAGCCTTGAAAATCAAGGTCACACAAACCAAAAAGAGAGAAAAGGCAGTACAGCCTACTGAGTTCATCCCTGAAGGCTCTAGGCATGCCAGTGACACTACACAGACAATTCAGAAACTCACCATTACTTCCCCTTTCAAGGACACACTCGCATTCGTGGAGGCAAGTACCACCATTGCGTTCTCATCTTCGGGGCTCCAATTACTGCTTATATCCAAACAGATATAAAACTACTTGATCTTTCTCCCCTCCCCACCCCAACCCATCCCACACCTAAAAGGCAAAGAGAGCTTAGGTTATCCTAGCCGGTTCTTCACCTATAGTATGAATTCAGCATTTGTTTCATGTTTTAACATAACCAACCAATTCAGGAGACCCCCCTCAAAGCTCATAGTAAGATTGTGATCTCACACTGGTTTAAAATTCAATTGTGACATTGCCTATGAGGCTGATCACTCTCATATCACCTGAGGCTAACATTTAGCAAGAAAACCTACCTTGCTCGGGGAAAGACAGATGTTGTCAACAGATCAGATTTGTCCTATATTAACAAGACCATGTCTCAGGAAATTATTATTAGACAAGAAATAACTATAACAGCCTAAAGCTTGCCTTCAAGTAAGTTAGTGGATCAAGGAACAAAATATCACTCTACTATTAATTATCCAGCTTGGAATCATAGTAAGATGCCTTATACTGAGTCAGATGAATTGTCAATATAGCTCAATGTGGTCTATATTAACTAATAGCAGCTCTCTGTAGTTTCAGACTGGGGACATTCACAGGAATACCTGAAGAGGCCAGGGACTGAATATGTGCAAAACAAATGCTCCACTACTAAAGTATGGTCCTTCTTCAAGATTCCCCGCTAAAGTTTTGAAAGCCAAAAAGCACAAAAAATGTTTAGTACTTGACTGCATTTTCTAAATTATCAAACATGCTACAATTGTTGCACTGTGCATATTCAGGTATTAATGGCTTTGCAGTAGCTTTCCCTGACGTTGCCCTCCCAATATTTTGGAATAAAAATCCCAATAACTGCACCAGCATGGCCAATGGTCAGGGATGATGAGAGTTGCAGCCCAGCAATATCTAGGGCAGGCATAGGCAAACTCCGGCCTTCCGGACTACAATGGGACTATAATTCCCATCATCCCTAGCTAACAGGACCAGTGGTCAGGGATGATGGGAATTATAGTCCCATTGTAGTCCGGAGGGCCGGAGTTTGCCTATGCCTGATCGGGGGGGTTCCATTCTGGGGAATGCTACTTTGTGGGGTATTTTTATTCGAGGCCTCCTTGCTATGCACATCAAAGCTTTACTTTATGGTCTCCTGACACTCAGACATTGGACTCTATTCATACACCCATGGGGCTGCACACCAATTTACATGCCACAGATATGTGGCACTTTCTCTAATGCCATTGTGAAGAACAGCTCTTATTTCACACATCACATGACTTGCATGGTAGAGGGGAACTCACTGAGCGCCTGGAGAAAATGTAGGATATAAATGTAAAAGTAAAAACAAAACACTAATCAGCAGTCCAGCCTTGTTGTGAGGAGACTGCCTGGACATCAGGATTTTTGGTTTGTCTTCACAAAACCAAATGCCGTTGGGAATTTGTGTTGGAGTGAGAAAGAGACCATGGAGTATTCTATTATTATTAATAATAATAATAATAATAATAATACATCCATTACAAGGATCACAAAAAGAAAAAGAAGAGTTTGGATTTGATATCCTGCCTTTCACTTTTAAGGAGTCTCAAAGTGGCTAACAATCTCCTTTCCCTTCCTCCCCCACAACACTCTGTGAGGTGAGTGAGGCTGAAAGACTTCAGAGAAGTGTGACTAACCCAAGGTCACCCAGCAGCTGCATGTGGAGGAGCGGGGAAGTGGACCTGGTTCACCAGATTATGAGTCTACCATTCGTAACCACTACTACACCATGCGGGACATTACTGTGGGGCAAGAGGGCTGCTCATGTTTACCACTTTTTTATTTTTTAAAAGAACTGCATATTGCTCTAGAGAAGACAGATTTAATGAAGTTTGTTTTGAAATATCACAAAATAGCACAAGCAGGAAGAGGTTGTGTCATTCATTATTATTTAGTAACATCCAGTGGGACTAGTGAGTGCTATGCAACCACATGCCATGCACAAATTGTATGAACAATGCATGTTCTGGAACTACATTTTCTAAGTAACCAAACACGAAGGTTTCAGATGCTAGGAAAAAGAGAAGTCTCAGCAAAAGAAGCCATTCAGCCTCAAAAACAGACATCTGAATCTCCTTCGGAATTTGGTTAACAACTAGCTATCCTACAAACAAAAAACAAAAACACCACCTGGGTCTGAAATTACCCATGAATGCTCTTTGCCTTATATAATTAATTATATAATGCTTCACAGAGCTCAGTCATTTTGTTTTATTGAGGATAGTCCCATAATAGATAGACAGATAGATAGATATAAAATGAAGCAATATGAATGTTTGGGTCCATAAATAGCTTATTATTATTATCATCAATCTTATCTTCACAAGTGCCACACCTGAAACAGGTGTTTAAAATATTTATTCTTGATCACCTACACATTCAGATAAACAAGTGCAATACTCTGTGGTCTTCTTATAAAGTTTCTGTACAAAGTCATTATGAGTGAGGGGGATTCTGCATCCCAAAACAGCCTCTTATTCATGCAAAGAGTAACCTGCAAAATGAAACCTCTTGCTGGATTAGAGCTATCAATTAATCCATGTTCTCTACGGAACTTTGCACATGATTTATTTAAATAATTAGAATTCACATTTATGTTTGCAACCCAACTGTCCTGATAAAAATACTGAATAATGAATAATTATAGTGTTCTTGCGAGGAATTATTAACCACAAGAACAATCAAAAATATTCACTATGGATATGACTTATTACCAAGCTATTGTGCAATCAGAACTAATCTCATATTGGGTCAGATAATGGTTCCATTCAGAGGCTTCAACCAATCAAACTACAGTATCAAAGTAAATAATGGTACACTCAAAAGCAGCCCTAATATTCTAGCACTTGGCAGGCATAATCACTGCTTCAAGTGGATGGTATAGATTTTAGTAAACATACTAAACTGAAATGAAAAAACATAATGGTACAAAGATTTCCAGGTTTGACAATAAGGGTGTCACATTTTGTCCAGCAGCAGGATACTATTATAACCAGCAACATTCTTTTAAATCAATCTATTTTATTATTCACTTCTGTATTAGCCTAGCAAACTAAGTATACAAACATATTGATGTAACAGTAGAACATGCTGGGAAGCACCTGTCAATTCTTAATCACATGTGTGCATTTCTCACAAGCTTCTATCCTTTTACTTTCAGGAAGATCTGCTGGTTGTTCTGAAAGACTTGGAAGTTGTTTATTTTCCCCACTTGTTTTTCTATGTATTTTCTTATAGAAATGGGTAACTCTTGTTGTTTTTGGACAGTGGGTTCACCTCTCACCCACTCTCCTCAGTAATACTGTATAACACGTGAAAAGCCATAAAAAATACTTACAGTATGGCAGGTGTGTTCTTTTTAGATATTACAACCCTATTCTTTAAAGCACATACTATTGCTTCATTTTATTATGGGTACAGTGCAAGCAAACAATATTTAAAAAGCTAAGCATACTTTGCAAATGTGTGTGTGATGCAAATAAATTAATAGCTAATTATAAAAATTTAAAAAATGCCCTCAAGCTCAGTAGTAAAGCACATTCATTACAGGCGAAAGGTATCAGGTTCAGTCACTGGCATCTCCAAACATGATTGGCAAATACCCCTGTCTAAAACCCTGGAGAGCCCAGCCTTGCCAGTTAGTGTCAACAATAATGAGCAAGATGGACTAACTAAGCACTGACGTGCTAGAAGGTCCTATTTTCCTTTCACTTTACAGCAAATGAAATACATACAGAACTGAATAGGCAGCTATAAGTCTTGTACCAACAGTGCCGGGGAGGGGGATCAGTGCTGTGTTTATCCTAGACTAGGAGAATAAAGTAGAGAGATCTTCTAGCGAACCAACAGGGTTGGTTCATACTTGAGTCATATACAATTATTTTAGTAAACCAGTCACAAATTCTGGATTTTGTTTCTGGAACTGCCAAATTTAATCTATTGCTTCAATTTCTGGTTGGATTAAGGAATAGGAAACAAGCCCTGATCATTAATTAAAAAGTTAGCAAATGAATGGTATGCACAATAAACAACAGAATCTGCAGAGTCTATTTAATAGTTCACCCCGAGAACAGCTGACAACTTAAAGCTATAAGCCACTCCTCACATGTAACAAACAGTTCAGTAATTCATAGTGTTACCAAAGAATGGTAATTTATTCTAAAGTGCTGTGCAGACAAGTACAGTTTGTTCTCAGGCACTGCAAGAGAACTATTCAGTATCAGTAACAGGAGCTGATGACTAAAACACTACCTAGTTTGGGGCCATCCGTGCAAGAATATTCAACCTAATCCTATCTTGCATGGTTTAATTATAGAGATAACTGTATGGCTTAATTAATTTATCAAGGACATGCTAGCTACACAGGCCCAACTGAAGTCCACCAGTTTTAACCTACCCATTTCAACAGCAGCATCACACTAGAAGCATCGACAGAGATGTATCCGGTTTTAACAGCACTACTGAGCTTTAAAGCTTTCCTTCCAAAATAAAGCTCTAACCCTGAGTTATCACTACTTCCCGGAAGCAGAGCATACAGTGTCTCTCTGAGGAAACTGGGCTCCATGACTGGGAGACGAGACAAGCACACACTTATTTATTCCAGGGCCATGTGCAAAACCGGGCAGCACTAGGGTCTTCTCCCCAACCCCCCACCCGTATCTGGGAACTTCCAAAGAGAAAAGCAAGTGTGGTGATTTTGTTTAGTTTGTTTCCCGCAGGGGGTTGCTTTTCTTTTCCTCTTTGGATTAAGCCGCGTTCACCAATCCTGCCAGGTTTAAGGGTGATTAGCGGAGAAAGCGCTAAATATAGCCGCGTAGTAACTAATTGCATTGCTTTCCCCGGCTTTAATGGCTCCCTGAAGCGGCGGCGCCCCGCTTCCTTTCCCACCCAGGCTGGGCTGCAATCTGCATCGCCGGGCGGGCGGGCGGATTTGTTGCAGTGACCTTCTTCTTCTTCCTCCGCTCCTCTCCCCGCAACACTGCCCGACACCCGCCCCTTCTCCTCCTCCCAAATCACGAAACCAGATGGCGACGCGCGTTAACGAACATCTGAAGCAACTGTAGGGAAAGGGGAAGAAGCCAGGCACAAACTGAGGAGAGAAGAGACCTTCACCCAGAGCGCCAAAACCGAGGGGAGAAATCTGGCCTGGAAACTGAAACAAGCGAGTGGGGCGGGGAGAGAGAGAGGGACACGCATTGGGGAGGCTGGGCGCTACACAACCCAAACCCGGTTCGCGTTCACACGTTTGCTGCTCGAAGAGATGGGGCCGGCCTTCCCCCCCGCCGCCGCTACCTGCTCTGTAGTCGCCGTTTTGGCCGAACTCGGAGAGGAGCCTCCCCCACATGGCGGGGCCTCCGCGGGCGGAGAGGGGGCCGTCGAGGAGGAGAAGCTCCGGGGGTCCGCACGGAGACCCGCGCCCGCGCGCGGCCTGGACGGCAGAGGCTGGAAGGGGCAGCTGCTGCTGGTCGCTCATTGCTGGCCCGCCGCGGCTGCTGCTCCTGCCCTTCGCGCTTGGCAGCCCGACTCTGGCCTGCGAGGAGCCGAGGCCATGGTTGCTGCCGGCCAGTTCCTTCGCAGGACTAGCAGCGGAAAGGACAAAACTCGCCTCCTTCCTTCGCTGCTGCTTGCTGCCCACACACTGCAGCTTCCCGTCTCTTTTCTTCCTCCGCCTCCTCCTCCTCCTCCTGCTGCTGCTGCTGCTGCTCGGTGCCGGGCGGGGACAGAGGCGGGAACTCAGCAGATGCTGCCGCTACTCTCTGAAGAGAGGGGAGTTGGCAGTAGAAGCGGGAGGGGGCGGCAGGCAGCACGGAGCCCGCCAGGGGTAACTGGAGAAGCGGGAGAGGAGGAAAAGGAGAGGGAGGGGAGAGGGCTGTTTCTTGGAAAGTAGCAGGAGGCAGCCCAGGAACGTGGATCCGGGAGCACATGCGAAAGGGCCTCTGAGCACGTGCAGAGGGCCGGACCCCGTGCGTCTGACACCATTAGGAGGAGAGAAAGAAAATAAGTTCCAGGTCAACGCTTTTGCAACTTCTCTACACACACACATATACCTATGTATATATGTATATGTGTATATATGTGTGTGTGTGTGTACACTGTGTACACTGAGAGGCTTGATAGTGTGGTCACCAACGGGTGAACTTTATAACAATAGCGTGGTCCTACTCAGATGGCAGTTTTGAGTACAATAACACACTGGTTGTTGAGTTGAGCTAGTTCAACCACAATGGGTAAAAGGGAAGAAGTAATCTTTCTGGTTTGGTTAACACTGGACTAAATCCTATTGGAGATACTTTACACAGGGCATGATAAGGCATGGAGGCTGCCAAGAAATGAAAAGAACCTAAGCGCTTAAACACTTAACCTGCATAGCTCAGTTGGTTAGAACGTGGTGCTGATAATGCCAAGGTTGCAGGTTTGATTCCCGCATGGGGCAGCTGCATATTCCTGCATTGCGGGGGACTGGACCAGATGATCCTCAGTGTCCTTTCCAACAATTCTATGGTATGGTGGTAATGTCTGTATCTGAAGGCCTTTTGTTCAGAAAGATCACATGGCACTTCCTTGTGCAAATGCAGTATCTAGCTGTAGCTCTGTAGCTGTAGCAAGGTGGTGCTCTTCGATGTGATGTTGTGGATTGCAGCGCCCATCAATCCCCACTAGCATGGCCAACAAGAGAGTTGGGCATCGCAGTATACACTAAATGGAGGGTGCCATGAAGGCTATCCCTGCCCAATGTGATTAAATAATTGGGGGGGGGGGTTGTCGGGGGGCTGGAATTGAGCCAAAAATCAACCTATATCTGTAATCAATAAAGTTGTGGTCATTTCTAATCCAGTCATGGTCTGCTTGAATTGATTAATTACATCTTACATTTAGCAACTGCCTGGAGTGTGTGTGTGTGGCACTGCGCCTGGGCCCGCAATAAACTAACTTTGTGTTGCGTTCCCCCACCTTTCTTCCAGAAAGAAAGCACTAGTCACAAGGATAATATGAGAATCAGGCCACAAATGGCTTCCCACAGAGGTGGATTTAGGGCAACACAACTGGTTTCCTCACACTGGGCGCCAAGCTGACCACACAGCATCACATCTATGACATAGTGCACATGCAGAATGGAAGGCAAGAGGCAGGGGGGCACCAAATTTTGGCCTCTCACAGGGCACCACTAAAATTCGAAAGACCAAAATCCACCCCTGCTTCCCTGAAAGATAGGCTCCCTCACCACACAGTTTGTCTTTTTTGCAAATTACAAGTAAAGCTGTCCTTATACAACTAGTTTCTACTTGTTTTACATCTTTGTCTCAGGACTTTAACTCAATTTTAACCTCTTTTGGATTCGTAAACATATTAATAGAGATCAGTGCACCAAATATAAGACAATATATATGGTTTCTATATATGGTTTCTAGATTATGCTAGGACCTGTCTAGATACATACAAAGTTTGGTATTTGCCCAAAGCAGGAACATTGATATATACCAGATATACACCTCTCTCAAAAAAAGTTAGTCAACCTATTAATCACCAGCACACCTGCAGACATATATAATTTGTAAAGTACAATCTACATTTACTACTGTGGATTTCTGTGTTCTGAGTACACACCACATAGAAGCATGACTATGTTGAACCTGAGAGACCAACTGCTGAAATCGTGTGGTATAATATGATATGATGCAATGACAATCACTCTCATATTGTCAGCTTATGGTGCTTTTTTTCTTAACCATGTTAAGTCTGAGAGATATTTTGATTAACAAGCTATCATTCAAGACAGAAAAGGAGTATTCTTACAAAATCTGTAAGAAACAGAAACATCAATTGTGTAAGACTCAGTTTCCCACCACTTGGTGTAAGCGTAAAAATACCATTTTCAGACATAACATTGCAGGTCATTTGCATTTTGTGTATCTTGAGTACAAGAGTATGTGCCTTGATACATTTTGTGCATCTTGTGCATCTTCAGGTGTTCTAGAAAAGTGTGCACTAGTGGAAAATCTAGCATCACTGTAGCTGCTATGTGCATAAGCAGCAATAAGCTTCAGAGTTACACAATCCCCCCTCACCTTTCATTCTCTAGCTTGACTATAATAAACAGATTGAAAGCTTTCATATTTCAACTATACAGAGTTCTTCACTATGTCTAAACTCAGTAAATATTTTCAGCTAATTTAAACTCTGATTTGTTCAAACAACTCAGAATCAAACTGGTTTATGAGCTACCTTATTAACAAAACAGACTAACCAGAGTTCACCCTAGTTTGTATATAACAATTTAGAAGCAAATGCTTCCAGTTGCTGCTTGTGCATTTAATGCTGAACCATAGTTTATTGTTATGTCCAAAAAGGATCCATAACTTACTGAAAGGTGGCATTTGAGTCTGTAGCAGTGAAAACAACATAATGTATTACTTTTTTAAAGTTGCAGATTTATTCTGATACGATGAATTTTCATCAGTTGACTGGCGTGTGTGTGTGTGTGTATGTATGTAAAGGAAGAAGGTGTAAACTTCAGTAAAATGGTAGTTAAATGGAAAAAGCAAGTCTGTGAGAGGCTTAAAAAGTGACCATTATCTACAATAGTAACTGATGATAATATAATCATATGATATCTGTAATGGGACCGGAAATCATTCTCTTGATTCAAGACTAAACATAAACATCTTGATAAGTTCTAATTCAATAATTTCACAATGGAGTTTCCCTTTGAAATTCAATTGTTGGCAAATGGCATTATAGAAATTGGCCCTTATCTTGATTTGTCATTCTCTTCTGTTTCACTAGTGTCTGATAAACACTGCATTGAGTTACAGCCTCTGCAAGTCTGATGCACACTCTTGGTAAACAGTGTGCAACATTTATAGTTTGAAATTCCATTTATAAATCCTGCAGTCTTCTTAAAGCAACTGCAGAATAAACAAACTGAATAGCAGCAAGCGTATCAGTCCCTAGACAAGTTTAATTGGGATAGAACCAATGGAAGGCAACTGACCCAGAAAAGCAAAATTATAGAATTCTGTATGCTTTGCTGCACTCTGGATTTGACTGAGCAGAGGGAACAGTTCACGCCATTGACACAAACACAAAATTCTTAATTATGTATTGTCCTTGTTTGTGAGCAGAAATTAAATTTACCCCATGGTATGTTAATTTAAAATACAGTTATGCCATGGTTATAGAACCGAGGCTTCATTATCTCCTGTTTCTTAAGCCACACACAATAAATCTAACTGGAAAAAACAACAAAAAATTATTAGAAATATGCTTTACAGTTCTTCACAAGATCAAAATATTGAAAAGTAATGGAAGTGAATAGAGAATAGATATGTTCAAGGACATAACATAATCCCCCCCCCCCCCAAAGTCTGCTGCACTTACTCTTGATCTGCTTCAGGATGCAAAACATTTTGTTTAAGCAAACTATTTGGGGTGAGCAGGGGATTTAATAGCTGTCTTTTAAATGGCTGTGTTACGCTGCATTTCTACATTGCTTTCATATGTTTATATCTTTCTTGAATTATTGGATAAGCAGTGGGTTAAAAACTTAAACAAAATGTAATAAATAAGTCAATTCCAGCCAGTAGACATAAAGCCAAGGAAGTGGGCAGCTCTTCTATCAGGAGGTAAGGATGGGTAAGAATGGCAGAAATAACAGGGTCAGGTAGGCCTAAGCAAGTGACGCAGAGTCAGATATTGCATTTTCAGTATTTTGAATATAATACATAAATAAAATCTGGTGATATCTAACCATGAAATTAAAAAAAATTAAAATGGTAACTGGATGTTGTCATTCATGAAAAAGTCTCGTTTAGCCAAAAGTTCCATAATCTCCTTGATCTTCTGAAATGATTGTGAACTAAAGGATCCCAAGTTTGGATCTGCACTGCAGGTGTTTCTTGGTTAACATACATTTTTGTCTTGCTCTGTACTATCTTGGAGAGAACGATCATGTCAATTATAGTTGGAATTCAAAATTCACTGCATTGTTCGTGGGAGGCTTGAAACCGTCTTTTAATATCACATTTGTTGCAAAGTTAAGCAGAAAATGTGTGAAGTGTCTATAGCTCAGATACTAAGCTAATCGATCCCAAGAAATTGCACAACAAAGCTTCCTATTGCAAAATCATTGTAGGAGAAATAAGGTGTGCCTCTCCCCTTTCAAGCTTTAGGAGTTCATGTATTTTGCACAGCTTGCAAAGGGCCAGATTCGAAGCCAGCACATGGCTCCTGCCAGCACATTAGGTCCCCCACCTTTCCTCCCCCCATGTGCCACTGCAACTCCCCCAAATCTATTCTGGAGGCTCAGGAGATCCCATGCTCTCCCTGAACAGGCCTGGAGGCAGGGCTGGAATATAATTCTGCCAGGCAATCAGAAATACCTGCATTGAAGTAGTGGTCTCCTTAGCACTACAGTGAATATAACCCTAAATTACCCTTCAAACCCAGCTTAATATATTGCACCATTATTGAAGCAAATCGACTAAAATGGGGTGTTATTCCTAGAAAAAAATATTTACAGTTGCTGCTAATTTGCATATGTTAAGACACATATATTATGCCAGATCAGACTATTTCTTCATCTAACCAAGTATGATCTAATAATAAGCCTTCTGATATGAAATTTACTGAAGTTAAGAATTGGCCCCAAGGATACTGCTGGACCAGGCAGCTGCAAGAGAGACATTAAAGGCAGGAGAAACAGGATCAAGCATATTGGACTGTAGGAAACAAAACTCCACTGATTTTCTTGCAGGTCACCAAGAAAATGTACAGGACCAGCATTGACCTGAACAGGAAGCAGTAGATAGGAATGGCAAATCATGACTTAAAATGGGTTTTTGAATATTCATGACTGCTTTTAGTGAGGTTGTGTCAAAGGTAGGGGCCTCTATTTTTATTGGGATGGCCAGTTGAACAAATTGCGTTAGAAGTGAAATTGTTTCACTGTTGCGTATAAAACACACTTGTTTGAAAGCAGTTCCATTTACAAAGCCATTTGTGTGCATGTAGCTCTGGGGACATCAGTTAAAACATCACAAACCCCTCTTTTTGCTCTTTGCATTGCTGCGATTTAAGGAGAACCATATGGGGAACTAGCTTATACACACATTTTGCCACATGGAGTTGTTTTCAAGCAGCTGCCACACTTGAGAGAGCTTGCAAGTATCAAATAGATCAGTGACTACCCCCACCCCCACCCCCCCACCCCGAGGAAGCAGAGATGCATGGTTTTACTGCTTCTTAATCCTTCCATTCTAACGGAAACACTTCTTCCTCTAGACCTGGGTTCCTCTCATGCTTGGCTTCTCAGTCCTTGGTTGTGCTGAGCTAGTAGCTGCCCCTGGTTGGGTCAATGCAATGGTAGTGCTAGCTTGATAGATAAATATGTGCGCTTACTTCATATTACATATTACCAGTGCTTTTTTTTCTGGGGGG